TCGGCCAGTGCAAACAATGGCTTTGATAAAATATTTTTTTGTATTTGACTACCAACAAACATGCAGCATGCACATGTAAACATGCAGCCCATGCACCTTTTATTGTTTTCAAATTTTGATTTCGTCATGTAAAATTTGCTTAAGCTTCATCTTCATTTTATCCACGGCTTAATCATTGTCAATTCTGCTCTATGAAAACGTTTAATAGTTGATGTCTTTAGCCTTTGAAACCACAATACTTAGAGGGCAAGCCGGGCAAATTGCTAAATTCGGTCAAAGAAAAAATTTGCTGTATATTAAATGATAACAAAGCAACGAGGATAAACAAACATTCGTTTTACCATCAATTGTAGCCAACGAAATTTATTACATCTTACCTTTTGTTCTTTTATTGTCTTCACGTCTTTGTTTGAAAACCGCACACAATAAGGCAACTGCAGAAATACACCTTAAACAAACAGAGAAAATGAAGATTCGTACAAGTATGGTAAACAATAGAGTTGTGGTTTTCGCAAAGTTTTACTTGTAAGTGCTGGACAAAGCTGTTTCCTCAAGTGTGGAGTAGCGTGTATTGAGAATATATAAACATGCACTTATGCCGACTGCCACAATTATTTAACATTTTATAGAATTTTGTTTTACCTCAAATCCTACCCTTTACGAATCAACAATAATACTTTAAATGTGTTAGAAATTTTGGAAACAGAGAAAAATTGAGATACATACATTGGTTGACGAAGCAATGTTATAGAAGATAAGTTTATTATATTTTACTCTGTTTAAACAAAGCGCCGAGGCAAAATTAATGCATCTAAAGTTTGTGAACACGGCAAAACAGGTTAATGACTTCAAGTGCTAAATGACAAAAAATGATATTGTTCCCTGGGGCGGATCTAGAGTATGTCAAATCGTCGCGCGACTGATGTATGAATTCAAAAATTACCTATTCATATTAATTAAAAAGTCATTAATTATTCTTACTTTATTATCGCATTTACTTCGTGATAAAAATCCAGCTTTGTTTATTATTGAAAACCAATGACTAATCTAATGAATATCTTGTTGGTAACCAGATCAATTGAATTTCAATTGACCTGGAATAACCGACTGATAAGCGGGGTTGCTTGACTGGTTCGACGGATAAAGGAGACTATGAACGCCAAAACGCTTATTTCACTGGTCAATGGCCAGATCAGTGGACAGTCTGGAATGGTCTCGACTGATAAGAGGGTGGCCGGACGTATAAGATCATATCTTCATTTAATTTCAGTCATTGATGTTCAAAGAAAGCCAACATTGTCTTGAGCTTTATCAGCAGAAATTCACATCCAAAATCGTAAGTAAAGGACAACTAAAGTGTATGCATGAATGTAATAAATCAAAGTCAATTTATGCGAGTGTGTGATGCGATTTAGGTCAATATGGCGTATGGTAAGCAGATTGATGCTCTAAAATTGTTGTTGCCGACGGACTTTTAGCTATGATTTCTTTAGTGCTTGGGGAATCGTGACCGTTATATGGCAGCGAAATCCTACATTCCTGCAAATATGTTTCAATGGACAAAAAATCTGTAGCCATAAGGCGCCATACTATTATTTACTTTATCAGTTTACTGCAAAGATGTCAACTACAACTGGTAAAATTAGCTGCCCCCATGATTTTGAGGATAGTTCTATGCAATAGTTCTGTTCAAAAAATATTTATTCTTACCTCTGAAACAAGCTGAAGAGCTGGATACTCAGTCAGTAGCTCATTCAACACTTTTGGTTCATTTATAAATTGTTGGCGCCGGTAGGGTAGGTCAACTCCATGAGCTCTTTAATTAGTCTATATCTTTTGTTTGTTTTCGTCATCTCGGTTACCATGGCTTTTTTTATGTTCTTCGCACGTTTCTGCAGTCTCACCATTATCCATATCATAAACATCATACAGCTTACGTCTTTTCATATTTGCTTCTGGCTGCTTTTGTGTAGTTTGAGACACACAGACAGATCTTGTTGTTGAATTTGTCTTCTTTCTACGCATGTTTTTGAATCGATTAGTGATTGCTTTCAACCATGACCCCTATAACGAAGAAAGTTCATGCTGTACATTATAAGAGATAGCGAGAAAAGCTATAGGATTTCTTCTAAAGATTATCTTATGCATTAAATAATATGAATATGACTTACTGTACCAGCTCCAAGTGAATCGACAAGAAAAGTATATTTTTCTACAATCATGGACGCCACTCTTTGTTTTTCTTCTCTGGATGGAAACATTGTATGAGCTTTAATAGAAGAACAAATGTCCCTAGTAAACTCATCCCTAAGGTTTCCATTAAGTTTTCCTGCTTGCAGTGCTTCATGCACTGTTGGAGAAAACTGTAAAATACAAAAGATAAATTTTAACATCAGAATGTGACCTATTACGAGGTATACTATTTAACATACAGAAATAGGAAGCTTAAAATCTTTTATCCAGTTCTTGTTCAGTTTCCTTTCTTCCACAAGTACAAAGCTTGGTGAAGGTTGATCACTCTTTTGAGATGCTATGGTATGTCGAGGTGTACTGGATGTTGTAGGTGACGGTGTGCCTGTTGACAAATGAGCTTCTTCAATTGACGCTGAAGAATTGCTGACATTGTCATTTATGGCAAAGGAATGACTAGTGGATAAAGCGATCTTCTGGGTGGATGGTTCAATGGTAGATGGAACATTTCTTAATGGTAGAAAAATTGTCCAAGTTAATCGTTGCCAATGCATTTTTGATTCGTATAACTTGCCCTCCTTTTATGCCACATGCCTTCAACAGCTCATCAGATGTATTGTTTAAAATACCAGCTGAATCGAACTATTCGAGTACAAAAAATCAAAATTAAATTAAAAAGATATATATATGTTAATGACTGAGCGAGAGGCTCGTACAGGAGGTCCATTCAAGCGAAAAAAGAACAGCCATTTGATGTTTGGATTGGGCTTTAACCAATCAGAACGCGCGTGAAATAAATGTAAAAATGTTTTCCAGAGGTCCCAAACGGCCAGAGGCCAAAGGCCGTTTTTTATTTCGAGAAGAACTATTTTTCTATTCGGACCGAAATATAAACGGTAAATAACGTATTTATTTTTTGTCAAGCGGTTATGGCAGTTGTGCCATAATGTAATCTTGAATTTCATGCGTAAAACTTTCGTCCCTTTCATCCATGTTTACGTTTTCTGCTATATTTTCGCTAACATTTTCCACGATATTTCCAAGCTCGTCGGCATAGTAAAACTCGCTTTCCGAGTTTCAAACTATCATTCAAATCCATTGTTAAAAACGTTTTCAAAATATCTTTTTTAAATTACTAAAACAGCTTAATTTATTGGCTGCATTTGCCAGGATTCCGCGGACCGGAGTAAAAAAAATGAAGTAATTTATTCGAACATCTACTTAGCATGCTGCAATAATAATGATTTGGTATTTTTACTTCATAGTCTAATGTAGTTTGGAACCACAGCAGTTGAACTTTCACTCATAATGCTTGACGTCTTAGATTACTTAGTCATTTTTTATCTTTACACTTTATTTCCCTCAATAATTTTGCCCACTAAATTCAAGTATTGTTTTTTCGGTATGGAGTCCATATTTACCAAGCAGTGTTAACAAAAGCAACAAAAAGTCGTCTAGTCACAACGTCAACACGCAAAAATTCATGCACTCGTGCTAAATTTAATTTTATACACATACCTCTTCATCTTCAAGAATAAAAATTACATTTTCCTTTACCCCTGCCTTCTTAAGATTATCAAGCAACGTGGAATCCATCCGACCTTAAACGTATAAAAATTTGTAAAACACAAATACAAAAATTTCTACATGAAATATAAGCACGAGGAGAAGTATGTGTCACAAGAAATTTCATAAGAAAATATATTCAAGAAAGCTTTGTATTTACCTTTTTAAAAGAAGGGAGATCGTCGAAAGCAAATAACTTAAATCCAATGGCTCTTTAAGCCTGGTAAAATTGACTTTTACGTATAGTTCACAATAAAATATAATTTGACAACGCTGCACAAACAGGTGAAATCACGATGAAAATCATGAAATGAAATATAATCAGTGTGACAGTGACAGTTGGCTATAAGCATTTTACCGCGTTTTTGCATATAGTCGCTAATATCACATTTCACACCATATATGGTAACAGAGTTGAGCAGGCACTCTCTTCAGAAGTGAATTGTATTCTTGAAGTGAATTATGTCATGTAGCGTCTATATCGATGTAATATTTGCCTAGAATTCGTTTCAGATTCTCTTCAATTACTAATAACACATATTGGCCGTGTTCATCGTGATGAGCCAAATTTTCATGTTGTTTGTGGCATCGATGGCTCTGCCAGGACGTTTAAGAAATTTTTCTCATTGAGAAATCACCTTATTCGAAAACATAACATCGTGCGCAATACGAGGGACAGCGCAGAGTTGAATACTGATAGGGGAAACGACGATGCTAATCAAAATCATGAGATTGATAATACAGACCCTGAACAGGAAGAAGAGTTACTTTTAAGTTTTAATGAACTCACAAAGCCAAGGTTCCCCCTATAAAATCCATGCTTAATCCACCTCTGGTTAATATAACATATGTATTGCCGCTATTTTTTTACGAAGTTGTTAAACTGTTTAAATGAACGCATAAGTCAACTGTTCAGTTATCCGTGTCAGAACGAAAACAGCTGCAGTTTGATATAAGTATAAAAATAAGTTAAAAAAACAGTTAAAATGAGTGTTATTTTGACACCCATGATTTTACAAGGAGAGTGGTGCAGAAATACCGCCCTTTATAAATTATTGTAACTCTTGCTAATGGCGTTAATTTAACACCAACCACTTAACACCAAAAAACAGTGTTACTTTAGCACTTTTGTGGCAGAAGAAGGTGCTAGTTCAGCACCATTAATTGGGTGTTAAAGTGTTGAGGTGTAAATTTAACACGCTACAATATGTTTAAGGTCATATGTTGTTAAATCAACAACAATATTGGTGTTATAATAACACTTTTATTTAACACCACCGATAGGGTGTCAGTTTAGCACTAGAGAAAGTGCTAGTTCAACACCCCAAAAATAACAGTGTAAGCGTATAGAAGACAAACAAAAAAATAAGCAAATTCAAATCTATACAAGCTTATCTTGAATTACCTGTAAAATAAAAGTTGAATTTAAAAAAATGAAGTTTCTGGTGGCACTGATCTCACTGGCACCATATCTATAGCCATGGCCTTGCAGTGGCTTCTGATCATAGTTTAATTATATACATGCTAACTGGATGAAAATTCAAACTTGGTAAAATAAAATCGTTCGTCTTCTTCATCTTTACAATTGCCCAGTCCTCACGTCAAAAGACCTCTTAGAGCTGCTATACTTTTATTATAGCGTGAATAGATTAAACCACCCCAAAAGGTTTGGGTCATAGCATTGATGGTCTAAAGAAGTTTGGATGAGTCCGAAATAACTTCTGCTTGTCTTTGTTTTCTTCAAGACAACCTGGTTTGTTTAGATTTAATATTGAACCAGATTGTACAAATTTAAATTGAGCTCCCGAGTGAAAACAATTCTCTTTAAACCTCAAATTAGTAAAAAATCCAGGATCATGACCATTATCATAAAAACATTTTCCTGACTGAATATGTTTGATGAAAAGTCCATTCGTTTCTAAAAAAGGACATCAATATAAATTTAAAAAACTGGGATTTCATTTAAAATAATTAAGCGTACTGAATTCTATCGATATAAGAAAAAGATTCCATTAAAAAAGCCATCTTGAAATTCAATATTTGAATTATAACAACAGACAAAAAAACGAGTGTTTATTGCTGACTTTATTTGAAAGACTTCATTGGGCTTATTTTATATCTTACGTGTTATGTTTTAATTCAAATATAGAATTTCAAGATGGCCATTTTGTTTGGAATCTATTTATTTTTATATTTTTCAACATTGAGGACTGAGCCTGGTTTTTCAAAACTGCCAACTCATCTGTGAAGCTTAAACTGTATAAATTCCCATGTCTTTCGTTTTTGATGAAAAGGAAGTTTATCTGAAATAAGTTTTATGAAAAAACCAAACGGTCATTACACTAACCTATTGAAAGCGAGCAACCGCAGTAGAATGTTTGCTTTGAGCTTGTGATTAAACTAAATCTAAATTTGAATTCAGAACTATATTTTCTCGTCAAATGTTGTCAGTAGTCGACGTATAACTCCAATACGCATTTCACTGCACGCTCGTGTAGCAGAGTTTGAATTGATTCTAACAAAAAGAATGACCAACACGACAAGAGTAATGACCAAAACACCAGCCACAATTGCACCAATAGTAGCTCCAAATTTCCACAGCCTATAAGATAAAAATGAATGACGAAGAAGAACATAAAAACATTAAGTATACAAGTGGTGAACAAAAAAAGTAACCCAACTATAAACAATACATGGTTACCTAAAGATATCAATAGATTACTTAATAATACATTACGCGTAATACATTACGAAATTCGCTTTTCAGGCGCGCAAAAACAAGTATAAACGAAACTCAGATTTGATCTCACGTGCGCAGTTTACAAACTTTCCAGTCGGCGTACATGAGCAATATGAAATCTTCTTAGAATACGGCTGTTTTGGCACAAGTAAGATTTGGTAGTTTAACTTATAATCAAGCAAAGCATGTATAAAGTATTCAATCGTGTTTCCTAGTCGGATTTGTTAGTGTGGCCATTTATACTCATGAATGTAGGAAATTCAGAAAAAATATGACCTTTGGTTATCCGATTCTTAAAAATGTCAATGATTTCTCAAAGATCAGAGACAATAACAAATATACAAATAAATTATTAAACTTTTAGTAGTTCTATAGCATGGAAAGACATGTAAACAAATAAATGAAAATGATAGTTTGTGTTAAAAGATGCTAAATACCTAAAAGATGCTTTTAACTACTCAAAATCCTGTAATGAAAATTCTATGTAACTTGATTCAATTAACGTTGTTAAGCCTTTTATTAATTGCCCGAACGAAAAATTGTGCTAAGCCTAAACGCCCGAATGGCTAAGCTTTGGGGCTCATCCCCCCTGTGCCCTCACAGGCCTTATGTCTATGAAAATAATGATCTCGATGAAAAGAATACCAGAGTTGTTTATATGTCTAGAGGAGAGATGCATAGAAAATTGTACACTTGACTTGTGTAATAAATTCTTGAAGTAATTGAAAAATTTGCACTGACAAATTACGTCATTAACTCAAAACAATTAAAATAACACTAACACATACAAGAAAACAGTTTATGCTGGCATGCAGTCATGAGCAAAATTTTCTTTAAAAATTATACCAATTTTCGTCAAAACAACAAAAATTTACGTCATATTACCAGATGTTCGTTTACTGTATACAAGTGTTTATTTAGACCATGGATACAACAAGACAGCAGCACAAATACAACGAGAAATGGCGAGAAAAATAATGCCTCGACTTAACAGTTTTGGTAGTTGAAGCAATAAGCAATTGAGCTCAGCATTGTCTTTTAAAGAATTAAAAATAAAATGGTCGCAAAAGTCACAATGTTCTGTTTTGTCTGCTTTAACTGTATCACCTTGTTATGTCCATTATTATGACATATCACTTTTAATTTGGTGTAAGACAAACTTTAAGTTCATTCATTCGGCTGGTAATTTCTATAGTTTGTAAATTATGTTATTTAACTTTTGAAGTGACCCCCTCTAAAGTGAACAGGTGCACAGAAACATGTACAAAAACATAAAACGAAACTCAACACCCGCTGCATTATAGGGCTTTATTTAACAAATCGGAAGTTCGGGTAGCATTGCATCCTTAATAGGTTGTTATGAGAAACAATCATATTTATATAAGATGTTAGAATACAAAAGGAGACGGTATCAAATAGATTATATAAATTACGAAGTTAGGAAGCAAAATATAGTGAAATTAAAAAAGTTGAATAGAACTGCCTTGGACAGATGTTAAGTCATAGTAAAGGAAACATACCGAAGGTCCACTTTGCTTAGAAACTGGCTGCTGTACATATAATTAGATAACAGGCTGCCGTTAGCCAGTTCGGAACTCCTATTACTAAAAAAAAGCATTTTACTAGATGCCAATGTAGTAATCATATGCGCAATGAGATATACGTAGCACAAAAAAATCAATGGATTTGCTCTATTGTACTTTTACTATACTTTCGACAAGGAAAAACTTGTAGCTATTGATTATGAGGCTCTCATTAAGGGAGAGTTTGTATGAATCGTGAGAAGAGGAAATACTTTCAAAGTCGTCCATGTTGGGGATATCTCCAGATATGTTTATGTTCGCAAAAATGCTCCATAACGCAAGGCGTGACGTTTGGATACCTTCAAATGGAGACATTCTCCTATGCTACGAAAATTCGATGTGTAAATGACGTGTGATTTTACCCACATACAATACGTACAGCTATAACACTTTAATGAATACACAACATCCAATTTCTGAGGTTTGAGATTTTTTCCTAAAAGGGGAAGAAAGAAAATATACGTTAAGAAAGGTGGAAAACAAATTTAATTAGTACATGCAGAAAAGCATCAGCACTAAGGCGATTTATTTATATGTGTATTTGAAGAGAGTGCATACCTGTGAAAAAAAGACGGAAGTAGATGGATTTTTTGTGAGCAGTCATGACGGGAGGTTTTGAGTTAAAGGTGTTGTCGAGGAAACGACGTGTTATTTGGTCAAATACGCGTTAAGGAAACCCGTTTTTGATGAGTAACCATCTCGTAGATTCGAGTAAAACAAACATTTTCAAAGGTAAAAGAAAAGTTTGTAAAACATTCTAAAGGTTTTAAAGATTTGTAAAAAACTTTCAAAGATTTGAAAAAGATATTCTAAAACAAAGAATTGATGACATATGCACACGTGAGGCTAGTGAACATTTGCGGTAAACGGAACGCAGCTGCAATGCATCGTTCAATAAATCACCCGACCCTAATCATAAATGTGTCAAAGTCAATAACAACAAAATTTTTTTATGGTCTATGTTGTAGAGGCTGCATAGTCCATTAATGAAAATAACGCTTGGTGTTTGTCTAGTTGGGGCTTTAAGAGAGTAATAAAGACAAGCTTACCGCTGTTTCAACGAGCTGCGGCGTCTATTCTGGATCAGCTTGACGCATTGGAACGCAATAATCGCTTGGACAGTTTTGACTCGGTCCACAAGATTTGAGATAGCAATATAGGTACCACAGTGACCTGCTTCGTCACTGGATTAAAAAAATAAATATTTTTGTGTTTGTTGCAAAATTCTTGTAGAGAACTTCACTCAGATCTTAAGCCGCCGAATTATAACCACGAGAGCGACGGGGTTAATCAACTGCTAATATTTCAGTGACACGTGTTTACCTGCACATAACAACGACAGGTCCATTTACATCAGCAGATCTGTGAATCTTCAACTTCAGATAAGATTTCCACCATACTGTGAACATCTTTAGGAACATCATGAACCGGCTATGATATGTCATGAATCATGGTCCAAACGACTTTTTTAATATCCTAAGAAGCAAAAAATAAATAAATGTAACAAATTGTTTAATCATAAAAACACGAAGGAACAATCAAGAGCAGAAATCCACTTATTTCTTCTGCAAAATAATTGGCAATATAAGGAAGGAACATTAATTAAGATAAAGGAAACATTTAAATAAACGCAGTAGCGTAGCCAGCATGCAGGTTTACACCGCTATGTAAATTTTGAACGAATACCAATAACAAATTTGGTAATCACAAATTAAATTATTATTTGTCTAGTTAAAAGTTGATACACTAGAAGTATTTCTTTAGAAATCTATTGTTCTTACGGTCAGTAAACACAAAAATATTTGCTGCAACTTCGTAAAAGCACTATTCATATAGCGCATTTAATAAACACGACGAGTTTTTTTAAAAGAAGCATTTCACATTAACAAAATTAATTGTAATCTCAACGTTCACGTTTTTCGTTTTAACACTATATTCAGCCTGTAAATACACTCATAAATTAGTTCCAACCAGTATTTCATTTTAATATTTACAATCTACTGATAATTGTATCACTGCATCATATTACTCTTATATAAAATTATCATGCATATACATAATATTCTTATTATACTGTAGATGCCATTATGAGATGTTGAAACACATTTATTTTAAAAAAAAACGCGTCGTATTTATTAAATGCGAAAAATATTTGCATAGCGAGAGTAAAGTCGGGCTGGCTACGCTACTGAATAAACATATACATATGAACTTTGTATGAAAGAGAAGTGTGGTGATTTATTTGCAATAAATTATCTAAAGCAGAGATTTACATATGTTTATACAAATTTCTTTTTATCCGAATGATTCTGACTTTTCTCTTGTGGAAACGCTATTGATTGTAGACATGTGTTTCAAATTTTTCCTTTACGATAATGAATATTTTATTGTTTTATTGCAGTTAAGTCAGAGCCTGTAATTGAATGTTCCATCTTCTTTAATGATGAGCAAATGGTGTAAAAGCATAACAAAGAAGTATCGAGAGATCAATTGCACAAAATACTACCCTCACACATTTATAAAAGTAAATTTTATAGAATGAAGACACTGAACTGGATTACTTGTGACTTTAATTTTTATATACAGCTATACAACCATTGTAATTACACAAAAAATCACTCTACACAAAGACTGGAACACATAATGACTTAAGTTTCAACATCAGATCAGGGGCGGATCTAGGATTTTTCAAACATCAGTCATAAAACGTCGGAGGCGCTCCGTACCAGGGGGGGTCTGAGGCATTCTCCCTGAGAAATTTAGAATTTCAGAGCCTTGAAAATGCCATTTTCAGCGTATTAGAGCAATACAAAATATATTTTGTGGGCATCATTTTTGCGTAAAACAACAATTTTGCTTACGTTTTTTCCAAAAACTGAAGTGAACAATAGTTGAATGTTATGCCAAATATTTAGGCTCATTATCATGCAAAATATATGGCTCATTAGCATGTCTAGGAACGTAAAATTTATTTTAGAATAATGCTATTCAAAACAGATATAGTCTTTAAAATTTCTACCAAGTTGTCGGGCATAGACCCCCCTAGAGACCACCATTCAAACCTCTATGTAATGATTTAAGTTAGAAATTTGGTACTAGTGACAGTTCATAGATATAGAAATGCTCAGACTTTAAACCATGCAAGTTTATTGCAACCCTTTATCCATACCCATCTCCACATCAGTGCCAGCAAATTCACCTTTTGAGAAAAAACTCAAAATTTTTTTCTTCCAAAGATTAAGCAAAAATTATCATAGTGAAAATTTGCAGTTAAGGATAGCTTAATGCCATAAATGTTTATTAAGCATTTAACTAGACTATTAACTTCTGTAAGTATATGCAAGGTGTGCTATATAGCAAACACTAGTAGCATTCCCCTGCGCCTGGATCATCACGTTGCCGTCGTGCAGGGGCTTAAGTACTTCACTGAAGGAAAACTAAGAATGATCCAAACCCGGTCTCCAAAATTCGATATCGAACTCTCTGAACCACACCTCCAAACTCATGAACAGTCGAAATACAGAAAACCATACTGGCTTGGACGTCGCCCAGGATAAAAAGGTCCGCTTATTAAGCCAGCCGGCTCCCATCTCAACATTAGCCCAACAGTGAACTTACTCTCCTTAAATGTCGAAGGATTGTCTATGGCCAAATGTGAGTACTTATCAAAACTTCTTCATGACAACAAAGTCGATATTCTCTTTCTACAAGAGACCCATGTTGTAAAGAATAGTCCATCATCGAGATACACCATCACAAATTACTCGCTTGTTGACGCCATCTTCTATGAAAAATATGGCACAATGGTTTTTTTAAAACATCCTCAATTAACCTCAGTGATACAATCTACTCTAACTGAAAATTATGACCATCGTACTATTGTCCACCATGGCGGAACTACTCTAATTAACATCTATAAACCACCGAATGAGAACAGGCCATCACCACCTCTACCACACATCAGTCACCCTACTGTTATCACAGGTATTTCAACAGTCATCATTCAGACTGGGGTTACAGAACGAACAATACAGCTGGTGAAGACATCACCAAATGGACATCACAAAATAATATGCATCTATTGTTTGATCCGCGAGAAAAGGGCACTTTCTTCTCTGCAAGATGGCAAAAAAATGCTCTACTGACCTAACATTCGTATTCAAGGATAACGATGACTTACCACTCTATGCCTCTCGTCAAGTCCTCGGTTTATTCCCCAAAAGCCAACAGAGACCTCTTCTAATCAAAATAGGTCTAAATATTTCCATCACACCATCTCTCCCTAAACCTAGATGGAATTTCCAAAAAGCAAATTGGAGTGATTTCACTAAGTCCATAGAGAGAACATGCCCAAGAATACAACCCGTACAGGAAAATATCCCCCGCTTCAGCAAACGCATTCTACGTAGTGCAAGAAAATTTATTCCAAGAGATAGATTGCCAGCGATCTACTTACATCCCTTGCTGGACAGAAGAAAGTCAAACTCTTCTTAAAAGATATGAAGAAACACAGAACCAAAGCATAGCTGAAGAACTCCTAAAATCTCTACAAAAAAAGACGTTGCAAGAAATAGCAGGAAACAGTAGAAAACACGGTCTTCTGCCACTCAAGCAGAAAGGCATGGAACCTCTTGAAAAATTTGACCCAGATAAACGCCCGCAAACAACACAAGAGGCCCCGATTATTGTTGAAGATATCGCAAAACAAATAAAACAACGTAGCACCCATAAACCAATCCATAAATTCGAAAAAGAAATAAGACATGAATACCAACGCTTATACAAATCAAGCCCGGATAACAGCTTTTCATCAATGCCAGTTAGTAAGCAAGAAGTTGACACTGCAATTAAACAAATGAAAGCTGGCAAGGCAGCCGGAATAGACGGTATCTATCAAGACATGATCAATGATTGAGGCCCCAAGACGATCAACTGGCTTGCATTATCTCTCTCGGATGTTATTGACAAATCAGAATACGCACTGACTTGGAGAGAAGCTAAAATACTTGCCATCTTCAAACCTGGAAAACCCTCAAACGATCCATCAAGTTATCGCCCAATTTCTCTGTTGTGTTGTTGTTTTAAACTTCTAGAGAGAATAATGAACAAGTTCTGGCCTTAACGACATACATCGAAATGGGATATGAAAGAAAACAGAAAACTGGAGCTGTATTTATTGATCTATCTGCGGCTTACGACACGGTATGGCACAACGGTTTGATGTATAAGTTAGCCAAATGTATCCCTTGTAAGAAAACACTAAAGCTTTCGAATAAAATGTCTGGATCAAGAATTTATCATGTATGTCTGGGTGACAAATTAAGCAAAAAGAGAACTATAAAAAACGGTGTTCTCCAAGGTTCAGTTCTAGCATCAACTTTGTTCAACATCTATATCAGTGACTTACCACAGACCACCTATCTCAAACTTGGCTACGCTAATGACTTCGTACTATCACACCAATCTAGAGATATTAAACAAATTAAAGAAGCCCTCAGACATGACACAACAAAACTAAAAATATTTTTCAACAAGTGGTACCTAAAGATGAACACAACAAAAACTGTAAGCACCCTCTTCTACTTGGACAATTACAAGGCAAATCTACAACTTGCATTACGTGTAGGCAACTCCAAATTATCATATGACTCATCTCCAAAATACCTGGGTGTGACTTTTGATCGCCCGCTAACATACAAACAGCACATTGAAAATACTGCCACAAAACTGTGAAAACGAAATGGCATAATTAACAAACTGGCAGGAACATCGTGGGGCGCCACTCCAACGGTACTTAGGACATCATCTCTTGCCCTATCATACAGTGTTGCAGAATATTGTTCTCCTATTTGGTCTCGCTCTAAACACGTCAATAAGTTAGATGTATTGCTAAATGACACAATGCGAACAATTTCTAAAACATTTGCAATTTATCCATAAATTTTTCACCCTCTTCAAAAAATTCACAGTTTGGACAGCAGCATTCATGTCAATATATTAATTTGTAAAAGATTTCCATAAATCCGTCTGATTGTAGTTTAGTTTCTATCATGCTTATAAAAATTACTATGAAACGACAAACATTCAATTCAGACAGTGAGCTTGACTATGTTTGTTCAGTTGGCTATCAGTCGAAATCCGTCAAACCAATCACAATAAAACAAAAATTCAAATGAACCAATTGTAAGATAGCAATTGGACTCCCTTATACGTCCGGCCACCCCTCTTATCGGTCCAGACCATTCCAGACTGTCCACTGATCTGTCTATTGACCAATAAAATAAGCGTTTTTGGCGTTCATTGACTCCTTTATCCGTCGAACCAGTCATGCCACCCCGCTTATCAGTCGGTTATTCCAGGTCAATTAAAATTCAACTGATCTGGTTACCAACGAGATATTCATTGGATTAGTCATTAGTTTTCAATAATAAATAAAGCTGGATTTTTATCACGAAGTAAATGCGATAATAAAGAATAATTAGTGATTTTTTAATTAATATGAATAGGTAATTTTTGAATTTCAAACATCAGTCGCGCGACGGATTTGACATACTCTAGATCCGCCCCTGGGAGTTGTATCACGCGCCATCAATCCAAACACGTTGAAAATTCGTCGACGGCAACATATTGATTAAATTTTAAACTAATAAAATACCTTGGGTCGCAATGTAGTACTTCTCACATTTCCCCTACAAAGTTAATAAAGGATTTATAAAGTAAATGGTTTGAACCCAGGAGTATCGTAACCTGTTTGTGGATGCAGATCTTCTAGGTTAGTGGAGTCCTGAAAAGGACTGTTATTGTTGATGTTGAATGACGTTTCGACAACCTTAGAGGTAGTCATCTTCATAGTCAACGAATCAACATCAACAACAAAAGTCGTTCTCAGGACTCTACTAAACTGGACACTCTACATCCAAAACATGTTCAAGGATGTATAAATTGAAAAAAGAGCGAATCTTTAACGTAAACTGTCGACGATGTTGCGAGCAAAAAACTGTTTTCAATGAAACTTACGTCGACAAAAGAAGCGTTGATAAAGTCAGATTTTTCATCACCAGAGAGTATCACACGAGAATGGTCGACTAGAAGAGACAAAATAACGTTTCGAACACACAATTTTCGTTTTTGACATTTTCCTTTCTTTTACATAACAATTACATTCACACATATCACTTTCTCATTGATATCATTATGTTCAGTGGTTTGCAACGTAAATTGGGATTTTGTTTCCCCATCAGGTTTTGTTAGCATTAAAATTTTTCCACGGAAAAATCTCTATCATTCCACTGCATTTAGTGATTGTAAGGAGGGGTGAGCCAGCACGATTATTTAGTCCGGCTGTGTAAAATTTTTTACGTTCATCTTTAATTCGAAAACAACAAAATTCTAAAGAAATAAATATAATGATGACGATCTGAAATTTACATAGCCGGCTAGCTGTCTTTCCTAATTTTGAAAGGTATCTAGGCCAAACATTTTTGCATGTGATGGTGTTTTAAAAGCATTATTGTGGGTATTGTAAGGACTCTGTGTCAATAATCTGACACATGACAGTGTTTCCACAACAACTTTGTCAGTATTGTATGGTTTTCGAGTCAATATAATCTTACACGTGACTGCGTTACCATATCGATTTTTGGCAGAATTCATAGGTTTTTTGGCAATAACCCAGTTGCATTTCTGACCATTTGGTAAGTCCTGCAAATTTTAATAGTAAGCAAATACAAAACTGAACAAGTGTGTTAAACTCATAGCTACTGAAACGGGAATCCTCATACATTTGGTTTGCGTAGTTTAACAAGTAAGGATCTAATGTTCAAGCATAGGTATGAATACACAATCTAATCTCGTATATAATTGTTTTCGGTTGTGCATGAAACAGCCGTGCACGAGTTAAAAAGAAAACCACCTAAGTTTACCTATCAGTGCGGCGGACGTACTCTTTTTTAAAATCTCCGCACTTTGCAAGCCAAGACTCAAACTTTCATTTCATGACAACAAATTTCATTTTTATCACCTCGTTCCAGCTTCCAACCTTCGTGAATTTTTTGCTTATTTTTAATGTTAGATTGAGCCGAAGATGCTAAACTACTCATAATAGCATATATACTATGAGAAATTTGACTGAATTTTTAGTCCGCTAAGGATTTCAAATCTGTAGAAGAGAACACATAAAACACATTACCTCAAATTCGAGCCTCAATTCCTCCATGTTTTTTGTTCTCAGTTTTTTTACGTGCTCAGTAAAATTTGCGAGTGGAATTGGTAACCGATTACGGGTCTCGATAGCTGAAAAATAACAATGTGAAAAATATTGTCAGATAAAGGACATAGCCACACAATGGCTATGTACTAACAAACAACAATTTACTATGTCAAGATAGCTTTATCATCAAGATGTTTTGCTTTTCATGCATAACGTTACGGCAAGCGTATTGTCAATCATTTTCATAGTAGGCAATGTTGTAAATATAATTATCTTGAAATCAGATTTATTACACAGAGCTACCTGGAACTCCAATTAAATTCAAATCAAACCACATTATTATTGTCATCAACTACATACATGGAAAAAACTTCTACTTTTTGTCGACTGACCGAGCGTTTCAATAATACATGTCTCATATAATAAGCAATGTAATCAAGAAAAACTACCAACGTTATAGAAAAAACGATATTTTTCAAAATTACTTACTTTCTTTGTTTCCATACATTTGTTTTTCGGAAATTGACTTGTTTACATAAATATTTTCTTCATTTGGTCGTACAACAGGATCCGCAATGTCATTAACGATGAACGCGTCGTTTCTAACGGACAGCTCTTGTCCATTCCTATCCTCATGTTCTGATTGCAAATGCGATTTAGGCTCTTGAACAATAGCACGTCTTCTAGAAAAATATACAATCATTAGCAGAAGACAGTAGTAGTAGAGTACCCACGAGTTGATTGTTCGTCCTTCTTTGTACGCAAAGTTTGGCCTGCTTGTACTTCTTAGTACAAAATTTTCTTAAGCGTATCATGCTCCTTTTTATCTTACAAAACAGTGCTTGCCATTTTTTAAAACAGAAAATGCTTCATGCGTTCTCTTTTATTACAACCAAAACAATATCCTCAGACATTGTCAAATAGTGCAAAAACTAAGAGTTGTCATTTGTTTGTGCATATATTCAGCAGGTTTCTAAATCCCTTAAAAGGAAGTTTGGTAAAATCTTGCAAACATATTTAATGCTCAATTGTATTTGATAATTTCTCTTGTTACTCTGAGAAAGATGGGACAATATATGATGCGCAATTGTGAAGAAGAGTCTGACATGTAAGATAAAAAAAGCATTTGCAGTGTTTCTAAGCTAGTTATATAAACACGTAAGATCAATTGCAAGAAGTGAAAAATTGCATGTGAAAGTGTCAAACATTGACCTCTTACACTAATGCTGTCAGTCGACTTTACTGTTCATTTTAAACTCCTCCTACCTTCTCCAAAGAGTTATTAGCACCACAAAGACGATAGTGAAAACAAAAGCAGCTGCAGAAGCTGCAGCAATTGCAGTTACGTTGTTATCATTGTTATCATCATCTTTACTATCGCCTAAGAGAGAAAAACAGAGAAAGACACATGCCTTTCAATATTGCATGCACTATCACCACACGATTGAAAATAAGCAGTGTTCAGATTTTTCCATATCGAACTTCAAATTTGCACATCGTAGAAAGAATGCTTCTGAATCCAACAAATTCATTTATATAAAAACAGTTATTTTATTGGAAAAAATTGAAAAAAAATTTCCACTGTCCATTTGGCAATTTTTCTCCGCGATTTCGTTTAAAGTTATGCTTCGACTATTAATAAAGCCATACTCTTAAACTCACCTGGAAGCTGAAGTAGCTCTGAAGCAGTTCTTGCTGAAGGACTCCATTCAGTGGAATAAAAATCACCCTGATAAGAAGTGCATTAAATTTTGATAAAAAAAAACCCAAAAAGAAGTTATTAAAAAAAAATTTAAGCAATTACCTGATCATTTATCACCACACGCTGGAAAATTCGATAAGTAGTATTGGGTTTTAGAGGAGCGTTATAATAAACTCTTTCGGGAGAACGACGACCTCGTGTTCTCGAAATACTTGAATTTGAGCCATCACCAAGTATAAACACGAAAATACCACCACCACTTGGCTTAAGTACCGCAGCAACGTAAAGGTTTGGTGGTGAAGGAGTGGAATATGTTTCTAAGTCTTCAATATTTAATGTAAAAGGCGATGGAAGATTATGTCTGTCACCTTGCATGGCAATTACGAATAAGTACCTGAAATAAAAAAAATATACATATTTTCCATGGGAAGCGTATTGCAAAAAAAGACACCAAAAAGATCAATGGTTCAAACAACGATAGCATTTGAGTTTAAAATTTATTTTTTAAATTAAAAAAAAGATCATGAACAAAGTTGACTGACTATCCTAATAGCCAAGATTAATATGGCTAAGTACTGAGGACAACCAGGAATTGCTATATATTGCTCCCTCGATCCAGGTTGCAGAATAAGAAAAAATAAAATATCCCTAGCAGCAGGTATTTTCGTTATTCGTCTTTTCTGAGAGTCAAGATTAACCATGCACAATTATAAGCCTTTAAGTTTAAATATTTATGCATCAAAGAGTTATAAAATCTGACTGCTTCTTGTGTTATTTCCATTAAGTAAGTAAATGTGCTGAACCTAGGGTTTATAGGCTCAAAATAAATGATCTAAGAACATACGTACTATAACTTACTCATATTTAACCGTAGGAATTTCTAAAGAAAATGTCAAAGTTTTTTCCGACGGGTTGAACGTCCCTGTCGGAGGCACTAAAAATACAAAACCTATTTTAAAGTGCACAACCTCCCTCCATTAAGTAGTAACAGTTACACAAAGCAAGAGAAGATTTCTAAATGAAAACGTACGTCCATTTGTTATGGCCATTTGCTTTTCACTGTAATTTCCAAAACCAATTTTTGTACTTGCCAAAACCCACACATAGTACGTCGTCGCTGGTTTCAACTCATTTATGATAAAGCTTTGATATTCGGTAGTAAAGGTTTCTGAACATTTGAAGCTCTCACTAGGTGTTATACAAACAGTGTAATTGACAATTTTCCCGTTTCTCTTGCTTTTATCAGGTGGCTTCCACGTGACTGATAACGATGAACTGCTGATGACAGAGATTCTTATATTTAGAGGAGGCCCTTCAGGAACTACATAAAAAGACAGTTAAAATTTCGCATCATGTTGTATAGTCGTATTCAAGAAAAAACATTGAATCAAACGTTTATTTTGACAACTGAAGTAAGTTTATTTCAGTTTTACGGTAAATACAGTACTGTAAACGTGTAAGGTCGTATCTGATATTTTGATGATCATCATGGTTTTCTCACCATTCCATGTTTTAAGAACAAATTTAAATTGTAAGTCAAAAATTGTCTATATGTGCAAATAGTTACACATACGTCCGACAGGTGAAATACATTGTTTTACTGCGTCGTTTTGTTTTGTAAATGAAAACATTCTGACTGAGTAAAACAAGTTAGAATGTAAGAGGGAAAAGAACCGAAACTCGAAAGAAGCACAGAAGGCGTTCTACAGGATACACCATGTTATCGCAATGAAATAGAAGAAACGTCTGCGTGCTGCCAAGGAAACTTCAAATAAAGTGAGGAAGGTAGATATGATAAAACTTATAAAAGACCAGAATAGCGATAATTATTCCCATATCATGATCAAATACTGAAGAACAAAAGTTGAAAGATGTCAAGAGAAAAAAGTAACTCCAAACACATGGACTGGTTACGATAGGTATTGCGAGCAAAGTGTCTGATCATTGAAGCACTGAGCAGATATGTTTTTTTCAGGTAAAAATTTTCAACCTGATCCCAACAAGAAGAATATTTGTTATAGAGACACTGTTATCGAGAGTATTTTACTTCCTATCGAGCATTTTTGAAGAAGAAGAAAGAAAATGTCAGAAAATAATCCTAGCCAATTAAGAGCTAACAGCCGTCTTTGAAAATTGGAATGGCATTGATAGCCATAAAAACATATGATGGTTAGAAGGAAGATTTGTCGTTTGGTAGCTCGCTGCTCGTGGTGGTAATAATAAATACAAAGACACGTTAGAGTAATTACCTATATCAATACGTGGCTTGCCTTCTACGAACGTTTTCATACTTTTTATAACTTATGAATTATAAGAAATGGAATGGGGCAGTTTGCTTCGTTGAGTTAGTCATGGCCAGAATCCACAAATAATAATCGGGGAAAATATTCCACGTTCACTTACACAATGAAATTTTAACGAGTAAAAACGTCTTTATATTTAAGATTTAAGTAGCATACGATTTCTTTCTCTCCTAGCTATGTTTGAAATGATGCACACACATAAAACGAAGAACACAATAGGATGAAATAAAATCTTACCATCTTCTTTTGTCTTAAAAGAAACATTCGCTGCATCTCCAAAACCTTCAGAATTTCCAGCAGTTACAACTACTGTGTACATTGTGTTAGGAATAAGATTGCTCAACATGTAAGGCTTAGCAACGTTAGATGGCTCAGTTTTGTTTAAAATGACCTTCCTTTGATTCCTCAATATGAACCTAAACTTTGTCAAAGGATTTACAACATCTGCGCCGGGAGTCACTGCAATGTTTTGGGGATCCATCCACGATATTATAACGTATCTTGACACACTGTAAGTGATATTGAGACCTTTTGGGCTGCTCGGAAGCAATTCTACAACAAGAAAGAAAGATCTATTTTGATATACAGGATGTATAACAAAAGAAGATCTTTAAAATTAACCTATTGTAAATTTCAGTGCCTAAGGACTATGCAAATCATACTGGTGCATACTTGTGCATGTTTTGCTGTTTGAATGTACCCATGGTATTGCAATTTACGTGATAGGCATTGAAATTATTACAATTCGTTAATTTCAAAAGGTCTTCTTTTGATACACCCTTTATATTTGCTTTTCAAGTGCACTAATTAAATGTAAATAAAGCGTAAACAATGATTTTACTATATAACGTTCTGCTGTAATGAAAATTATCATTCTCAAGATTTTAACAATCCATTCCATTATTTATTTCAGTACTAATCTTAAAAGAAAGGTAGAATCTTAAAAGAGAGTTAACATGATCTAAACTAACGTTCTGGTTTCACCTCTGCTTTTGTGAACAATTATGTAACTTTCAATTTTTGCAATAAACACATATTCATAAACAAATAAACACATAAACATTCACAAATATCTAAGAAGTACATGGGAGGATGGAGGAAATTAAAAAAAAAATTTCTAACGCGCCGGCACTTTGGTTTAATCAAAAGCAAAGAAATTGGGGAAAAAATACTTTGCAAGAGTCCAAAACGGCTTAAAAGCTCTAAAACGTTACGAATCATAACTTGCAGATGAAAACTTTACAATATGGGAGAAAGTTCAAAATTAAAGGATAATTTTAGTTGTATTTGTTGGTGGATGATCAAAAGAATTTAGCTTACACTACTAGCTTTGCAGTATAATATAGTTCTTATTCAGTGGCGCCGCCAGGTTGTTCAGACTAGGAGGGACAACGAAAACGTCAGATGTGTGAGACTTCAATGGGGGCTCAGAGGCATGCTCCCTTAAAGAAATGTTTGACTTTATGTTGCCTAAAACGCTATTTCTCACAGGCAGGATTTATAACAATCTAAAAGCCACACGTTTTTACAATGGCAGCATTTTGTTAGATGTGTTAGCAAGTGTTTTCAAGTCCATCTTACAAATAACAATGCTTGACGATTGCTGTTTAATTTGGAGAGCGCTGAAGTAGCTGCATAATTATATAATTATAATCATTGCAAAGATAACAAAAACACATCAGTGCATCGCATCTTTCTGATCTTTCATATATTGTTCTAACGACATTAAAAATTTTTTTGGCCATACGTATGGCACAGGTCCATGCCAGGCTAAGTTGAAATAATTACTAAATTACTTTTTTTAAAACACTGTTCTCAATTTTAATAAAGTTCTTACCACCACCACAAAGTTCTACACTTATGTAGGGTCGATTTTTGTAGGTCACTGGAATAAGTCGTAAAGCTCTCGTCCTTGTACCTCCTTTGATGTTTGATAGAGCAGCTTCTTTGTAAGCGTTTTTGTTTCCTTTGAAATCCTGAAAAACCGTTAAATCCTACAATTCAGCAGTCGCACTAGCATGTGAAAAATTTTATCATAACATTGCAAAATTCAGTTTAAAAAATACTCTAACTCTACTTTACTTTTTGTGAATTCTGATTAGATACTGACTCCCAGTTTATTAAATCAGAAGTTGTGTTAATGTGATATTTTGTCACCCAAATTAAGGTTGTTGTGTCTCCAAAAATTGCAACGGAGTTAATAGCATAAAGTTTTTCAAAGCTTACTTGAAGATAGTGATTTCCATCAGCAGTAGGAGCACACCACGATCTGCCACTGGATATTCTTGCATTGGCGACATTGTGCAAATTTATTGCCTTTCAAGCGGAAAACAATGAGTCAGGGAATTTTTTTGTGTCGTTTAACAACGGCCTGGCACAGATATGACCTATGAAAAAAAATTCACATAGAGATAAGCCATGATGATACACGTAAGTAATGATGAAAGAGTTAAATCATCATGATAGATGTAAGTCTTGATGATAGAGGTAAGTCTTGATGATAGAGGTAAGTCATGATGATAGAGGTAAGTCATGATGATAGATGTAAGTCTTGATGATAGATGTAAGTCATGATGATAGATGTAAGTCGTGATAATAGATGTATGTCTTGATGATAAAGGTAAGTCATGATGATAGATGTAAGTCATGATGATAGATGTAAGTCATGATAATAGATGTAAGTCATGATGATAGATATAAGTCATGATGATAAAAGTAAGTCTATACTTACATTTTAATAATGAATGATGGAAACATTTCTCTTTCGTTGTGACAACGCATTGAGAAAGAGTTTTTGCTTGGTTGTTACAAGATAACTTTCCAGATAAAAAAATTTGATCGCCTTTGCTTGATGTCCATATTTTGATTGAGTTAGCTGCAGGGTAACCAAATACCGTGTTTTACTAGCTTACATACTGCAAATACCGTGTTTTACTTTATCTAAGGAACCGTCTTTACAGATTGCAAAGTTACCATCATACTTCGTGGTAACATTTACAACTCCTTAGCTTGGGAAAATGGAATTTGACAGGTATGCCGTTTCAACTAAAAAAATTAGAGAACAAACACTTTTATAAACGTTGTCTTTTCAATGTTTTTGAGAAGGGAGAAACAGGATTATGCGTAACGACAATCTTTTTCAATTTTGCAAACAAATGAACGCTGTTTTCCATACGCAGTTTAAAGAGATTCGACTCGTCTCCACACCCGGCGGGCTTGGTAGCTAAACAGGTAGAGCGGCGGACTAGTATCCCGAAGGTGGGAGTTCAAATGTCGTCCAAGTCACATGTTTTTCATGTGCATATTAAACCATGTTAGGATTAATATATTATATATATTCTCTGATGCTGGCTTTGGAATTAAATTGTATTTGAGAAAGCTGTTTCTGAAATACAGGATTTATTCTAACATAATTTAGCTAGAAATTACTGTATAATAAAATTAATTAAAGTATTCGTCAACATCAAATTTTTAAGAAATTGTGAAAATGAAAATTAATGTAAGTAAACTTACGGTAACAAATTTCAACAAACGATGTTGTGCTGCATTGATAAACAAAATAAAGATACTTATTCAAACCAGGACAAATGTTTAAAGGAAAAAGATTCTCATTAACAATGACAATACACTCTCGTTTGCCATCACAGTGTCTCTTCAGATGACACGTGACATCGACACTACAACTGTAATCATAACTTGACCCACAAATATTACTTCCAGTCAATCCGCGGTATGATGAACTTTTGATGGTCATGTATTGACTTTTGGGACAACTGACGTCCGTCATCTTTTGTCGAAAACACGCTATTGAACCTGCAAGAAAAAGAAATTTTATTTTAAATAACTGTGGGACATTATTTCTAAAAGGTGTTGATTGATGAAAAAAAAACAACAAATGTTCGAGAAATTCAATCTACAAAGATAAGTAACACTTGCGTATGTAAAATTATTGTTTTTTTAAAGTTTATCACTGTAAGCGTATTGATACTGACGCGCAGAAAATGAGAAAATAACGGACGTTTGTGCGAAAGCCACTTGCTCCTTAAATTCCCACAGCGATTTCAAGTAAAAATACAAAACACCGAAATCGGAATTGCATTAGAAAGACTATAGAAGATCGGATTCTTCTATTGTATTAATTAAATCACAAGAAAAAACAAGTCTATAGAACATTGCCACCTGACATCATGGCCGACATGTTGGTGTACCAATAAAAATTATTTTTATTTAATGAACTTCCTTCTTTTTGAATACCAATATGACTGTTTCTTGTGTGCTGAACTGATTTCTCATGTTTTCCGTAGTTGACTTACCATGTTTTTGAATAACTTGTGATCATTTAAAATGTTTTGATGTGTTTTGAATTTTGGTGGACCGAAATATGAATTAACAACAAAATAACCCTTACCGAAATGAAATTGCTTTTTTGGTGCAGATTTGCAATTAACCATTTTCAAATAAGGATCAACTCCTTGATTGTCTTGTAGTTCTTTAGAAGTCCAAGGTCTTAAACATCGAAATTGATTTTCCAGCTATGTAGTACCGTATTTTTAGACCTCCCCAAGAGGTTTGTTTTCAGCATTGTTGTTGACACAAGCAACGTAATTAATGTTGTGCGTATCAGTGTGGATATACAACACATCAAGACGATAACCATTTACCCATTTATGAACTCCTTGAAGACAACTTGGTACGTTCAACTTCATTATGGCGCTGTTAACTAAGAATTTAAACTGAGATGCAGGATGAAGACAGTTGTGGGAAAGTTCCAAAAATCGAAGAGTTCTTGCTCCTAGTGATGACTGTATTTTTTCTGTATCATATATACACTTTCCAGTTTCGACATGTTTCAAGAAAAATCCAGTCGTATCTAGAAAGAAAAAACAAGGCTTTAATTTTGTAGCGTGTCATTTCATCTGTCCATGCATGATTACGCATAATGTATTTACCGTAGCACATATCATCCAATGACGTCATGGTGTCGTTACATTGATATTCAAAGTAAAGATACTTGTTCAGGCCAACACAAATATTGGAAGGGAAGAGATTATTATCGACGCTTATATTACACACCCGTTGACCATCACAGCGTCTTTTTAAATGACATGTAACATCGAAGCTACAACTGTAATTGTAACTTGAACCACAAACATTTCCTTCATTCAATCCACGATATTCTGCCTTTTTTATGACCATGTATTGATTGTTAGGACAGCTAGCATTTGTTATTTTTTCACCAAAGCACGTCACTGAGCCTATAAAATACAAAAGTAGTAGATTTTAAAGGTTATAGAACCTTTCATGCCTGCAATACTAACCTAAACGCAACATTTTACAACATTTATACAAACATAGAAGTGCCCTTGTACGCAAATCCAAATCAAAACATAGAAATGAAAATGAGAAAATATGTCACTTAAGACAATACTTTATGCAGTACAATATTTGAAAAATGTGATATTAACTTTTGAAAATAGAGACTTCTTAAAGCGAAGTGAATTACTTCTGACAATATTCCAGAATAACGGTCAATAAATAAATATCTTACGCATGTAAATTAAAGTGCTATATGCACTTGGATGTATATAAGACAGAAATTACCAAACATTTTTGTACGTGCCAGGATTCGTTGATTAATTATGACATTCCATAAATATGAAGATAGACGTTTTATTTTGTCTAATGACATGTACAAACAAGTAACAACAAATAGACATCAGGTATATCCTATACATAGTGTGGGCACCAAGGAGGGAAACAAGGGGTGAGTCGTCTCCGCAACATCTCTGTGGGAGACGTTGGCGTCAATCTTGTGTTAATAGGGGGGACCATATTCATATATTTTGCTATGCCTGGGTAATTTCTCTTCAAAACAATTTCACTTTCAAAAGAAATCAACCAGGCATAACAGAATATATGAATACCAATTATCGCAGAATTGACGCCAACGCCCAAAATGAATTCTTTGTGCACATAACTTCAAAAATTTCAGCAGCATTACACAGTACGTACAAAATGCAAGTGACATTTTTGAGTCCCCTTCAAAAATTTCTGGAGCTTCCGATCCTAGATGGACGGAGGACAGGTAGCGGATCTAGGGTAGGTCAGAATGCATCACTAAAATATATTTCCATTTTAAAATACTTTAACCACATCCTATTGCGAGAATTTTGGTCTTAAATATTCTTTAGAAGTTTTTAACTAACAGCATTTTCAAAAACGTGTTTTGTGTATAAAATGAGCTTAAGTAAAAATGTAAGTAAAAATGCAAAAAAATCATAGACTTTATAAGCGTGAAAGACAAAAATCTACCGCTTCTATCCAAGTTAAAAATATTTTCAGCATATTTTATGCATTACACATGGCTTTAAGTTCCAAAAAAATAACAGAAATACGTCGTTATTAAAGCTCTCTCGTAAATTAAAGTTTGTTTTCGTTCCTCAAAAGGGACCTAGTAATTAGGTGATAACAATATGGGCACCTGATTACTTTGGCTTTATTATACATATCTATGCTCACAATGAATTCTTCATGTACATACTTAAAAAATATCAATAGCATTACACAGTACGCAAATCACGTAAGTGACATGTTTTACTTCACCCCCCGGAAAAAAATTTAACAAAAACTTCAAAATCGAGCTGCTAGAATCATCGCAAACATGAGTAATGTTGTTGATCACGAAATTGCTTTGAGAGCTTTAGAGTGGGAGTCTCTTGATATTCAAAGGCAAAAAAGTAAAGCAAAGCTCATGTTCAAATTGCTTAACAACATGGATCCAAAATTACTTAAGCGAATCAACTGATTATCAACTTTGTGGTTTTAAAAAAACACTATGCTTACCTCAGCCACGAACCAATAGCATGAAAAAAAGCCTCAAGTCTGGAACTCATTGCCAAATGAACTTAAAGAAATTAGTTCTCTAGCGACCTTTCAAAGAAAAATCGCTTCCCACTTTCCCAAAACAAATATGTACTCAACTAATTGTAAATAGCTTTCTAACCTAGCTATACTTCATTTAATGTACATTTTAGTGTCTTGTGTATCGTAAATTGTAAGTAGTTCACTATTCTATTGTAATTTTCATTTTTGCACACGCCCCATTTTGAAATCAAATTGTATGCTGACAATGGTAAGCGTGTTAAAATAAAATTATCTATCTATTATAATAAATGTATGACGAATTAAACATGTTCGACTTTTCCGGGAGTGTATTCAATTAGTTTTGCAATTGCAAAAAAAATTTCTATGAGAAGATGAATTAAATATAGGTCAAAGTGCCGTATGGATTTGACCAAAGTTAAATACGAAACACTATAATCACAATGATGCACTATAAATTAAACTGACACAGAAGAAACTAAAATGAACTGCCTTGCATGTACCTTGTCGTTTTATGTTCACGTTGATGACAACATAACAAGTGTGATTTTTTCCACCGTATAAAACATACTTGTAAGGGATTTTGTGTTGTCCGATTCCAAAGCTAGCAGAAGGTTTAAGATATGACTTTTCTATTGTTTCATTTATGTACTTATGTGAACATGTGAAGTTTTGTGGTTCTTTCCAATTTACGGAATTATAATAATTAAAGTATCGTCGTTCCATGGTGGTAACGTTCATAACAATGGGGCTACATCCACATGTCCCTAAATAAAATTAAGTTGTCTTTAATTTTTTGTCCAAAGAAAAAGATCAAGTAGAAAATGAGCCTCATTTCGCAACAAAATATTGTTAACAATTCGCATTAAATCAACAGTCATCTGTAAAACTCAATAGACAAAAACTACAGACGATATTATATAACTGCATGTATTTTGGCTGTACAGTCATATTGTTTTGTTTTTGTAACTAAACATATGAACAATGAACGAGAGATTATTCTTCGTTCATGCTGTAAGGCTAGTGTAAGAAAATCAGTTAAGTACTTTATCATGTTCAGGGGATTATACCTCACTTTGATGCACTTTCAAAGAACACGGTGCCAATTACCGTTTTTTAAATGAAGCAGTACCCCTGTCATATAAGTGTTGTGATTGTTTGCTAAGTCCATGTTTGCTAAGTACATAAGTTAATGTTCTTTATGGAAAAACTGTTGTTTATTTTACCTTCAAGTGGACATATTTCACTAAACATTTTAAATCGCTCCAAAAGATATTTCCTCTCTTCGACACAACAACGTGTATGAGTATTGTTGCATTTCAAATCGATTCGAATTTTGTCCCCGACAAATTTTTTCCATTCTTCCTCACAAAACTCAAGTTCTTCATTCCAACCCATTTTCATTGCGAATCCTTGACCAAATAACAGCCACAATAACCACCATATCATTAATCTGATCATTGCATAGATCCAAGGATATACAGTAAAGCTCTAAATTATAATCGAATGCTAGGTGTATTACAGAAAACAATAAATTTATATTTAGATCGACAATGACTACCTTACAATTACATCTGTAATGCAAGCAGACAGCGATAAAAACATATTTTTGGGCTGTATATGTACATTATCTAAAAAATCTAGTCTAGCAAAAGTGTGCATCAGATGGCTCCAGTGGCGGATGTGGTGTAAGTCAAAATTAATAACACAACACAATTTGGAATGAATTTACATTTCTACAAGCACCTTAAGTAGAGACAAGTCCGTTCGTAAAATTATATGCTTTAGAATTTTGAAACCAATAGCATTTTTCTCAAAAAACTGTGAAATGAAAATTTAGCAGCTATAATTTATTTTAAGGAACGCTGGATCCGCTAATGGATGGCTTTGTCAATGATATTGTTGCCCTTTCAAAGTCACTGTAGCTATTATAAGGTAACGTGGTGATATTTTTTTAAATAATGAAACTTGGTTATCATTCAATTAATGCTTTATCATTCTTACTATTCAGCAATACATTAAAAAATAATCAAATATTCTACATTAAAGCAAAATATAAAATATTACTACATATCATGATAAATTAAATGAATATCATTTATTTTAGATATAATGGATTAGGGACATTAGACTATATTACAGTAATAATAATTCTCACTCTGAGTCTTAAAATAACAATCGTGCACAGTTTTCCATTATTTCATTTCAATTTTCCGTTATGTCACATGACTTGACGAGGTCCAGTCAAATCCTTGAAGTATGTTAAGCTCTCTACAGTAAAGTTCTAAATTATAATTGATTGTTGGATGTACATATGTTATCACAGAAGACTTTAAATTTATATTTAGATCGACAAAGACTACGTCACAATTACATCTGTGACGCAAGCAGATCACGATCAAAACGCATTTTTGAGCTATATATAAGCATTATCTAAAAAATTCATTTCAGTAAAATTGTGTAGCGAGAAAAACTGTTCAGAAATTGATTGAGTTTACCTCATATGCCTGCATGATAGCTCTCTCAATGGTAGCCACTGTAGCTATTATATAGGTACGTGGTTATAATTTTTTTAAAATAATGAAACTTGATTATCTTTCAATCTATGCTTTATTCTTCTTACTCGGTTCAGTCTAAATTTCAACTCCTTGTGTTTAAAGAGATTTATTGAACGATTAAAAAAATGCTTTTTAGTGGATAGCGTTAAGGAAGCGAAGAAAGCGAGATCAAATTAAAATCAACTCATCGAATTCAACACATTAGCAGCTAAAAAACAGCTAAATTGCTCATTTGAAAAATTCAAAAAGTTACAGTTGAAAAACTAAATAAATTAAACATTTTGAAAGATAATGACCAAAAAAATAATGTTGAAAAGGGTGTTAGATGAGGAAGAGCTCACGAAAGAAACGAACGTCGATATTAAGGGCATTTAAGTAGTTTTGGGTTTCAACGTTATCTTAAGATTGCTTAAATTCTTTTATAAAAATTCACAGAAATATCACAGAAAATCGTGGAAATATTTTGAAAATTTTTACATTTTTTCAAGCTTGGCGTTCATTTGTTTGCAGTTACTCGTGGAGTACTTGATGACAATGAATACTCAATAAGAATTGAAAATCTCAAACGGATTTATTTTTAATGTTTCGCAGGTGCTGCTGAAGGACAAAATTATTTACAGAACAGTGGAATAGGGCTTGTTTTTGATGTAGTTGCGAGATTTGAGCGAAAAATATGATAATATGTGACTCAAAATATGAATGTGATAACCTGTCCTGAATCCTACATCAAGCATGGAGGTAAAGTTGAAATTCGGCAATATCCATACAACATATGATGATCGTAAATGTAACAAAGTGTTGATATATACAATGTCAAAACAACGAATTTTTTATGGTCTATTTAGTAGAGGCTGCATAGTTCATAAATGAGAATAGCGCTCGGCGTTGGTGCAATTGGGGCTTCATAAGAATTAGAAAGACAAGCTTACCGCCGTTTCGACGAACGGCGGGCGTCTATTCCGGATCAGCTTGATACATTGGAACGAATCTATCGCTTGGACAATTATGACTCGGTCGACAAGATTTGAGATGGCAATATAGGTACCAGAGTGACCTGTTCCGTCACTGGATTTGAAAAAAAATAATTTTGTATTTGTAGCAAATTTCTTGTAGAGATCTTCACTCAGACCTTAAACCACTGAATTATAACCACGAGAGCGACGGGGTTAATCAACTGCTAATATTCCAGTGACACGTGTTAAAGTGCACACTTCCATTTACATCAGCAGCTCTCTGTGAATATTCAACTTCAGATAAGATTTCCATTATACTGTGAACATCTTTAGGAACGTCATGAACCGGTCACGATATGTCATGAATCACGGACCATACGACCTTTTTTAATATCCTAAGAAGCAAAAAATAAATAAATGTAACAAATCATTTAATCATAAAAACACGAAGGAACAATCAAGAGCAGAAATCCACTTATTTATTCTGCAAAGCAATTAGGAATATAAGGAAGGAACATTAATTAAGATAAAGCAAACATTTAAATAAACACAGTAGCGTCACCAGTCTGCAGGTTTACTCCGCTTTGTAAATTTTAAACGATTAGCGATCATAAATTTAGTAATCACAAATTTACTTTTAATTTGTCTAATTGAAAGTTGATACACTAGAAGTATTTTTTAGAAATCTATTGTTCTTACGGGTCAGTAAACACAAAAATATTTGCTGCAACTGCGTAAAAACACTATTGATATTGCGCATTTAATAAACACGACGAGTTTTTTTAAAAGAAGCATTTCACATTAACAAAACTAATCGTAATCTCAACGTTCACGTTTTTCGTTTTAACACTATATTCAGCCTGTAAATACAGTCATAAATTAGTTCCAACCAGTATTTCATTTTGATATTTATAATCTACAGATAATTGTATCACTGCATCATATTACTCTTATATAAAATTATCATGCATATACATAATATTCTTACTATACTGAAGATGCCATCATGAGATGTTGAAACACATTTATTTCAAAAAAACTCGTCGTATTTATTAAATCCGAAAAATATTTGCATAGCGAGAGTAAAGTCGGGCTGGCTACGCTACTAAATAAACATATACATATGAACTTTGTATAAAAGAGAAGTGTAGTGATTTATTTGAAACAAATTATCTAAAGCAGAGATTTAAATATGTTTATACAAATTTCTTTTTATCAGAATGATTCTGACTTTTCTCCTAGACAAACGCTATTGATTGTAAACATGTGTTTGTGACTTTTCCTTCAAGATAATGAATATTTTATTGTTTTATTGCAGTTAAAATTTGAAAACTCGACCTGTTTGATAAACGGCCAAAGTAAGATGGACATTCGTTTTTCCAACTGCAAATGGTAGACATACCTGATCGCCAAACTTGAGAACGCTACGAAGATCCGATTCGGTTTGAAGCAAAAAGGGCAACGTCACTATCTCGTCATCCACAAAACAAAAACTCAAACCACATTCACTGTCTCTGTTTTGAAAGAAACAACGAGCTATTACGAGTGCACTCACTTTTGATTTTAAAATATTATATACTCATTGTATACTCCAGTCTTGTGTCTTCATTAGGAGTGACCTGATGTTAAAATTTGAGTCCCTATATACTCCAGTCTTGTGTCTTCATCAAGAGTGATATAATATTGAAACTTGAGTTCTTATATACTCTAGTCTAGTGTCTTCATCAGGAGTGATCTAATATTGAAACTTGAGTTTTCATATACTTCAGTCTAGTGTCTTCATCAGGAGTGATCTGATGTTGAAACTTGAGTTCTTATATACTCCAGTCTAGTGTCTTCATCAGTAGTGATCTACTCGAGTCTTTACATTCTCCAGTCAAGCCTCTTCATAAGGTAGTGTCCTCATGTTTAATTTTGAGTTGTCCAACTTTCAGGAGATATGTTATTAAAAGAAAATTGTGAGAAAAATAATGTTAAAAACAAACCTCTCACGTTCGTCTTTTCTTGGACTTCTTCCTATCCATGTCATTGACTCACGTTCAATCACACCAACGTACCACTTATCAATTGACGGCTGAAAGAAAAACCGTATAAAACACGATCAAATATGGAACGCAGCACTACGTATCCTCAGGTAATCCTTTATGTACAACACAAGTATTCAAAAAATATCGAAATTGCAAAACAAACAACAACTATCCTTCAGCAATCTCTTGTGTACACAATAGTATGAATACAATGGCTATTTTATTGCAATACTGCAAGTAAGGAATTACTATAAAATATCCTGCCATATACTTGTACAATATGCAAGCCTAACATTGACCAACACCTAAACCCAATCCCAACCAAGTATTGGGCAGTCTTTATGGCAGGGTATGGTATAATTGTGGCCACGGAAACATTCAAGCAGTAATGTAATATGATTGGTTTATACACTAGGGTTAATACATGATTGGTTGATATACTATGGTCATTATATGATTGGTTGATACACTATGGTGACTATATGATTGGTTGATACACTATGTTGATTATATGATTGGTTGATACACTATGGTGACTATATGATCGGTTTATACACTAGGGTTAATATATGATTGGTTGATACACTATGGTGACTATATGATTAATTGATACGCTATGGTGACTATATGATTGGTTGATACACTATGGTGACTATATGATTGGTTGATACTCTATGGTGACTATAGCATTGGTTGATACACTATGGTGACTATATCATTGGTTGATACACTATGGTGACAATCATTGGATGACAATCCTCGTTCTTACTATATGGGGTTCTGTACAAAAGCTTCTGAAAGGCTGTAATTGAAGCAGCTGATGGATGTTCCACCACCGTGTCTGGTTTGTTCAATGGTCGTGAAAACCAGGCAATTTCCCCTTCGACTTCTACTTGTATGCTTTTTAAGGTGTGAAATTTCTGCAGATTGGTGATGCAATTGATATCTAACCTTCTTTGTGATGTGTTGATACATGCTCCTTTGCTTGTACTTGATGCCTCAAATATTTTTCTCCATTGTTGCAACTGGTCCATACTTGGCATAGATGTTACATGGCAAGGATCAACAACTGAATCATCATCTGTACTGCAATTTACACCTTGGATAAACCGTTTCTCAATATTTGGTAACAAAGACTCAATAGCCTGACCTCTAGTTAGCTTGCTCAGTACGGGCTCTATCTTTTTCGAAGCTTTTTTGAGAGACAAAACCTCCAAATAAATTATGTACATATAATTAACGAAACTAATTTCCATTTCTATATTATGAATTTTTAATGCAAGACTTTAATCCTATGTCATGTCAGGGCCTATATTCATGTTGCCTTGCACCCCCATCTCCATTGCACTGCAAAGGTCTGAACTAAATAACCTAAATAACTGCATAAACTTTGCAAGTAGTGCAATTCAGTGGAAGTTCTGGGGTAAGTCAGAATACGTTTATGTTTAGTAGCTTATTATAAATTTAAAATACTATAATAACAACACTGTTGATATTATTATAATTATTACCAGTTATTTCCAAAATATTGCCAATACGGCAGTTGTCAAGTAGTTTCATGTATTCTGACTTACTCTGCAGCGAAAGTTTTGTTTGCAATTCAGTTAATGTATGTGCATATGCTTAGTGTGATGAAGCAATTAAACTTGCAATACCTTCGTATTGTTATTCCACATACCGCTTTTCACGAATAATAAAGAACTTAAAACGTTAAGATATTTACCTTTATTATAGAGCAATACAATGGAAGGAGAACAAGAAAGTTGACAATGCGCATACGATGATGTTTTTTTACAAAAAAGTTAAAGTGGGTAAAATCGTATTTCGCGACAAGACGATAAAACAATTCGCGCGCGTAACGATGGTGACATTTAATATTTATCTTTCAGTTCACGTTTCACGTGACAAATTTCAATATGGCTTCTGTGCTCCGATCTCTCGATTTAGCTGCAAGTCCAAAAAATACAACAAGCCATATTTACATGTAGCAAAACCAACAACATCCCCAGTCAAGTCGGTGAACTCCCCCAAGACATCTTTCTCCCAATATGACAGCTGTGAACTGCCATCGCTTGTGTTGTACAATATCACACCATTTACCGGTTCCTGTCTTTTGGTCCGACAATGTACTTTCTCGATGGTGCCTTGAAATGAGCCTTTGCTAACATCATCAAACTTCACTGTACGTTCTACTAGACGCTCCACTGAGACTGCAACTTCTTTACCCTGTGAGTAAGTGATTGACTTAAGTACAGACGGGGTAGAGAATGTCCGACATTGAGCAATGGCTACATAATACATAACTAACGTACATATCTATTTTGTACAACAAACTGGACATCATCTCCTTTCAACAAATCACCAATATTCCCAAGAAATTCACTGTAGTTGAAAATTATCTAAAAGAAAAATATAGTATAAAACTTCAGTAGACTTTTTGCACAAATTGCAATAAGATATACAAAAATATTTTCTTGGTTTCAAGGTGAACCTTTCTCGATTTATCTGAGTAAAATGCGAGACTTCACAAAGAGGAAAAGGCAAGTCTTTAGTTTTCAACTTGATCAAGCTAAAGGTTTATTCCCGGGAGCATTATTACATGTTTGTGCGTACGTAGATGTAGCGTCGTAATAATTGGTCAAGTTTTTACTAACAAATTTTACGAATTTCCAAAAATGAACTTGCTGCTGTCGTCAGCTATCACAAAAATACGTCATTTGAGTCACGTGACTTGTTTGCACCCGAAAATTTTCAATCCTATGTCAAATGCCAATCAGAAGTCATCGTTTATAAAATAAAATACAAATAATGATGAATTCGTATACATAAGTGAAATAATTGATAGAACTCATTTTGTATTGAACAATATATTATCAATACTGATCTACAGGGAGCAACTGCAACGGCCCAAACACAAACCTCGTTCCCTTTGTCAGCTCTGTCGATGAAACCAAAAGATTACTTGAGCGAGCAGACAATTCCTTGAACGTAAACAGGAGGCGAAGCTTCGAGCAGCAACAACTCCACGGCACAGCATTGTCCATTTCTGTAGAGGTTTATGAACTGTAGCAGTGCATTAAACAAACAACAATTTGGACATGGCTCGTAAATTGGACGTGGTTCGTGCAAATAATAAACTAACGTTCATGTTATAAGCGTTAACCAAAGCGTTTTCACGTGTAAGGTAGCATATAAAAACGTAGAAATAAGAAGAAAGACTTCACCAAAATAGAAAGAACATTCTTAAGACTGTGCATTCATTGCTTAACCACGTAATGTACTTCACCCGATGAAGCACGTGATACAATCTAGAGAAACAGTACAAGCTTTCGACGCTATAGCAAAGAATATAATTTACCTTTTGTTTTCCAGGATGTAAAAAGACACAGTATCACCTTTGTAGATATGAGACTTTCATAAAATATCAGCTTGATGATATGGAAGAAAAACAATTCCTGAAAGAAAAGGAGCAACGGTTAGAATCATAAATATCCACCCCCTGACCTTGCTGACCTGTATTATGCAATGAACTTAAACTCGACCCCCCTGACCGTGCAGACCTGTATTATGCAATGATGTTGAACTCCACCCCTGACCTTGCAGACCTGTATTATGCAATGATTTTAAACTCCACCCCCTGACCTTGTAGACCTGTATTATGCAATGAACTTAAACTCGACCCCCCTGACCGTGCAGACCTGTATTATGCAATGATGTTGAACTCCACCCCTGACCTTGTAGACCTGTATTATGCAATGAACTTAAACTCCACCTCCCTGACCGTGCAGACCTGTATTATGCAATGATCTTAAACTCCACTCCTTGACCTTACAGACCTTTATTATGCAATGAGCTTAAACTCCACCCCTCTGACCGTGCTGACCTGTATTATGCAATGATGTTGAACTCCACCCTGACCTTGCAGACCTGTATTATGCAATGAACTTAAACTCCACCTCCATGACCGTGCAGACCTGTATTATGCAATGATCTTAAACTCCACTCCCTGACCTTACAGACCTTTATTATGCAATGAGCTTAAACTCCACCCCTCTGACCGTGCTGACCTGTATTATGCAATGAACTTAAACTCCACCCCCTGATCATGCAGAAGTTTACTATGCCATGATTTTAAACACCACCCACCCCACCCCCCGACCGTGCAAGCCGATATTATGCAATGAGCTTAAACTCCACCCCTCTGACCGTGCTGACCTGTATTATGCAATGAACTTAAACTCCACCTCCTGATCATGCAAACATTTATCATGCCATGATTTTAAAATCACCCTTCCGACCGTGCAAACCGATATTATACAATGAGCTTAAACTCCACCCTCTGACCGTGCAGACTTGTATTATGTAATGATTTTAAACACCATCCGCCTGACCGTGCAAACCTGTATTATGCAATTAACTTAAACTCCACCCGCTCATCATGCAGACGTTTATTATGCAATGATTTAAACCCCACCCCCTGACCGTGCAAACCTGTATTGTGCAATAATTTTAAACACAACCCCCTGACCGTGCAAATCTGTATTATGTAATGAATTTAAACACCACACCCAGACCGTGCAAATCAAAAATCCAAATAGAAAATAAGTGCAAAAACCTGTTTCAAAAAAGATGAAGGAAATGTCAGTAATTTGCAGGCAATAATCTACACTTTCCCTTATCGTCACGTCACTAACTTTCTTGCCTGTTTCAATTTTGCGATTTTTGCCCAAAGCAACTATTTTGCACACTGGTGTGTTCTTTATTTATTGTCCAATCGATAAATGTTCGATATAAGATTTTGAGTAAAAAGTTTGATACTTTTTATATTTTACATTAATTCTTGTCACTTAACCCCCCCTCCCCCCCAAAAAAATGACTTAAGCATAAATGTTATTAACGTGAAGATGCATAAAGTATCAAAAGGGCGTCAAAAAAGACAAGGTGTCAAGGTCACTTACTTCAAATATGTCAGAGCCTTGTTCCAATTTCACCACTCGATATGCAATAGGTTTACCCTTACGAGAATCTGATGTCACTAAAAACTCGACACAGTCTAAACAGAAAAAGATTTGATCGACTATCAATATCAATCGAAATGTTCTTTACACTTCAGATTATAGCCCAGAGCATTGGCCTTTGCAGTAGCAGTAGAAACAAGGGGATAGGCGGGGTTGGGCGGATGAGTGAAGGATTACAGTGTGAAATTCCCCAACAAGTCAATGATCAGTGGTTTGTTCTGACTAGGTAAATAAACAAAAGTTCTGCTTCGTTTTACCCTACAATAAAACAAAGACTATACATGATTTTGAAAGGTTTTTTTATAACTAACAGTAACTTTTGGACACACTTCTTTTGCGGACAGAGTCCTTCAGAGTACCCATCACATTCACATTAAAAAGACAGAGCAGTGCAAGTTAGAATAGCAAAGAACACCCTCGCACAACATCGTGAAGGCACGTGAATGCCACATGTTGATAACATGAACTGTGGTGGGATTCAGATCGTGGGGATCAAATTTTAAAAGAATACCAAGAAAGGCATGCCCCGGAATCTCCATAGAAATCTCATGCCTTGAGGATGAGCTTCTCCCACCCAATATGTCATAAAGTGTCACCACTGATTATGGTAGGGAGTGAAAAGTCATATGAGGAAACCCAATGAATTACTTGACAAAGAATGCTTTTCATATAATGACTGATGAAAAAAATGCTCTGAATAACTGGATAAGCCTACAAAAACTTTTTTTCCCCTTATCAAATAGCAGAAAGGCAACAAGCCTCATACTTGAATATTATATCAACTTTTCAGAAAAGCAATACAATACTAATAGTTTAGTTGCACACATAACAAGTAATATAAAGGTCATTGAAGGGTGAAAATAAGCAAAATTTACAAACCACCAAGTTCCAGCTCACTTGAATGTCCTTTGTACTGACTGTAATGAAAGAACACTCGAAGATCCTGTTCAACACACTCAATAAAGCCATAACTTTGCTGCAAAAAAACATGCATAAATGCTATAGAAAAAAGTCGAGAAGCATTTTTTGCAGTAATTTGGGTCCTGAACCAGTTTATAAAAACTCCATACTAAACTGACTTTGAATTGTTAAAATAACTTACACAAAATTTTTCAATGACACCTGTTTCCCTGTGTAATACATGAACACCTTTGAAAGGTAATGGTCACCGGTACCATAGTCCTGAGACATATTTGTTCGCATAGAATGTTTCTAAGTAGTATGAAAACATTATAAAATGTTTCTAATTAGTAAGAAAACATTATAGAATGTTTCTAATTAGTAGGGAAACATTATAGAATGTTTTTAATTCGTAAGAAAAGGTTATAAATTGTTTCTAAGTAGTAAGAAAACGTTATAGAATGTTTCTAATTAGTAAGAAAACATTATAGAATGTTTTTAATTAGCAGGAAAACATTTTAGAATGTTTCTAATTAGTATGAAAACATTATAGAATGATTCTAATTCGTAAGAAAAGGTTATAAAATGTTTCTAATTAGTAAGAAAACATTAACAGCAAAATGAAATGAAAATAAAATTTTTCATAAACAAAAAGCAGTAGGAAGTACCTTCCACGACTCTGTTGCCATGTTTGATTCACCAAAAAGTGAATTCTATTTGTTACAAAGGCTGCCAGCAGTTTGAATGATAACTTTTTGCAAAATAATATATATGGTATATGTATAAAAATTCTCCTCTCAATTTTCCTAATTCACTGAATAATATAATCCATTTGCCGCACAAAAACAGGAGGCACAAATCTGCTGTGAATAGTTAAGATTGTTCCGTGTAAGCTATGCCTTGCCAATATGAAAGTTTCCTTAACGTGGGCTGTGCGAGATGATATGGATTTGGCGGCTTTCTCTATAGAATTTGAATTGGCGTTTCCTCATCTTTTTCTGCTTTGCAGACATTTATTCCAAGCAAATAACCAGAAAAAACTAAGTTAACACATTTTCTCAAATATATCATTTGCTCATCATCTAATAACATAGGATATTCAATTACATGTTTTGACTTATCAATAGTGCTGTAGAATATTTATCATCAAGAGCAGCAGTTAACAATCAATAGCACAACATGTATATACATACTTTCTAAGAAAAGTCAAGTGCAGTGTCGCGATTGCAACAGACAATGTACAACAGTTTGTACCTATTACAGCACACTATCTGTTGCACAACATATAAATTTGTTTATTTAAATGTCTTCTTATCCAAATGATTCAAACTTTTCTTGAATTGAATGCGCATTAATGTGACTTGAATATTCCTAATTGTTAAGCAGTAAAAATAAATGCTATTTTCTACTGGTGCTCTTGATTTTTCCTTCAAGTTAATGAATATTCTACTGTTCTACTGTTAATTAAAAAAGCATAATTGAATGTTCAATCTTCTTTAAAGTGCTTATCTCACCTTTTTTTTTTCGAATTTTCTGATTGAGTTAAAAAAATTATTTTAAAAGTTATTTTACAATTTTCTGATTGATTTTACAATTTTCTGATCCAAATTTTTACAATGACATCAGTGCACTCTTAAAAGTTGAAATACCAGGCACTTTCGGTCATCTGTAAAAGTGGCGTATTAACCGGAGATACTCGTGAGAGGGTCGGCTATGTTTTCCGTGACTTGAGCCTGATTCGCTGATTCGCGCAAGTCTTCGATACCCTCATAAAGATACTTCATGTTTTATTGTAATCGCTTTGTATTTCTGTATTTGTAGCAAGTTGATATTTTCCGTAAATAAAGCATAATTCGAAAGCAAATGTAAATTATGGTCGCGCGTTTAAACAGAGGTAAATCTTTCGGTGGTATTCAGACCGGTGTAGGAAAACGAGGAGAGGGGTTAACAACAGACTATTCATTAACGATTTGATTGTCACCAATTAACTTGAAACCACTCGGCTCTTTCGTTAGTATTCAACCAAAAGATATGTTTTGCAATCGAGCTTTCTGACACATACATTTTTCATGTTTTTAAAATCTCGTGTTGTTGCTTCCAACCCATTTCTTCTTCTTCGTTAATCACTAATGTACAGCCGAAATACAACGTTCCAGCACTCTCGCAATCAAGTCATCAGTAAACTCAATTAACTCGATAATTTAGGACATTTTCTATGAATATCATCACGACGATAAGAAGAGAAAACAAAAAAGGACAAGAACATGCTTTGATACACCAATTTTTTATACTAACAAATTTGGTAACAGAGTAAACTCTATCCACTAAAACTCCCTGTTTCCTACGTCAGGTAAATTAATGAGATGAGAGTGCGCACATATTCATACATATTCCACTAACTCCAAAATACATAATTGTATGAAAATCCCCCCCTCTCATTAAAATAAATTAATGAGCATGCTACGCCACAATTTGTTTTTAATTTAACTTTATTTCTTATTTAATGTATTTAGATAAAAGTATTACAGCCGTTTACCGATTTCAAATATTGACTATATACTTAGTCTAAAAATTTGATGCCATGTTCCATATTGTTTTCAAATAGTGTTTAGAATCATTCACTCTCGTTCACTCCTATAGTTAAAAAGGAAATAAAATGTTATGTTTAATTATATTCTTTTATAGTACGCTAAATTTCAGAAAACCTATAATAATCTCGAGAAAAAAATTCAACTTCCTCCACTTTTGAGAAATTTTAGTAGCCGTCGAATGACTACAATACGCAGTTCACTGCACTGTAGCAGAGTTTGAATTGATCCTAACAAAAAGAATGACCAATATGACAAGAAAAATGACCAAAATTGCAGCTACAACTGCACCAGCAAAAGCTCCAGTGTTTCCACCGTCTACAAGATAAAAATTAATGACAAATCATAACATTACCAACCAATGTTGTCTTTCAGCGATCATTTTATCATTTTTTTAAAGCTGAGATTATAACGCTCTCACACCCCATGTATTCATCCCTATTAACTATTCATGATTTATTTATGGTAAAAGTTAGGTTTGGAACACAATGAAATTAAAGAAGAGGTACACAAAAGCACTAAGGCAGTTATTTGTTGCCATTAAATCTGCTGTATCATCGACTAATATCTCTACTCATCGTTAAAAAATTTCTGGCACTTGTCTGCACTGAGATTTGTAAATATTTTGAAGCATTACACTTTAGACATCGACACACTTCCCTTAAGTTATTGAAAGCAAACACAAACCTGAAGACTTGTGCTTTTGGGCAGTTGCTGCCACAGGACTCCAGTCAGTGGAATAATAATCACCCTGAAACGAAGTGAACATTTATATTTGAATAAAAGTTGCAGTAGGCAATGCAGATGAAAATGTAAAAAACACATGGCACCTTATCATTAATGAAAATGCGTTGAAATATTTTGTAGTTAGTGCCAAGCTTCAGCGGGCCATTGTAATAATTTTCACCATTGGAAAGCCGTGTTGTATTTTCACCATCACCAAGTGTAAAATCCGGCTTAAAGTCTCTGCGAGAGACTACAGCAGCAATATAGGGCATTGGTTGTGCGGAAGATATTGCCTCAGAATAAGTCCCTAAGTCTGTGTTTTTAAAGTTAGAAGGCAATCGACTCTCTTCTGTGCCATTTTTCATCGCGACTACATAGAAATATCTGCAAATTGAAGGGAAAACATTTTTTAAAAACACATACATCACCTCTGCTTTTGTTAATTGTCAAAATATATGTCATGCATGTATCTGCACTGCCAGAGAAAAGCGACGAGTCATCAAAACGTTTCCAGAGAGATATTTAGACTACCTCAATCCCACATGAAACCAACTCTCCTATACTTAGCCATGAATACGAAAAACTCAAAAAATACTTTTAAGTTCCTTTAAGTTTTTTTACAATAATTTGCTCTAGTAAAATACATAGTTACCGATATTCCAAATTTGGATTTTGGAACAAATAAGTCAACGTATTTCCAATCTGCTTGGTGGACAGTTCAGGTGCCACTAAATAAATGAACTTGAATAGATTTACCATCTTAATCAAACATTTACAGAATCTATAGACAACTTACATCCATTTGTAAATACCCATATAACATTGCTGTAAATTCCAGATCCCACTATTGTAGAAGCTAAAACTCGAACATAATATTTTGTCCCTTGTTTCACATTATTTATGTCCAAACGCTGTTCCTCGATCATATACTTCATTGAACAGTTTTCATTCTCCAAATGTGTAATACAAACAGTGTAACTGACTATCTTTCCATTTGTTTTGTTCTTATCTGGTGGCTCCCACGTAACTGATAACGATGAACTGCTTAAGGCGACAATTTGAACATTTAAAGGTGGACCTTCGGGAACTAAACAAAAATAACAACATATGTTTTAAAGATTTATGTAAAACATTAAAATCTCTTTAAAAAGAAGTCCTAACAAGTGTACACTGTCATTGTTAACTTAAATATAATACAGTAAAAGAAAAGCATGATTGAAATAAATGTCGACCAGAAAAGATTTGAGCTTTCAAAAGTCGTCCACGACAATAACACCATCAATGCAATAACAGCCTATATATATATATATGAACTCACCATCTTCAGCAGTTCTAAAAGTAGCTGTAGTTGATCTACCAAAGCCTTCAGAATTGCCAGCGGTTACATTAATTTTATACGTTGCGTAAGGAACAAGATTCGTAATGTTGTAAGGTTTTTTGTCAGTTACCTCCAAAGTTTTATTGAAAACAATCATAGTATCCTTCAGCAAAATCAATAGATATCTTGTAAGAGGATTCGAGATATTTGTACCACGTTTTAAACCAGCTCTTTTGGGATGTTTCCATGATATCTCGAGGTACGTCGATGCAGATTTAGTTGCAATGAGATCTGTTGGTTTTTCTGGGAGTAAGTCTGCACGATAAAAGAAAAATCTACAAATAGAACCATGTGTCGCCTCTAAATGAAATCAGTGTTCTGTTTTTTCCTCAATAACACGTGTTAAACTTAACAGCATGTTGAAAGCCTTGTTTCAATAAGTTTATTTTAACAGAGAAAGAAACTAACACTTCAGCCTTCATGGAAACTTGTTCAGTTTTGTCAACTAACACATGTTTGATTAATTTTCAGAGAAAAAACTTTATATATTGATTAATTAAGTGCTTACAGTGCAAAGTAAACCTGGTATATTTTTTCCAACTCTTACCTCCACCACAAATTTCAATTCGTAAACACGGTGCACCAACAAATTTCAATGGAAAGATTCGCAAAGCTTTAGATTTAAGGCCACCAGAAAACTTTTTTATAGCCGCATCATTGTAACTATTTTTGTTTCCTAGATAAATCTGGAATAAAACAAAACAAATAGTTTTCGTGTATTTGCAGAGCAAGGTTAGAGAAAGCCAGGTTTGTTTAAAGCAGTCCAGAGGAGAGTAGTTTATGCATTGTCTATGTATCTCTTCAAATCATGCACAAAGCTACAATTTAAACTTTATAATCAAATTCAAGAGTCCTTCGTAGTGCTGGAGTAACCAAGACAATCAACACAGTGACGTAGCTAGCCCACAAAATTGGTCGTGCTATATGTAAATTTTTCAGTGCTCACTTACTGTAAAAACAATAGATCTCTAAAGAAATGAATAATGATAATTATCTGAAATTTACATAGATCTAGCAATTTTGCGTGCCGCCTACACCACTGAATCAACATCTGCACACAAGCTTGTATATAAATATCAATTTAAAAGTTTACTTAATTTATAACTTCATTCCTTTTTTAAACTTCCCATTAAATTTATAATACACAAATTCGAAAATTCTACCGTTACCTTCTGGGATTTTTCAGATTTCCAGTTCACACCATCAATGTTTGTCTGCAAGTGATATTTAGTTACAAAGCTTGAACTTGAACTGTCCCCAAAGATTGCGATAACGTTAACTGTATAAAGACTCGGGAAATTCAGTTGAAGATAATGATTGCCATCTGCAGCAGAAGCACACCATGAACTACCACTGGATATTCTTGCTTTAGAAGCACTACGACTCTTTGGGAAGGCAGTAAACCAAGAATCTGGGAACTTGTCTGCATTTTTTAATAGAGGATTATCACAAATATGACCTTAAATAGAAAAAGATTTTGTTGAAATGCATTACAACATTAGAACTGGTTTGATTTGATAGAGAGCAATTATGCAATCCCATATTGTTCTCCATTCACGAAAAATTGCAAAAATTAAAAGCTGTTTTCTGAAGAAAGAAAAAGAGCACAAGAAGTATCGAACGAATAGGACTGATGTTGCATGCTTTTATTGAATAAGGTTAAATTCCAGTTGGAATCAAGCCAGCTATGACAAGGAACCGTAAGTATCTTCTCTAATAACAACAATACCGTGGCGATTTAAATCCATTAAAGAGTGAACGTCAATCATCGTGCAGAGCAATGACAATTGGACATTTTTTGAAGCACGAAATGAACTAGCAAGAGTAAAATTAATTTACTCCTCTGTATTCGCAGCAATCCTGTTTTAATTATTTATTATTTAAGAGTAGCAATCGTTTATATTTTGTGATGCTATATTTCTTTTGTTATGTAAAAGAAGAATTGTGAAATTCTCCAAGTCAGCGTAAAATACATTGACACTACGATGTCAGATGTAAGTCTTGATGATAGAGGTAAGTCATGATGCTTAACAAAAGACAGATGTAAGTTGAGAACACAAAAGTAACACATTCATTCCTTAAATCCTTCGCTAAAAACTTTTTCTAACGTCATAAAAAATGTGTTCTGCAATACGTTAATACATTGAAAAAATTGAATGAGAATGCTTACATGTAACGTACGAGTATTGAGAGCAATCCTTATTTTGAGTGATGGTACATTGAGATAAATCGTTTACTCCAGCATCACATTTGACAATTCCAGGTATAAACGATTGATGCATCAAAGATGATAGTGACATTGAGCCTTCCACAGATGCTGCGGTAGGATAACCAAGTTGTTTACAAATAATCGTCTTTATTTTGTGCAAAAGACCATTGTTGCAAATGGTGAAGTTTCTAAACTTGGTAATAACATTCACAACACCTTCGTTCGGAAGATTCGATTTAGACAGTCGTACATCCATAACTACACAAATCGAAATTATTTTTTTCTTTAATTATGATCATGGCGCATATCTTAAGGTGAAATCTGTGTTTTTAGAAATGGTTTTATGAACATAAATATGTCAAATCCCCTACGTGATTAAGATATATACACGGAGTTTGAAAATCAGAACAACACAGAAGGTGACAATAATTTAAAAAAATTATAGTTTGAAAGCACTTAACCAGAAATGTTTTACACATTCTGATGGACACAGTATGTTATAGATTTACAGTTAAAGTTGGTATGCACTGTTTTGATTTTAATTTTTAAGTCGGCAATGAACTGCATACAAATAAGTTGAACTGAGAACTTTACTTTTGTGCTGTAAACACGAATCACAACAAAATGTGTCTAAGTGATTATGTGAATCATTAATGAAACCAGAACAAACACCGTTTTTTACAGGTGAGCACTGCGTTTAGCTTCCCAATTCATATGAATTGTAGTGAATATATCTTTGTATATTTATGCAGTTTATATGAAAATTCTGCAGTGTGAATTCATGAAAGTATGAATACAAATGCAATTGTAAATGTCACTTTTGGCCTACATAGAATTGCCAAACGATTTAAAAAAAATAGATTTGATAAATCAAATTGACTGGAATAAGTGATGTTTCTGCGAACAATATTTGCATTAACAAACTAAAAACAAGAAATTGTTCAAACCTTTAAACTTAAGCAAACTATTGAGGACACAATTTAAATGTCACAATATAAAAAGACACTAAATTAAACTTTACAATATAAAAAGCATAAACAACCACGCCTGGTGAAGACACCCAACAAAAATTCAAATTTGTTTCAATTTTTCTAAATTGATAACGTACATAGTACAAAAATGAACAGCATACCATTGTGCATTAAGGTCAAAACTTGTCCCGAAGCACTTATATCATAAGCAAAATATAATTTGCCTGTATAATACTTACAATTGCAAATTTTTCTGTATGGCATACTTGTGTCGTTACATTGATATTCAAAGTAAAGATATTTCTCCAAGCCAGGACAAATACTTGAAGGAAAATGATTGTTATCAACAGTTATATTACATTCCCTTTCACCATCACAGTAATTTTTAAGGTCACATGTCACATCGACATTACAATTGTAATCCAAACTTGAACCACAAATGCTTCTTTTTCTTAATCCACGATATTCTGCAACTTTTATCACTATATATGTTTTATTAGAACAACTGACGTCCGATATATTTTTTCCAGCACATGTAACTGAGCCTATTAAAGACACACAAAAAATAAGTAAATTCATATCTATACAAGCTTATCTTTAAATTCCTGTAAAATAAAACTTGATTTGATAAAAATAAAGTGTGTGATGGCAGTGACTTCACTGGTGCGATTCCTATAACTGCGGACTTGCAGTGGCTTTTAATCAGAGTTTAAGTATATATACGCTAACTGGATGAATATTCTTACTTGCCAAAATTGAATCGCTGATCTTCTTCATTTTTACAACTGACAAGTTTCAAGACGCCAGGTCCTGCCATACATTTATTATAGCGTGAATAGAATAGACCACCCCATAATAAGCAATAATTAATCTGCCTATATAATACTTACGATTGCAAATTTTTCTGTATGGCATACTTGTGTCGTTACATTGATATTCAAAGTAAAGATATTTCACCAAACCAGGACAAATATTCGAAGGAAAATGGTTAACATCAACAGTTATATTACATTTTCTTTCGCCATCACAGTAATTTTTAAGGTCACATGTCACATTGACTCTACAAATGTGGTAAAAACCTGAGCCCCAAATGCTTCCTTTTCGCAATCCACGAAATTCTGCAACTTTTATTACCATATATTGATTATTAGAACAACTGACGTCCGAAATATTTTTTCCAGCACATGTCATTGATCCTATTGAAGACACACAAAAAGTAAGTAAAGTCCAATCTACACAAGCTTATCTTTAAATTCCTGTAAAATAAAAGTTGATTTGATAAAAATGAAGTGTATGATGGCAGTGACTTCTTTGGCGCCATTCCTATATCTGTGGCCTTGCAGTGGCTTTTAATAAGAGATTATGTAAATATACGCTAACTGGATAATATTCTCACTTGCCAAAATTGAATCGCTGATTTTCTTCTTTTTTACAATTGTCCAGTCCCACGTCGGAATAACCTCCTGTAGCGACTATGCATTTATTGTAGCGTGAAAAGAATAGACCACCCCAAAATGTTTGGGTTATGGCATTGATGGCGCTGCATTCTTCACTAAAATTTCCATGAGATAAACCCAAACCACTTCCGTATCTTTCTCTCACCAAACACCTTGTTGTATTCGGCCTATTGATTGAGCCAGATTGTAAAAATTTAAAATAAGCTGACTCCTGAAGACAATTCCATGTAAACCCCAAGTAAAGCTTATGATAAAGTGCGAGAAAATTATCAACACACAATCCTGACTGAACATGCTTGATGAAAAATCCAGTCGCATCTGAAAAAGGACAATCATACATGATAAAAATGATTGAAAATACCACACTCTACAAAATATATATATAAATATAATAGGACTTCATCAAAAATAATTTAGCATACTGAATTCTATCAATATAGGAAAAAACATTCCAAAAAAAAAGCCATCTTGAAACTCAACTTTTCTAAAGAATTAAATAATCCAATTGCTGTTGAGAGTCATTTTGAAAATAATGGTGTATGCAAGACTTTAAGGCATCCAGCATGGAGCATTGATCTAAAATACATGGAACGCTACCTGTAATACAAAACCCTAATAATTTTTTAAAGCCGTGATTTCACCCCAGACACGCAAGACTACCCCAGAAACGAGTGTGTACTCAATCAATTATTACTCCGCGAGAGAAACTCGAAACACTAAACGCGCGTGTCTTCAGTAAAATCTCGCGTATGTAGCGTAAAATATGGTTCAATTATATGCTTGATGTAGCGTTCGATGTATTCTAGTTCAATGGCATGGAGACTGAAAAACTTTACAAACAAGTTGAAAAGTGTAATAACTCAATTAATAAAAATTTCACGGGGCACGGTCTGTTACGATGGAAAAGGGAGAGTTATGGTTTGTTTACGCAATTGAAATATTTGAAATATTTTAAGATTGTTTGCTGAACCTGATTTTTCATCTGTATAAACTCCCATGACTTTCGTTTTTGATGAAAAGGAAGTTTATCTAAACACTTATACAAATTTGTGCCCAGAAAAAGTTGATGATTTAGGTTGGTATTATTCAAACTTGAAGACAAGGAATATATAATACAATGTAAAATTGAATTGTGAACTCTGTAAACTGTACACTCTTTTCTGGTGGAGTTCATTTAAGTTGTGCTGTGATATAGTGCTCTTGATAATAAAAATACCAGATAATGTAAATGGTTTGAACCGGGAGTATCGTTATATGTTTGTAAATGATGATCGTTCAGGTTAATAAAGTCCTGAGAAGGACTGTTTTTGTTGTTGTTGACTGACGTTTTGACAACCTTAGCGGTAGTCATCATCAGAGTCAAATGAGGTGTAAACGTCAGGTTAGCCGTATTTGTTATCTGATTATCTGGTTAAGGCTTTTTTTACAAAGTTATAAGATTGATGTTGTTCCAGCCATTTATATTTATTACTTAAATGCTTGTCAGACATGAGTTTTCTAATTCTTTTCGAGATGTGCAAAAAAAAATGTTTTTTTTTTTTTTACTCTGAAGATGACTACCGCTAAGGTTGTCGAAACGTCAGTCAACAACAACAAAAACATTCCTTCTCAGGACTTTATTAACCTGGACGATCATCATTTACAAACATATAAAAATACCAGAGTTGCACAATTTAAAATTCCAAACACTTTAAATAAATATCATGCCCAGGGCTTATACAAAATCGCGAGGCCTTTTTACGGGTTTATTTAGGTTTATACATGTAGAGGAGAGATGCATACATATATGTATAGGGATATTATACATAAGGTTAATGTACAAGGAAATTTAATTCTACTGAAGTGATATGTAAACATTCTCTTGTGAAAAATATTTAACAAACTTTGGATTAAGTTGAGCACGATATTAAACAATATTCAGACCAAGGACAATTGGATATCTAACGAAGCAAAGCTGAAGGGGGATAGCGCTGACTGCAGTCTGGTTGAAAAATTTTTGCGGTTCGCTTTCGTCTATTTCCTGTAAATACGCGATGGAAACTCTCTGGACTGACAGTTTAACCCTTCGCGGTTTTTTAGTCTTTATTTTCGATTATTTGAGCAGAGTAATACACTTGAAAGTCTCGATGAAGATTCTACCAAAATATATCTTGTATTTACAGCTGTCTCATAAAGAAAATTCGTCACCTACAGGTTATTTCAATGTTTTTCAACGTGATAGTGTATTGACAATTATTTGAAGGCTTTTAAACAATCACAATCGAGATTGCATCACCGTTGAATCATAATAATAAAGCTTAACTAGCACAGATCAATATATGAACACCTTAACCCTAACCGTCACACCCCATAATAAACAACCAAAATCTTCCAACGTGATCGTTAATGAATAAGATCAATAAACCCGAAAATAACCAAGACACGCTCTTGAATTGAACTTTTACTCTTTTACAGGTTTACATTGTAATATATGTATGACGAATTAAACATGCTTGGCTGTTCCGGGGTGTATTCTATTAGCTTTGCAACTGCAAAGAAATTGACTTAAGATTATACGTACATGATGAATTGAATATAGGTCAAAGTGCCGTATGGATTTGAGCGAAGTTGAATATGAAGCACTTTAATCACATTGGTGCACTATAAATTAAACTGACACAGGAGAAACTAAAATGAACTGCCCTTGCATGTACCTTGTCGTTTTTTGTTCACGTTGATGACAACATAACAAGTGTGATTTTTTCCACCGTATAAAACATACTTGTAAGGGATTTTGTGTTGTCCGATTGAAAAGCCACCAGAAGATGTAAGATATGACTTTTCTATTCTTTCATTTATGTACTTATGTGAACACGTGAAGTTTTCTGGTTCTTTCCATTTTGCGGATGGAAAAAAATGACTACGATAATAACGACGAGAAGAAGGACCATAATCGACGTATGACACAGCAGTAAAGTTCAAAATCATCGGGCTGCATCCACATGTCCCTAACGAGAAATTAAGTTATCTTTAACTGGTTGTCCAGAGAAAAAGAACAAGTAAAAAGTGATACTCTTTGGCCACAAAATGATACAAACTATTCACATTGAATCGAAAGTCTTCCTTAAACCCAAATAGACAAAAACTATACAGACTTTATCATATAACTGCATATATTACTATTTTTGACTCTACTGTCATATTACTTTGCTTTTGTAACTAGACAGAGTAACAATGAACGAGAGATTATGCTGCGTCAATGCTGTGAAGCTAGTGTATCCAAATCGGTTGTGTACTTTAACATGCACATTACGGGTTCAAACCATTTACTTAAGGTACCTTACTTTAATGCACTTTCTAAGAATACGGTTTCAATTAGCGTTATTTAAATTAAACAGAACCTCAGTAATATAAGTGTTGTGATTATTTGCCAAGTTTGTGGCAAGTTGATGTTCTGAACTTACTGTAAACTTAACTGTTGTTTACTTTACCTTCAAGTGGACATATTTCACAAAACATTTTAAATCGCTCTAAATGATATTTCTTCTCCTCAACACAACAACGTGTACGAGTATTGTTGCATTTCGAATCGATTTCAATTTTGTCCGCCACAAAATTCTTCCATTCTTCCTCACAAAACTCAAGTCCTTCATTCCAACCCATTTTCATTGTGAATCCTTGACCGAATAACAGCCACAATAACGACCATATCATTAAACTCATCATTGCATAGATCCAAGGATATACAGTAAAGCTCTAAATTATAATTGATTGTTGGATGTAGGTACGTTATCACAGAGGACTTTAAATTTATATTTAGATCGACAATGTCTACGTCACAATTACATCTGTCACAATTACATCACGATTAAAACGTATTTTTGAGCAATATACGAGCATTATCTAATAAGTTCATTTCAGCAATATTAAGTAGCGAGAAAAACTGTTCAGAAATAGATTGAGCTAGTCTCATATGGCTGCATGATGGCTCTCTTAATGGTAGCCACTGTAGCTATTTTATATGTAGGTGGTTATAATTTTTTTAAAATAACGAAACTTGGTTATCTTTCAATTTATGCTTTATTCTTTTTACTCGGTTCAGTCTGAATTTCAACTTCTTGTGTTTTAAGAGATTTATTGAACGATGAAAAAAGTGCTTTTTAGTGGATAGCGCTAAGGAAACGAAGAAAGCGAGATCAAATTAAAGTCAATGCAATACATTTGTTTTAGATACAATAGATTAAAAACCCAAGACGATGTTAAAATTCTTTATCTGATTATGAAAATAACAATTGTGCATGCAGAGCTTCCCATTAGCTATTTCATTTCAATTTCCTGTTATGTCACGATACATGTAAAAAACCTATGAAATCATAAAGTACTTTACAATTCCTTGTAACGCAACCTCTATAGCTGTAATGTTATACCCGTATTGTCTCTATAGCTATACCCGTATTGGATTTTCATTCGAATTTTTAATTCCATCGAACTCAACACATTAGCAGCTATAAAACAGCTAAATTGCTCAGTTGACAAATTCAAAAAATTACAGTTGAAAAATTAACTAATTAAATTGAAAATTTCAAAAGTTAATGACCAAAAAATAATGTTGAAAAGGGTGTTAGATCTTTGCATTACATGCACCGCGGAGCTTTTATCTATTGGGGAGGAAGAGCTCATGAAATAAACGAACGTCGATACTAAAGGCAGCTAAGTAGTTTTGGATTTCAGCGCTATCTTGAGACTGCTAATTCATTTATAAAAGTTTACAGAAATATCACAGAAAATCTCGGAAATATTTTGCAACTTTTTACATTTTTTAAGCTTGTCGTTACTCTTTTGTTTGCAGTTTTTCGTGAAGTACTTGATGACAATGAATACTCCATAAGAATTGAAAATCTCAAACGGATTTCTTTTCTATTTTTTGCAAGTGTCGTTGAAGAACAAAATTATTTACAGAACAGTGGAATGGGGTTTGTTTTTGATGTAGTTGAGAGATTTGAGGGAAAAATATGATAATATATGAATTAAAACATGAATGTGATAACATGTCCCGAATCCTACATCAAGCATGGAGGTATTGTGGTAAATGGAAAAATCTCTCCGTTTACTATAAGAATCGAATCATTGTTGGCGGAAGTTGTGCGGTGTTTGTAATAACACTTATTTGCCAAACTCAGTCGAAGGCAAAAATGTTAACATTGTATCGAAGATATAGAAACTTCCATTTTACTATCAACTACATCACATCTTACCTTTGTTCTTTTGTTCATTAAAAAACGGATACAATAAGGAGACTGCAGAAATACAACTTAAACAAACAGAGAAAAATTAAGATACGTTCAATCAGACGAACAAAAGAGCTGTTGCTTTCGCAAAGTTTTACTTGCAAATGCTGGCCAAGGCTGTCGGCTTCCTTATTTGTACAGTGCCATATTGAGTATATACAAACACTCATGCCATCTGCCCCAGTTATTCAACATTTTATAGAATTTGTTTTGCGTGAAATCCTATCCTTTACAAATCAGCAATAATACTTTAAATGTGTTAGGATATTTGGATGCCGTGGATTGGTTGACGAAGCAATGTTATAGAAGATAAAGTTTTTGATATTCTAAAGAATTACCTCTGTTTATACGAAGCAACGAAGCACAAATAATGCATCTAATGTGGGCAAACACAGCAAAATAAAACAAGTTAATGACTTCAAGTGCTCAATGACAAAAAATTATATTGTTTCCATAACGTATTTTAAGTTTATAAGAATCAACTTTACCAACAGTAAATTCAATTTTGCTGACAGTCATTAGCAAAATTTTAGGCCCCAAATACAAAATTGTGTTGGACCGAACTATATAGTAAAATTTAGTATTTACTATAATAATAATGAAGCTTAACTAGCATAGATCAATATATGAACACCTTAACCCTAACCCTAACCCTAACCCTAACCCTAACTCTAACCCTAACCCTCACACCCCTTAACAAGCAAGCAAAATATTTCAACGTGATCTTTACTGAATAACATCAATAAACGCAAAAATAACCAAGACACGGTTTTGAATTGAGCTTTTGTTCTTTTACAGGTTTACATTATAATAAATGTATGATGAATTAAACATGTTCGGCTGTTGGGGGAGTGTATTCTATTAGAATTGATGTGTTGATGAGAAAGCGACGTGTCATTTGGTCATTTATGCGGGAAGGAAAACCGCTTTTGACGAGCAACTTTTTCTGTAAATTAGAGTTTTACGTGGTGGAAAAATTTTCGAAAGAGATTTGATGAAATAAACAGGAAGCTAGTGAACGTTTTTAACTAAGTGGAACAAAGCTGTGGAAATTAGTGAAGAGGTCAGTGAGGGTATAGGTTTGCGGTAAACGGAAGGGGTGATTTTTTCATTTGTGTATTTATTCAAATGTGGCAGCTGCAACGCATCGTATGTGTCAAAACAAACGTCATTTACACAAGATTTCTGAAGCATTTAAGAATATCTCTCCTCAAAGGTAACCAATATCCCGCCCCACGTAAGCGAGCAATTTTGCTCCCATAAACACATGTGGAAACGCCCACAACCTTGAAAATAATTTTCTCTTCTCACGATCCATACAAACTCTCCATTAATGATAGCATCCTAATCACAAGCCTTGACCTAACGTCCTAGAGATTCCTATTCCAAGCTATCCCTTTTAATTGCAATTTATTGTGCTTGCTAACTTCGTAATTTATGTAATGTATTCGACACTGTCTTCTGTTGTATTCTAGCACCATATGTAAATAAGTTATTTACATATAAGTAGCATATCTATTAAGAATGCAATGATATTCATTACTGTCTGAAGATGTCGTAAGTAAAGACAAAACGTTACAATAAACTTCATATTTGAAACTGGTATACTTAAAGCCTTATGTTGGCATTAATTTTTATCACCCAAATTCGATTTACGCTGTAGCAAAACGTTAGAATTTCATGTATTGCAGCCAAATTTAGCTACCCGTTTTAAAATTTTCATTCAAATTTTGAATTCATTTAATCAAACACATATAAGCAGCTATAAGACAGCTAAAATGCTCAGTTGACAAATTCAAAAAGTTACAGTTGAAAAATTTGAAAAAATTAAAAATTTCAAAAGATAGCGATTTAGAAATAAAGTTAAAAAGGGTTTGAGTAATATTATTATTATTAACACTTAATAAAGAACAAAATAACGAAACGAAACGAAACTCAGTGGAAGAAAAACTTTGCTGTATTAAAAGTTGAAAAGGCATCGATGTTAAACAATCTACCGTTTTATCATCAACTATTTAGAATGAAATTTACGTCTTACTTTCTGTTGTTTTGTGATCTTCACGTCTTTTATTATATCGTGTACACAATACGGCAAATACAAAAAGTTAAGATATTGCAGTTTAGACAAGAAGACTTCAGAAATACACCTTAAACAAACAGAGAAAAATTAAGATACATACAAGTAAGACGAACAATCGAGTCGTGGCCTTCGCAAAGTTTTTTTCGTGACTGTTAACCAAAGCTGTTTCCTCCAGTGTGCAGAGTTGTATCGAGTATTTATGAACACTCATGCCATCTTCCCCAGGTGTTCAACAAGTTTTTACGCATCAAATCGTATCCTTTACGAATGTAGAGTAACATCCTTGCTTTATACGTATGATAGGAAATTAGGATGATGAGATTTGATTAACAAACCTTGTTAGAACATAAAATTTTCAAAAACTTAGAGAAATATGTTTATATTAAGTAAATAATAGTAATGCATTAAAATATTAAGTGGGTAAACACGCCAAAAGATTGATGTGCTCAAAAATGAAAAATTATATCGTTCATGCATATATTTTAAGTTTTTAACTATGAATTTTACCAATACTAAATTCATTCCTGTCACAATGAAGAATACTTTCCATTGGTATTATTAAGGCATCATAATGTGATAAAATTGTGCACTTAAAGGCTTCCTGACTTGTGTAATAAATTATTGAAGTAGTTAAAAAACTTGCAATGATAAAATGATTAATTGTAGATGAAAAACAATTAAAATAACACCAACAGATAGAATAAAATAATGCTGGCATGTGGTCACGAGCAAAATTTTCTGTCACAAATATTATAATTTTAGGCAAAACAACAAAAATTTATGACATATTACAAGCTGTTTGTTTATTGTCTCAAGTGTTTGTTTGCACCATGGATACAAAGACAGCCGCACGTCAAAAATATAACGAGAAATGACGAGAAAAATATTGCTTCGCCATAGCCGTTTTTGTAATTGAAGCAATACACAATTGAGTTCAGCATTGTATTTTAAAGAATTAAAAGTAAAATGGTTTTGAAATTTACTGATCTTGAAGTTAAAAGTGTTCTACATAGTATTGTCTGCTATCAAAGTTAAAACCGTATCACCTTCTGTTGTCCCTTATTTCGACATCCCTTTTCTTTGGTGTAAGACAAACTTTAAAATTAACACATTTGGCTGGTATTTTATACACTTTTTAAAATATGCTAATTATTTTTAAAAAGTTGACTTTATGTCTCCATTCTGAAATGAACAGGTGCACAGTTATGACTGGAGGTTTTGGGTCAAAGGCGTTGATGAGAAAGCAATGTGTCATTTGGTCATATATGCGGGAAGGAAAACCGCTTTTGACGATTAACTTTTTTTTTGTAAATTAGAGTTCTATGTGGAAAAACTTTCTAGAGAGATTTGATGAAATACACATAAAGCTAGTGAACGTTTGTAACTAAGTGTAATGAAGCTGTTGAAGTTAGTGAAGAGGTCAGTGAGGGTATAGGTTTGCGGCTAATAGAAGGGGTGAGTTTTACATTTGTGTATTTATTCAAGTGTGGCAGCTGCAACGCATCGTATGTGTCAAAGCAAACGTCATTTAGACACAAGATTTTTGAAGCATTTGGGAATATCTCTTCTCACAGGTAACCAATATCCCGCCCTACGTAATCGAGCAATTTTGCTACATAAACACATGTGGAAACACCACCATATTGACGACTTTAAAATAATTTTCTCTTCTCACGATCCATACAAACTCTCCATTCATGAGAGCATCCTAATCACAAGCCTTCGCCTAACGTCTTAGAGAGTTCTATTCCACGCTATCCCTTTTAATTGCACTTTATTGTACTTCCTAACTTCGTAATTTATGTAATGTATTCTACGCTCTCTCCTTTTGTATTCTAACACCTTATGTAAATAAGATTATTTACGTATAAGTAGCATATCTTATTAAGAACGCATAAATATTTATTACTGTCTAAAGATGTCTGAGGTAAAGACAAAACGTTGCAATAAATTCCATTTTTGAATCTGCTATACTTTTGGCTCAATTTAAAACCTTATGTTGGGCATTAATTTGTATCACCCAAATTCGATTTACGCTGCACACGCCTCTCGCTACTATCCTAAAAAATAAATCGTTTGAAATTGTGTCGTCCAGATAATAAAACTCACTTTACAAATGCTCTTTCTTCAACTCACATTCGTATATGGTTTTTGTTTCGTTTTTTTTTTGCGTTTTGCTATTTGCTTCACGAAGTTTGTTAACATTTATTTGATAATATACATGTAATGGACTACTGGTCCATTATGAAAAAGTAAAGAACAGGGAAAAATGTTTCTGAACCAATCAAAGTGCGCTGTTTCACCGGAAGTTACGCTTGCGATGTTTCAATGTGATTTTTTCCATCTGAAAGAATTGACAAAGTTTGAAAAACGGGTTGCTGAGTTGGAGATCTCATTGATGAAAGATTGTATGTAGTTCACATACGTAGACTAACAATTTCAATCTTTATGTACAACATTTTGGAAAATCGTGTAATTGAAAAGAGTTATTTTCTTGCTTGCATGCAGAAAAATTTACGCTTATACTTTTGCTATAAACGAGATTACTTACCTCTGATCCAGAGAGCAACGCAGCATTTAGATGCACTGAAATACATCAACCACTTGGACAGATTCACGGAATCTGCAAGATTAGAGATATCAAATAGAGCCACCACTGAAATAAAAAATAATTTCCATCATAATAACATAGATCGAATTAAGAATACGTCAGTTTCAATTAAAATTGACTTACAAAATATAAGGATTAAAGTTTGTTGCATAGTTACCACCCTCCCCTCCCACGTACATGAAGAAAGGAGAGCTTCAATATCCGTGCGATTATGTGAGACGTTAAATGAATGCGCACTCCATATACATACATGACCTGCACACAACAATGACAGCTCATTTGACTTCAGCAGTTCTTTTTAAACCTTCCACATCAGGTAAAATTTCTGCCAAACCGTGATTAATTTTCGGTAGGCGCAATAATTTTCTCTGACGCGTAGTTGATTACGCGTATCATCTAACTTTAATTGATGTCCTTTAAAAATTAAAAACATATATGTATTATTAATTATTAACATTTATTACTATTTCACTCGTTGTACATTTTATTATCAGGATTTTATAATCTGTCTGATATAGAATCTTGAGTTCTTAAATAATCCATATAGAGTAATATCACTCGATAGAATACAAACAAAATACGAAGTAATACGAACAAAAATCTACTGTACATGTCAGCCTGTCCACTTCATGCTTCCTACATCAACGTTTTTAATCTGCATTAACTAGACAGCAAAAAAATGAATTTTATGATAACGATGTCATTTTTTGTCACAACTGAATCCAATAAACCTGTTTAACAAACCTGTTGCTTTTGGTTGTTTACATTTGTCAAACATTGGATATTTTCCAAAGATAAGTAGGGAACTTATTACAGCAAGTATTTCTCGAAAATTCAAAGTGTCTATATCTGGAGCAATGTGAATCCCAATAAATAAAATCTAAAAACTAACCATTATGGGAGAAACGAAATATCGTTTTTTAAAGAAATTTGTGTTTTCTTTACGACTTCCAAAAATAAATGGTTAACTATAAAACAGAGCAACGGGTGGACAAATACAGTCAGCATGAATGGATTGGTTTTTGACGAGTAGTTTTCATAGTCAAACAATTTATACGACACTTTAGAACGAATATTCAAATTGTGAAAAAGAAGCAAAGGTTGAACACTGCTCGTTTACATCTTCGAGTGTTTGAAGGTCCGTTTTATCCAACCATGATTCGCTTAATTGTTATTGCCATTATCCTGGATTCCCCAAACTGTGATGTAAACTGTAATACTTGTATATTGAAGTGATGGAAAAGAGAAAAGTTCCTTGTGAGATAAAAAGAAATCTGTGTGAATATGTTACAGCATGTATTTCCCCCTTAAGTCATTTCATATCATCTTTAGATGGAAAATACTGACATGTAGTTATCAAATCTCCCTTTTATTTCAAAATTTGGATTTTTGTTGTGAAGTGTCCTTTGAAGTGTTTTACTTTATACATTATCGTTCAGAGGCGGAAATTTGAGGTAACGGCCGCCATGGATTGTTTGTTTTGAACTCGCGATTAATTTCGATTTGCTTTTTGTTTATTACTTTTGTTCTTAGTACCCAATTTAATATATTCAAATAAAAAATATTCCTATGTTGTACTATTTAAAATATTGACAAAACTCGTAGTCAGCCCTCAAATTTGGTCGTGCTATGTAAATTTTAGATCATTATCGTTATTCATTTCTTTAGAAATCTATTGTTTTTACAGTAAGTGAACACTGAAAAATTTACATAGCACGACCAAACTTGCTGGCTTGATACGTCACTGCTAAACCTAATAATTTTACGTTATGCTCCAAATTGTTTTTAAATCCTACTCAGAATTATTCACTCTTATCAGGTTTCCTAATTACCTGGACTCTACATGTTTACACATGTAAATTGTCCAGGTTAGTAGAGTCCTGAGAAGGACGGTTGGTGTTGATTTTAACTTATGTTTCGACAACCTTAGCGGTAGTCATCTTTACAGTCAACGTTGTCGAAACGTCAGTCAACATCAACACCAACAGTCTTTCTCAGGATTTTACCAACCTGGACGATCTACATCTATAAACATATAACGATACTTAACCTGGACTCTCCTTGTTAAAACTAAAGTAAATATTTTTTGGTTGAATTTCATTCTATCATGGAAGACAAAATTGCAGAAAAAATATTCCAGCAAACATCTAAAAAAAAGTTCCAGAAATTTGTACAGTATAAAAATTCAACTTCCACCTATTTCCGAGAAATTTGAGTAGTCGCCGAACAACTCCAATACGCAGTTCACTGCACGGTAGCAGAGTTTGAATTGATCCTAAATGATAAAAATGTTATAGAAATAATCAAAAAACTAAGTACATCACCAAGGTTGGTCGAACTAAATAAAATTCAATGTGTAAGTTTCCAGAAACATTCTGTTTGGGCATTTTTGTTGATGTTTGACAAACAGCCATTAGACAGGGGCGCCGGCAGAAACCTCTTTTTTATGAGGGGGGGACACCTGGAATATGTAATTTACATACATTACGCACTGTTTAATTTCACTAAAACTATCCAAACTCATATATAAAGACCTTCAGTAAAATAAATATTAGGGAGAGGTCGGCGCCTATCTATCCAGGCATAAGTTTATTATCAAAATAAAAACTTCTACTCTCAAAAAGCAAACTAGATTTACATAGCACGAGACTATGATTTACATAGCACGACCTACGAAGCGGGATCAAACATGCAGTTAGGCTACGATACTGAGAACAAAGTTCGCATACAAGCACGAATTATAAAGTTGAAATTCGGCAATATCCATACAACATATGATGATCGTTATGTGTCGAAGTGTTGATATATAAAAAGTGAAATAAATATTAGAAGTTTTTAGTTTGATAATAAACTTATTCCTGGATAGATAGGCGCCGACCTCCCCCCTAATATTTATTTTACGAATTTTTTATGGTCTATTTAGTAGAGGCTGCATAGTTCATAAATGAGAATAGCACTCGGTGTTGGTGCAATTGGGGCTTCACGAGAATTAGAAAGACAAGCTTACCGCCGTTTAGACGAACTGCGGGCGTCTATTCCGGATCAGCTTGATACATTGGAACGCATCCATCGCTTAGACAATTTTGAATCGGTCGACAAGATTTGAGATAGCAATATAGGTTCCAGATCGACCTGCTCCATCACTGGATGCAAAAAATAAAATTATAGGTACTTTTGAGTTTGTAGCAAATTTCTTGTAGAGATCTCCACACAGACCTTTAACCGCTGAATTTTAACCAAACAGAGCAAAGAAACCGGGCTGATCAATTGCTAATATTTGAGTCACACGTGTTTACCTGCACGCAACAATGACAGGTCCCTTTACATCAGCAGCTCTCTGTGAATCTTCCACTTCAGATAAAATTTCCACCATATTGTAAACATCTTTAGGAACGTTATGATCCGGCCACGATACGTAGTGAATCATGCGGACCATACGACCATTTTTAATGTCCTGAGAAACAAAAAATAGGAAATGTAATTGTAGTATAGTTATTATGCAAATTATTAGTATTTCGTACGTCATACTACGTATATTATAATTAAGTAATGATCTGTATATAAGTAACATGACTAAGCAATAAAAGGGAGAAATCTCACAATATTACAGTAATAAATAATTTAGTCTTAAAATATCGGAAATGTTAAAAGTTGGGTCCTTATTACACTCCAGTCAAGTGTCTTAATCAAGAATGATCTGATATCAAAACTTCAGTTCTTATATACTCCATTCTATTGCCTTCGTTAGTAGTGATTTCATGTTGAAACCTGTGTCATTAAATAATCCAGTCTAGTGTCTTCTCGACGAGTGATGTTATTTTTAGACTGGTGTGATCTTTAGATACTCTAGTCCATATCGTTTTCTATCAGAAATACAAACTTAAACAATCAATCATCATGTAGCTACTTATGTCTTATGCATACATGGAACACCATTTTATCTAAGAGTCAACGCAAAATAAATTCTTGTCAACTTAATGCTGACTCAAAAACTCACCATCGTAGGTGAAACAATAAACTTTCTCACGGTAATGTCATCTTTTGTTACAACTGAATCCAACAAGACGGTACTTTTACCAAACGATTGAGCTCTGGCTCGTTGCGTAGGCCAAAACATTGGATATTGCTGATAAATACCAAAGCGAATCAAGTCATCTAAACAAAAATTAAACTTAGAGACAGTACATCGAGAAAGCTACAACCCTAATGAATCACAATATAATCAATGCAAAATTCCTTTTCTTTCGATTCATCACAGACCTGGTTGTTTTCGTTGAGTTGATTCAGCATAACGATGGTACAAGACTTATATTGACAAACCATCCTCCAAAAGTCGTTAATGGTTTCTTTTAAAGGTGTCTGGGTGGCAATAAAATAATTCTTGCCAAGGTAACCCTAAATCAACGCACGACATGTTCATAAAGATATCAGTTTTTATAGGTTAAACACCATACGAATATAGTTTTCTGCAGTGTGGTCGTGCAGTTTCGCTTACTGCCTTTAAAATATCCCAGGAACAATAATAAATACTGTAAAAATATTCACTCAGATGCTCCGTAAAGCTACTTACGTCAACAAAACACGCGTTAATGTAGTCGGAATTCTCGATTTTATCCAGGTGGCTAAGGGGTGGACGATTAGATTCACCTAAAAAGAAAACAAACTATCACGGACTGGCTGACGGTACAATGATAATCAAAGATCGATAATTAGGGGAAAAGGGGGGAAGGATATTATTAAAAGAAGCCACCTCTTCATCAATTTTATGAATCCACCGCCGTTCCTTAAGTGGACGTATACATTTTAAGCGACAAGATAAAAAACAACGAAGATACAACACGGAGTACAAGTGAAAGTTTAACTTTGTCTCCGTCAGACGTTTTATGTAAATATTAACATTCTTGGATATATTTCAGGATTGCGATTTTTTTCTTGTTGTCATTCAAAAGTGCAGCTTCACATACTTCTTCAGGTAGTTCTGTTGTAACTGATTGTAAACGCTGTTAAGAAAATCATCAACTTTGAAATGATGAAGCATAACTCCTCAAAATACAAAAGTCTAGCGTCTTCCTCAAAAAAATAACCCAGCGCCAAAAGCAGAGTACTTATATACTCCAGTCTAGTGTTTTCATTAGGAATGATCTGATGTTGAAGCGTGAGTTTTTATGTACTCCAGTCTACAGTCTTCATCAGGAATGATCTGAAGATCAAACTTGAGTTCTTATATTACATACTACAGTCTAGTGTCTTCATTACGAGTGATCTGATGTTGAAACTCGAGTCTTTATATACTCCGGTGTAGTGTCTTCATAAGGAGTGATCTAATGCTAAAATTTAAGTCCTTAATTCATACTTAAATCAAGGGTCTTCATCATGAGTGATTTAAGTTGAACTTGACTCCTTGAGAAACTTATAAACTCCAGTCCAACGTCCTTATTAGAGGGAATGTGATTTTGAAACAAGAAGTCCGAACAAAACACAGCAGTGTAAAATAATGCAAGGTAACAACGTAATGTACAATCTTAAACTATGCATCGCCATTTTATTTACCTCAAATATTTCTTCAAATCCAGTTCTTCCATTCCCAAGCTTTTTTGATAGATGTTCCATCTCGGCCTTGATTTGCATAGCCTCAATTTCATTCACTCCACAATGGATATGCTCCATAATAGCGTCATAAATAAACATGTACTGATCCTAGATTGGTTAGAACATATGTCTTTCTACTCAAAATGCTAAACTATGAGGTACTAGCAATAGTTAAAAACAAACAAAGTAACTTGCGAAAAATTGATGTTTCTCAAAATACAGATGCCATCTTAAGAACTTCACTATCTTTGTGTCAAAAAGATTTGCAAATAAGGACAGTGATCACACCACCAGTAAATTTGAGGTAGTTAATTCTATGTGAAATAAGTTATACCTACAAGATTGACATGGAAACTAAAGCGCATATCTTTTAACTCTTCAATCACAACAAAGCACCCTTTTCCTAATGGCGTCTACAGCTCTATGACATAGAACCAAATCTACAAGATATGTGACTCCGCAAAAATTCTATATTTACGAGAAAGGCAAGCCACCATCTTGAAAGTTAGAAAACTTACGCTATTGACGATTAAAATCTGCATTTCGAGAGTTGATATACAGTTGGAAAGTTGCTGGTCTGGATTCAATTTTTAAATTTTTGATAGGATTGGGTTTTTAAACCTTCTTTTAACTTATCTTTCATTTTGAGTTTTGCTTTTTGCCACCTTTTAAGATGGCATCCTTGCCTCACCTTGACTCAGTAGATAGACATAAAGAGCTAGGATCGCGTTCAAAATCATTGCGTCACCTCGATAATTGTGTGTGTGAGGGGAAGATAATCTTCATCCATGCAAATTATTATGTCTAAACATAATAAATTTTAGGGGAACTTAATTTGGCAAAGTAGGATAAATAAACATGCTGTCCTCTGGTTTTGCTACTGCTCTCCCATGGAAAAACACCCCCTTGAATACATCCCAAGAAGAGATGTCACTGTTATGGACAATTAGGACATGCTGTCTGCAGCACCTTTATACATAAGCACTCTGCCCCCACACACACACAGAATGATACCCACTAAAGTACTGTATGTGTAGAGATGTCCCTATTATACATTTATTGACATACCGCTGTTTGCACCGCAAATAGATCTCGTGTACTATCAATAGTAGCTTACTATAACTTCACACGTCAGCAAATACGTAAACAATAAAACTATGTTCATGCATGTCATTAGTGCAAGCTTTTAATGCATGCATTTCAATATACTATAAATAGTCCAGAGAGAGAAGAGGTTTGCACCATTTCAAACCGTCTTCCCTCAACTAAATCCTACACTGGTTGCCAAGCATATAAATTCCTGACAAAAAAGGCAAAGACAAATAGACAACCGTAAACAGCAACAAAATTCAATTCAAACATGAGCATCCCCAGGTACAAAATCGTCTTGCATTCATTCTTGTTGGCAACATAGTCAAAACTATTGCAGCGAGGAGAAAGGTTAGTACTTTAAACTACACATTTTATCACTAACCAACAATGCATGATTATATTAAGAATAACTACACAAGTTATCACTAATGTACGATGGAGGATTATATTAAGATTCACTACACATATCATCACTAACCTACACTGCAGGATTATTTTAAGATTTACTACACATGCAGGACCGAAACTAGAACGCTAATTGGGGGTGAATATTCATATTTAGCACTGCCCAACTGGTTTTTTTGGTTAGCGATTTTATTTTCAAAAGAAATCAGCAGGACAGAACCGAATATATGAATATTCACCCCCCCTCTCAATTAACGTCTAGTTTTGGCACATGTTATCACTAACCTACAATGGATGACGGCAAAACCGGCTTTTGTCTTGTGATAAGATTTGAAATGCTTCCTGAATGTCAATAGTTGTGTTGGATGACGAGGCACGCCATAGTCCGGCCATGAAATGTAATGAAACTGCTGAACTTTGTGATGCTCACCATCCTATGACAATAACAACAAACACTAAAACTTAAAGGTAAAAGATAAAAACATCAGCGTCCGATTTGTCCCTTCGTCGCGTGGAACGACCGACGACATTCCTTTAACAATAATTTCAAAGTGAAAACAAAGAATAGATTATTTGACAAAGTACGGCACAGATTGTGATTGATACATTCATAAGGGTTCACTCCAAGCTTATTACATATGGGTCTGTCAGCAATGAGGTCGACACACCATACTTCTGTTGCAGAACAAGGTAAAAGATAACGTGGACAACGGCAAAATGAAGGTAACCGTTAAAAATAGAGGAAAATTCTCTCATAACCATTTATCTCGCAGTCTTTCAGTAATATCAAGAAAGACGTCTTTGTAAATTTCTGATTAATTAGTGCATGCACAGTTAAATCAATAATATAGAAAAACGACCTACCAAAATTCCCTCTTCAACATGCAGCCTCATGGAGGTTTGCTCTAAGACTGACTTACCTTACTCACTACTGCAGATCTCAAGACGTAATCAGCAAAAGCTTTAGTCTTGGTGATGGTCACCTGGATCGTACCGTATATCTTGGATTCATCTGGCCAATACTTTTCACATTTCACCTGAGAGGAAAAGCACGATGTATGTACAATTTTAATCATTTAATTCTTATCACGATTCAAAATGACACGAAAATATTTATTCTATTAAATGAAAGTTCTCTAAAACGGTAGTTATTTTTTGCCAGTTTGATTCTCTAACTGTTGGCGCTTTTATGGAATGTAAATTAAATAATTTATGTCGACACAATGGTCCCACCAAGTGTAACCATGTATGCAAGTTTTTAACCAGATTCGGACGGATGAGTTAAAGCAATACCCCCCTGTTCTAAACTTTTAAGCTAAATAAAGCAGGTGGAAGAGTCTAAACTCGTCAGACCAAACCTACTGAAAAAAAAGCATATGTATGGCCACACTGTTCAAACCTTTCCCATTTCTTTTAATGTCGTCAACATCACAATAGTTGGACACTTGTGTTCGAATATCATCCTCCAAAAGTCGTTGACTGTTTTGGGTTTGGGTCCTGAAAGAAGGAGAACAAAAAGAAGGAATTTCGTTATAGCACACTAACGATAAAATGTAAGTCAATTTAGTTTGATAAAAATCGAAAAAATTATAATGATGCCATGGTTGCCTCAAGTTCTTTCGTTCTCGTTTAACGAATTAAAAATGTACGTATTTACCTAATTAGAATTTAATATTCAAATTTAAAGGTTGTATTACAATTAATACGACCTTACAAGTCGCATGTACTGGTAGTATTAGCTCAGAATAAAAATTATACAGAAGAGCCACTCAGGTGTGCACCGCATCCTTACGGCCGCCATTAAGATTCTTACGGTTATTCACTTTTTTGCAACCGCTGCAATTACAAGACGTCATTTCTTCACAATGAAATTGAAAATATTTCAATAGAAGAATTGACGTTCGGTCATTTTAGTGGTTGGGAACAAGTGAAAAGTCCTAAATATCTTGCTGGAATAATGGCTGCCGATATGCGCGGCACAACATGCGCGAGGAAAAATACATCTTAGGCTCCGATACGAGTGACCCTTCTGTACATCCCAAATTCTGTGGTATTACAGACAATCCCGAAAGTTGGCATGAAATAATAAAAATCACCACATAGTATTCCCAAAAACACAAAAACATTTAATTTACACAATACTTGACAGTATGTGAAACACTGGCTAAAACATTTTGGCAAACATAGTATTACAATGCAAGTTTTACTCATCCTCCCTTGCTTTTGTGTACATTTGATAATTAAGTAAGCTCACTAACATGGTTTTACTTATACATTTGATAACTAAGTAAGCTTACTAACATGGTTTTACTTATACATTTGATAACTAAGTGAGCTCACTAACATGGTTTTACTTATACATTTGATAACTAAGTAAGCTCACTAACATGGTTTTACTTATATATTTGATAACTAAGTAAGCTTACTAACATGGTTTTACTTATACATTTGATAACTAAGTAAGCTCACTAACATGGTTTTACTTATACATTTGATAACTAAGTAAGCTCACTAACATGGTTTTACTTATACATTTGATAACTAAGTAAGCTCACTAACATGGTATTACTTATACATTTGATAACTAAGTAAGCTTACTAACATGGTTTTACTTATTAAATTTGATAACTAAGTAAGCTCACTAACATGGTTTTACTTATACATTTGATAACTAAGTGAGCTCACTAACATGGTTTTACTTATACATTTGATAACTAAGTAAGCTCACTAACATGGTTTTACTTATACATTTGATAACTAAGTAAGCTCACTAACATGGTTTTACTTATACATTTGATAACTAAATAAGCTCACTAACATGGTTTTACTTATACATTTGATAACTAAGTGAGCTCACTAACATGGTTTTACTTATACATTTGATAACTAAGTAAGCTCCCTAACATGGTTTTACTTATTAAATTTGATAACTAAGTAAGCTCCCTAACATGGTTTTACTTATTAAATTTGATAACTAAGTAAGCTCACTAACATGGTTTTACTTATACATTTGATAACTAAGTAAGCTCACTAACATGGTTTTACTTATACATTTGATAACTAAGTAAGCTCCTAACATGGTTTTACTTATTAAATTTGATAACTAAGTAAGCTCACTAACATGGTTTTACTTATACATTTGATAACTAAGTGAGCTCACTAACATGGTTTTACTTATACATTTGATAACTAAGTGAGCTCACTAACATGGTTTTACTTATACATTTGATAACTAAGTAAGCTCACTAACATGGTTTTACTTATTAAATTTGATAACTAAGTAAGCTCACTAACATGGTTTTACTTATACATTTGATAACTAAGTAAGCTCACTAAAATGGTTTTACTTATTAAATTTGATAACTAAGTAAGCTCACTAACATGGTTTTACTTATACATTTGATAACTAAGTGAGCTCACTAACATGGTTTTACTTATACATTTGATAACTAAGTAAGCTCCCTAACATGGTTTTACTTATACATTTGATAACTAAGTAAGCTCACTAACATGGTTTTACTTATACATTTGATAACTAAGTAAGCTTACTAACATGGTTTTACTTATTAAATTTGATAACTAAGTAAGCTCACTAACATGGTTTTACTTATACATTTGATAACTAAGTAAGCTTACTAACATGGTTTTACTTATTAAATTTGATAACTAAGTAAGCTCACTAACATGGTTTTACTTATACATTTGATAACTAAGTAAGCTCACTAACATGGTTTTACTTATACATTTGATAACTAAGTAAGCTCACTAACATGGTTTTACTTATTAAATTTGATAACTAAGTAAGCTCACTAACATGGTTTTACTTATACATTTGATAACTAAGTAAGCTCATTAACATGGTTTTACTTATACATTTGATAACTAAGTAAGCTTACTAACATGGTTTTACTTATTAAATTTGATAACTAAGTAAGCTCACTAACATGGTTTTACTTATACATTTGATAACTAAGTAAGCTCACTAACATGGTTTTACTTATACATTTGATAACTAAGTAAGCTCACTAACATGGTTTTACTTATACATTTGATAACTAAGTAAGCTTACTAACATGGTTTTACTTATAAATAATCTCTAACAACAACGCAATGATAAGTAACTGCATATCTTTTGACACTAATGTGGTACACATTGAAATTATCGAATAAACAATCATTTCGTATTCAAAACGTGCGATAGTACCTCATTTACATTCTTCCATTCCCAAGCTTTTTTGATAGATGTTCAATCTCGGCCTTGATTTGCATAGCCTCAATTCCATTCACTCTACATTGGATATGAGCCATAATGGCGTCATAAATAAACATGTACTGATCCTAGATTGGTTAGAACATATGGCTTTCTACTCAAAATGACAAACTATGAGGTAGTAGCAACAGTTAAAAACAAACAAAGTAACGTGCGAAAAATTGATGTTTCTCAAAACACAGATGCCATCTTAAGAACTTCATTATCTTTGTGTCAAAAAGATTTGCAAATAAGGACAATGATCACACCACCAGTAAATTTGAGGAAGTTAATTCTATGTGAAATAAATTATACCTACAAGATTGACATGGAAACTAAAGCGCATATCTTTTAACTCTTCAATCACAATAAAGCACCCTTTCTCTAATGGCGTCTACAGCTCAATGACATAGAACCAAATCTACTAGATATGTGACTCCGCACAAATTCTATATTTACGAGAAATGCAAGCCGCCATCTTGAAAGTTTGAAAACTTACGCTACTGACGATTAAAATCTGCATTTCGAGAGTTGATATACAGTTGGAAAGTTGCTGGTTTAGATTCAATTTTTAAATTTTTTTATAGGATTGGGTTTTCAAACCTTCTTTTAACTTATCTTTCATTTTGAGTTTTGCTTTTTGCCACCTTGCCTCACCTTGACTCAGTAGATAGACATAAAGAGCTAGGATCGCGTTCAAAATCATTGCGTCACCTCGATAATGTGTGTGTGAAGGAAGATAATATTCATACATGCAAATTATTATGTCTAAAAACATTAAATTTTAGGGAACTTAATTTGGCAAAAATTAAGTTCAAAAATAAACATGCTCTCCTCTGGTTTTGCCACTGCTCTCCCATGGAAGAACACCCCCTTGAATACATCTCAAGTAGAGATGTCACTGTTATGGTCAATTAGGACATGCTGTCTGCAGCACCTTTATACATAAGCACTCTCGCCCCACACACACAATGATACCCACTAAAGTACTGTATGCGTAGAGATTGTCTTATTACATATTTATTGACATACCGCTGTCTGCACCATGTTTATTCGCCGCGATCTCATCTCTTTCACAAAGCCAAATACATCAATATTTGTCTCATAATCATCGTCAAGATCATCGAGGATTTTATCTATGGCCATAAATACTCCAGTACGACCAACACCAGCGCTATAGGAAGAAAGCAAACGGAAAAATTTACTAGTATTAACGAGATAACAACCTGTAACGTATCAATGACCTAAAATATGCATTATCCATCCACTAAAACGAGCTCGTGTCCCACACAAAAATCAAGTGTTTATAAAACTGGGTGAAGCACACCAAGCGGGAAATTTTGGCAATTTCCACTTCTGCTCCAACACTGAACTTCCACTGAACTGCTACGACACTGAACTTCCACGGAAATGCTACGACACTGAACTTCCACTGAACTTCCACTGAACTGCTACGACACTGAACTTCCACTGAACTGCTACGACACTGAGCTTCCACTTCTGCTACGACACTGAACTTCCACTTCTGCTACGACACTAAACTTACACTGAACTGCTACGACACTGAATTACCACTGAACTGCTACGACACTGAACTACCACTGAACTGCTACGACACTGAACTTCCCAGACAAATAGATCTCGAGTATTATCAATAGTAGCTTACTATGATGTCTTAAGGGGCGAGTGGATGAATGGTTAATGGCGTGAGCTGTAAGCCAGACGGCGCGGGGTCAATCCCGGCTCGTGGCACATTTGGCAATGTGTCTTTAAACCTAGCCCGGGTTGACCAAACCATGTGAGGGAAATTTGGTAGAGGAAACTATGTCCTCGGATGGACTGTACCTGCATCTGCAATGTTGCAGCCTTGTCATACTGTGTCACGCTGATATCAGCGTTGTGGTTGCGTGAAGGGTACGAGCGATTGTAGTCTGTTCAGCTGCCTTCACTATAATGTAAGTAACCAGGATGTTCCACTTCGTGGTACCCTCATACGTCGAAATCGACGGAGTCCATTATTATTATGACTTCACACGTCAGCAAATACGTAAACAATAAAACTATGTTCATGCATGTTATTAGAGAAAGCTTTTAATGCATGCATTTCAATATACTATTAATAGTCCAGAGAGAGAAGAGGTTTGCACCATTTTAAACCGTCCTCCCTCAACTAAATCCTAGACTGGTTGCCAAGTATATAAGATTCCTGACAAAAAAGGCAAAGACAAATAGACAACCGTACACAGCAACAAAATTCAATTCAAACACGAGCATGCCCAGATACAAAATCGTCTTGCATCCATTCTTGTTGGCAACATAGCCAAAATTATTGCATCGAGGAGAAAGGCTAGTATTTTAAACTACACATCTTATCACTAACCAACAATGGAGGATTATATTAAGAATAACTACACATGTTATCACTAATGTACGATGGAGGATTATGTTAAGATTTACTACACATGTCATCACTAACCTACAATGGAGGATTATTTTAAGATTTACTACACATGCAGGGCGGAAACTAGTACTTTAATTGGGGGTGAATATTCATCTTTAGCACTGCCCGACTGATTTTGTTTGTTAGCGATTTTAATTTCAGAAGAAATCAGCAGGACAGAGCCGAATACATGATTATTCACCCCCCCTCTCAATTAACGTCTAGTTTTGGCACATGTTATCACAAACCTACAATGGATGACGGCAAAACCGGCTTTTGTCTTGTGATAAGATTTGAAATGCTTCCTGAATGTCAATAGTTGTGTTGGATGACGAAGCACGCCATAGTCCGGCCATGAAATGTAATGAAACTGCTGAACTTTGTGATGCTCACCATAATATGACAATAAGAACAAACACTAAAACTTAAAGGTAAAAGATAAAAAAAACATCAGCGTCCGATTTGTCCCTTCGTCGCGTGGAACGACCGACGACATTATTCCTTTAACAATAATTTCAAAGTGAAAACAAAGAATAGATTATTTGACAAAGTACGGCACAGATTGTGATTGACACATTCCTAAGGGTTCACTCCAAGCTTATTACATATGGGTATGTCAGCAATGAGGTCGACACACCATACTTCTGTTGCAGAACAAGGTAAAAGATAACGTGGACAACGGCAAAATAAAGGTAACCGTTGAAAATGAAGGAAAATTCTTTCATAACAATTTATCTCCCAGTCTTTCAGTAGTATCAAGAAAGACGTCTTTGTAAATTTCTGATTAATTAGTGCATACACAAGGTAAATCAATAATAAAGAAAAACGACCGACCAAAATTCCCTCTTACACATGCAGCCTCATGGAGGTTTGCTCTAAGACTGACTTACCTTACTCACTACTGCAGACCTCAAGACGTAATCAGCAAAAGCTTTTGTCTTGGTGATGGTCACCTGGATCGTACCGTATATTTTGGATTCATCTGGCCAATACTTTTCACATTTCACCTGAGAGGAAAAGCACGATGTATGTACAATTTGAATCATTTAATTCGTTATCACGATTCAAAATGACACGAAAATATTTATTCTATTAAATGAAAGTTCTCGGTAGTTATTATTTGCCAGTTTGATTCTCTAACTGTTGGCGCTTTTATGGTATGTAAATTAAATAATTTATGTCGACACAATGGTCCCACCAAGTGTAACCATGTATGCAAGTTTTTAGCCAGATTCGGACGGATGAGTTTAACCATGACTCCCCCCCTGTTCTAAACATTTAAGCTAAATAAAGCAGGTGGAAGAGTCTAAACTCGTCAGACCAAACCTACTGAAAAAAGCATATGTATGGCCACACTGTTCAAACCTTTCCCATTTCTTTTAATGTCGTCAACATCACAATAGTTGGACACTTGTTTTCGAATATCATTCTCCAAAAGTCGTTGACTGTTTTGGATTTGGGTCCTGAAAGAAGGAGAACAAAGAGAAGGAATTTCGTTATAGCATGTAAGTCAATTTAGTTTGATAAAAATCGAAAAAAGTATAATGATGCATGGTCGCCTCAAGTTCTTTCGTTCTCGTTTAACGAATTAATAATGTACGTATTTACCTAATTAGAATTTAATATTCAAATTTAAAGGTTGCATTACAATTGATACGACCTTACAAGTCGCATGTACTGGTAGTATTAGCTCAGAATAAAAATTATACAGAAGAGCCACTCAGGTGTGCACCGCATCCTTACGGCCGCCATTATTCCAGCAAGATACTTACGGTTTTTCACTTTTTTCCAACCGCTGCAATTACAAGACATCATTTCTTCACAATGAAATCTGAAATAATTCAAAAGAAGAATTGACGTTCGGTCATTTTAGTGGTTGGGAACAAGTGAAAAGCCCTAAATATCTTGCTGGAATAATGGCTGCCGAAATGCGCGGCACAACATGCGCGAGGACAAAAACATCTAAGGCTCCGATACGAGTGACCCTTCTGTACATCCCACATTCTGTGGTATTATAAACAATCCCGAATGTTGGCATGAAATAATAAAAATCACCACACAGTATTCCCAAAAACACAAAAACATTTAATTTACACAATACTTGACAGTATGTGAAACACTGGCTAAAGCATTTTGGCAAACATAGTATTACAATGCAAGTTTTACTCAACCTCCCTTGGCTTTTGTGTACTTTTGATAACTAAGTGCGCTCACTAACATGGTTTTACTTATACATTTGATAACTAAGTAAGCTTACTAACATGGTTTTACTTATACATTTGATAACTACGTAAGCTCACTAACATGGTTTTATTTATACATTTGATAACTAAGTCAGCTCACTAACATGGTTTTACTTATAAATAATCTCTAACAACAACGCAATGATAAGTAACTGCATATCTTTTGACACTAATGTGGTACACCTTGAAATTATCGAATAAGCAGTCATTTCGTATTGAAAACATCCTTTAGAACTAGAAAAGGCACGTGCGATAGTACCTCATTTACATACCTTGGGTCGCGATGTAATAATTGTCAGTTTTGCCCTGAAATACAAACGTAGAAACGTTAAACAACAATTGCGTGGAGTCTATGGGGCTGTTCCCGGCGAGCCGAGTTTCAGTGAGGCGTGAAATGATTTCGAGGTATTTAAAGGAGTAGAAACTTCAAGCGTAAAAATTACAACTGTTTGTTTAAGCACCACAAGTCATTCCTGTAATTCTCAAATTAAACCAAATTGGTTGTTGTAATTTTAAATGTTTTGTGTAGTTATCAAACCAGAATATTGTAAAATTGCCAGAGAAGATATATCTGATGATGAGTATTGAATCGTTTCCATTTGCTAAAATCATTTATCGCTTGACTGAATCCCGTCTACACCCGGGCTCATGTAATCAGCCCTATATTAGTAAGCAACCATTCACTGACATTATTCGAACGACAATCAACATACAAGATGTGCCAAAACAACGGAACGCACACAAATAATTATGTATGTATTAAAATGTAATCTGTACAAAATAACTTTGTCTGCAACAGCTGTTTGTTCCAACTGGTTGATTTGTTTACACGCTAGTCTGACAGCATGTGAATGCTATAGTGATAGTATTGTGCATAGTAACTTTGGCACATAAAAAATTAGTTTGTGTGGGTTCCGTTTTTCGGGGGTGAACTGAATTCATTATGAAATTTGAATATACGTAAATGTAAATAAGTATGCCCATTATTTAAGAAGTCTTTGCATTGAACTCCTGCAGTGTTGTGTAAAACCTCCTTAAGTTTGTATATAGAAGATTTAATAAATATTTGATAAAACTTTTACATCAGGGGGACACCCTGTATATGGTTAAATTAATGAACTAAAGCTTTGTAGAACACTTACGTCGACAAATGAGGCATTAATATAGTCAGTTTTTTCATCTCCGGAGAGTATCACACGAGAATGGTCGTCTAAATGAAACGGCCTTCGTTAGTATTGCATGGTTCTTAGACTAATACTCAATATTGCTCCGTTTTTATTAGTAGTAAGATTTATTAGTCAATAATCTTACATCTGACTGCATTTCAATCAGTTATCGTCATTATGGTATAGTTTTTTCGTCCATAATCTCACACGTGACTGTGCTTCCACACAAGTTTCGAAATATTGAAAGTTTCTTGGCTAATAATCTTACATGTGACAGCGTTTCCATATCGGTTTTTTGAAGTATTGTGAGGTTTCTTCGCGACATCCCAATTGGACATTTGACCATTTGGTAAATCCTGTAGAAAATCAAAATCATTTAAGTGTTACACCAAATGTGTGACAGTGTCAAAAAAAACGTGAGAAAGTTTGGGAAGTTTGATTGGACAGACGATTAACTGTGAAAACGGAAAATTTCCTGATATTTTGTGATAACTTGCAGTTTTACGTACTTTTTATATACGTAAGTAGATCGTTTGTACAATTACTACGAGCTTTCAATGATAAGCTCGCGTCTCTTACAACGAAAATCTGAGTAAAACCTTTCGATTAAGTGCGCATGCCCTTAACTCAATGATAGCTGGTGCAACATTACCTCGAACTCTAACTTTAGTTCCTTTATGTTGTTATGCTTCAGTTTCCTCACGTGTCTCTCGAACATTGCTATGGGAATTGGTTGACGATCCTTGGCGGTAATAGCTTAAAGAGTACAGAAAGGAAAACATCAACAGGAGAGAAAATAAGTATGTAATTATCTTTAAATAAAGAATGTCATTTGAAAAGTTTACAAGCGCAATGAAGAGGGTTTACTCTATTTCAGTAACAAATGGAAATAATTTTGCTTGTATCAGACGTTAAGAATGTGAAACTAAGTTAACACAAAGGAAACAAAGAAACACACATGGAACTAAAAACACACATGAAACTAAGCAACGCACATAAAAATATAAGTAACATACATGAAAATATTAACACACATGAAATTAACACGCATTAAACTAAGTAACATACATGAAAATATTAACACACATGAAATTAACACGCATTAAACTAAGTAACATACATGAAAATATTAACACACATGAAATTAACACGATTTAAACTAAGTAACATGTGTGAAAATTGACACATGAAATTAACTAAAACACACGACACTAAGTAACACGAAGTAAAGCTCTAAGCTATTGAAGACAAAAAACTTGTCATCACAAAAAGCCAAAAAACGTGTTAAAATAGACAACACACACACGGATGTTGCCAATCGATTTTATAAATTTTACCAGCATTGTTCTCGTAAACTTTCACTTCATTCAGGACAAGAACTGATTCATCCTGTCTGTTCATCGGGCTATTGATGTTATCAGGGGTGTTGATATTTCCAATGTTATGGCTTCCAACAAATACTTGATTCATTACAGATGGTCCGTGATTTCTAACCTTTTCTACATTTGATTTTTTAACGGACCCAGAACGTTTTCTTCCATTACGCCGTCTAAGAGGGGGAAATTTAAAAGGTGTTGATACCAAACGGAAGCTGAATTTTAATTCTGAAAGATGGAAAACTGGTACGTAGTTATTTAATGTTGGAAAACTGGTGCGTAACTATTTAATGATGGAAAACTGGTGCGTAATTATTTAATGATGGAAAACTGGTACGTAATTATTTAATGACGGAAAACTGGTACGTAGTTATTTAATGATGGAAAACTGGTACGTAATTATTTAATGTTGGAAAACTGGTACGTAATTATTTAATGATTGAAAACTGGTACGTAATTATTTAATGATGGAAAACTGGTACGTAGTTATTTAATGATTAAAAACTGGTACGTAATTATCTAATGATGGAAAACTGGTACGTAGTTATTTAATGTTGGAAAACTGGTACGTAATTATTTAATGATGGAAAACTGGTAGGTAGTTATTTAATGATGGAAAACTGGTACGTAATTATTTAATGATTGAAAACTGGTACGTAATTATTTAATGATGGAAAACTGGTACGTAGTTATTTAATGATTAAAACTGGTACGTAATTATCTAATGATGGAAAACTGGTAGGTAGTTATTTAATGTTGGAAAACTGGTGCGTAATTATTTAATGATGGAAAACTGGTGCGTAATTATTTAATGATGGAAAACTGGTACGTAATTATTTAATGATGGAAAACTGGTACGTAGTTATTTAATGATTAAAAACAGGTACGTAATTATTTATTGTTGGAAAACTGGTACGTAATTATTTAATGATGGAAAACTGGTAGGTAGTTATTTAATGTTGGAAAACTGGTGCGTAATTATTTAATGATGGAAAACTGGTGCGTAATTATTTAATGATTAAAAACAGGTACGTAATTATTTATTGTTGGAAAACTGGTATGTAATTATTTAATGATGGAAAACTGGTACGTAATTATTTAATGATAGAAAACTGGTACGTAGTTATTTAATGATGGAAAACTGGTACGTAATTATTTAATGATAGAAAACTGGTACGTAGTTATTTAATGATGGAAAACTGGTACGTAGTTATTTAATGATTAAAAACAGGTACGTAATTATTTATTGTTGGAAAACTGGTATGTAATTATTTAATGATGGAAAACTGGTACGTAATTATTTAATGATAGAAAACTGGTACGTAATTATTTAATGATGGAAAACTGGTACGTAGTTATTTAATGATTAAAAACAGGTACGTAATTATTTATTGTTGGAAAACTGGTACGTAATTATTTAATGATGGAAAACTGGTAGGTAGTTATTTAATGTTGGAAAACTGGTGCGTAATTATTTAATGATGGAAAACTGGTGCGTAATTATTTAATGATTAAAACAGGTACGTAATTATTTATTGTTGGAAAACTGGTATGTAATTATTTAATGATGGAAAACTGGTACGTAATTATTTAATGATAGAAAACTGGTACGTAGTTATTTAATGATGGAAAACTGGTACGTAATTATTTAATGATAGAAAACTGGTACGTAATTATTTAATGATGGAAAACTGGTACGTAGTTATTTAATGATTAAAAACAGGTACGTAATTATTTATTGTTGGAAAACTGGTATGTAATTATTTAATGATGGAAAACTGGTACGTAATTATTTAATGATAGAAAACTGGTACGTAATTATTTAATGATGGAAAACTGGTACGTAGTTATTTAATGATTAAAAACAGGTACGTAATTATTTATTCTTGGAAAACTGGTACGTAATTATTTAATGATGGAAAACTGGTAGGTAGTTATTTAATGTTGGAAAACTGGTGCGTAATTATTTAATGATGGAAAACTGGTGCGTAATTATTTAATGATTAAAACAGGTACGTAATTATTTATTGTTGGAAAACTGGTATGTAATTATTTAATGATGGAAAACTGGTACGTAATTATTTAATGATAGAAAACTGGTACGTAGTTATTTAATGATGGAAAACTGGTACGTAATTATTTAATGATAGAAAACTGGTACGTAGTTATTTAATGATGGAAAACTGGTACGTAGTTATTTAATGATTAAAAACAGGTACGTAATTATTTATTGTTGGAAAACTGGTATGTAATTATTTAATGATGGAAAACTGGTACGTAATTATTTAATGATAGAAAACTGGTACGTAATTATTTAATGATGGAAAACTGGTACGTAGTTATTTAATGATTAAAAACAGGTACGTAATTATTTATTGTTGGAAAACTGGTACGTAATTATTTAATGATGGAAAACTGGTAGGTAGTTATTTAATGTTGGAAAACTGGTGCGTAATTATTTAATGATGGAAAACTGGTGCGTAATTATTTAATGATTAAAAACAGGTACGTAATTATTTATTGTTGGAAAACTGGTATGTAATTATTTAATGATGGAAAACTGGTACGTAATTATTTAATGATAGAAAACTGGTACGTAGTTATTTAATGATGGAAAACTGGTACGTAATTATTTATTGTTGGAAAACTGGTATGTAATTATTTAATGATGGAAAACTGGTACGTAGTTATTTAATGATTAAAAACAGGTACGTAATTATTTATTGTTGGAAAACTGGTATGTAATTATTTAATGATGGAAAACTGGTACGTAATTATTTAATGATAGAAAACTGGTACGTAGTTATTTAATGATGGAAAACTGGTACGTAATTATTTAATGATAGAAAACTGGTACGTAGTTATTTAATGATGGAAAACTGGTACGTAGTTATCTAATAATGGAAAACTGGTACGTAGTTATTTAATGATGAAAAACAGGTACGTAATTATTTATTGTTGGAAAACTGGTATGTAATTATTTAATGATGGAAAACTGGTACGTAATTATTTAATGATGGAAAACTGGTACGTAATTATTTAATGATGGAAAACTGGTATGTAGTTATTTAATGATGGAAAACTGGTACGTAATTATTTAATGATGGAAAACTGGTATGTAGTTATTTAATGATGGAAAACTGGTATGTAGTTATTTAATGATGGAAAACTGGTACGTAATTATTTAATGATGAAAAACAGGTACGTAATTATTTAATGTTGGAAAACTGGTAAGTAATTATTTAATGATGGAAAACTGGTACATAATTATTTAATGATGGAAAACTGGTACGTAGTTATTTAATGATGGAAAACTGGTACGTAATTATTTAACGTTGGAAAACTGGTACGTAGTTACTTAATGTTGGACAACTGGCACGTTAACAAATCCCAAAGTAATAATCATACCTTCTCACAAACAGAATGACCAATACGACAAGAACAATGACCAAAATAGTAGCCACAATTGCACCTGCAATAGCTCCAGGATTTCCGCCGCCTATAAGATGAAAATGAATGATGAAAAACAAAAGGCAAAAAAAATTAAGTCTACAAGGGGTGGACAAAATGTTTCTATTCTACATCGCTTTGATTGGCACTATTGTAACGCATCATAAAATCATTGTAAACATTTTTTTATAATTAATCTCCTAAGTAAAAAATGGTTATAATTTGCGTTTTTTGAACGAAAATGGCGGCAAGATGCCCATGTGACCCATTCCACCCAATCACCTTTATCATAATTCAAAATGCAGAGAGCAATACAACACTTACAAATACAGGGCTCTGATCCCAACTATAAAGGAAACATGGCTACCTAAAGGTATGAATACATAACTTGATATTGCAGTGCATTATATTCATTTGCGTGTGTTCCAACATCACAATGATCACAAACGCGCAAGTGGAGCTGTATTAAAATATCTTACAACTAACTAGGAACATATGATGCACTTTTTGCACCTCCTGCAGTTTTTTGCACATTGAGTGTACATGTTATTGATTATAAACAGAACATGCAATTTTTAACACATTACATATGTCTCTCATAAATTCCTTTTCCTTCACCCAAAAGCATGAAATTTCAAACAAATGACATGGAAACTTTCAAAAAAGTATGAATTGAAGCAGTAACTGGCTTAACATCCATCTCTTATGTAGGGTAGTTTATTTTGGAACTCAATGCAATTAAAATACAGATGCACAAAATCCTTGCCTCAGTTACTTGTTGAACTTTTGCTGCATCATCAAACAAAATCACTATTCATTATCAAGAATTTTATGTGGTCAAATCCATGGTCAAAACGAACTTTGTAACGATCTTGAAACATTACACTTTAGACATCCATAAATTTCACATAAGCTATTGATAGCAAACACCAACCTGATGACTTCCGCTTTTGGGCAGTTGCTACCACTGGACTCCAGTCAGTGGAATAATAGTCCTCCTGAAGCAAAGTGAACATTCATATCTGAATAAAAAATGTTGTTATCAAAGCAGGTAAAAAGGTATTGAAAAGATCGCACCTGATCGTTTAAGAAAACGCGTTGAAATATTCTGTGGCCCATAGAATATTTCAGCGGCCCATTATAATAAATTTTACCATTAGAACGCCGTCTTCTTGTCCCTGCAAGACTTGTGTTTCCGCTATCACCAAGTGTGAACTCAGACTTAAAATTTCCGCGAGACATTACGGCGGCAATATACGGCGTTGGTTGCGTGGCAGCAATGGCCTCAGAATAAGTCCCTAAGTCTGTGTTTTTGAAGTTAGAAGTCAAACGATTCTCTTCTTCGCCATATTCCATCACTACTACGAAGAAATATCTGCAAATTGAAGGCAAAACATTTTTAAAAATACACGCATACCCTCTGCTTTCATCAATTGTCCAAATACAAGTTGTACATCTAGGCACTGCCCTAAAAAACTGAGCAGCTGTTTAGACCTCCCCAATCCTCTCATTAAAACTATTGTCCTATATGTACTTGAGCAAAGAGCTCAATAAAACTCAAAAAATAGTTCTTTGTTCCTTACAGCATGTAAAAATTGACCCTGAGGTAGCTACAAACCGATATTCCAAAGTTGGATTTTGCAACAAATAAGTCAATGTATTTCCAATCTGCGTCGTGGGCAGTTCAGGTGCCACTAAATATGAAAGTGGAATAAATTTATCATCCTAATCAAAACTTTACTTCAACGATAAACAACTTACATCCATTTGAAAATGCCCATGTACTATTGCTGTAAATTCCAGATCCCACTATCGTAGACGCTAAAACGCGAACATAATATTTTGTCTCTGGCTTCACATTATTAATCATTTCAAAATGCTGTTCCTTGGTGGTATAGTTCGTTGAACACGTTTCATTCTCCAATTGCGTAATACAAACAGTGTAACTGACTATCTTTCCGTTTCTTTTGATTACATCAGGTGGCTTCCACGTGACTGATAACGATGAACTGTTGATGGCGAAAATGTTAACATTTAAAGGTGGACCTTCGGGAACTGAACAAAAATGAAAAACACATCTTTTAAAGATTCATCTAAAAGAGTAAAAACACTTTAAAAAGAAATCCCAACCAGTGTACTGTCATTACTAACTTAAATAAAACACTAAATGTAGATATGATTAATTAAAACACAAAAGAAAATCATGATTGACACAAGAGTCCACCAGCAAACGATTTGAGCTCTCAAAATTCGTCCACGACAATAAAACCATCAATGCAAACAAAACCAAAATGAATGCACAAATAATATGAACTCACCATCTTCAGCAGTGGTAAAACTAGCTTTAATTGATCCACCAAAACCTTCAGAGTTGCCAGCGGTTACATTTATCAAATACGTTGTGTAAGGAATAAGATTATCTAATTTGTAAGGTTTAATTAGAGTTTCCTCCCAAATTTTATTAAAAATAACGACAGTATCCTTAAGAACTATTAATCGAACTTTGGTCAGAGGATTGAAAAGATTTGTGCCAAGTTTCACACCAGTGTTTTTGGGATCTTTCCAGGATATCTTGAGGTATCTCGATGCAACTTCATTCGCAGTAAGATGTGTTGGTTTGTGTGGTAGCATGTCTGCAAGATATGGCAAAACTGTAAACTTGGTATCATTGCATTTTGAGTTGGATAAAATCATGCGATAAAATAGAATATTTCGTCGGAATTTCATTGATTTCAAAAAAGGGAACATCATTATGCTTAGTAAAAAGTTCAGAAATTGTGGAAAAACGAAACATGTAGTGCAACACTAAAGTCTGAGATCGCAATGTTAAGATTTGCCTTCTTTATTCGTTGTTTCCATGGGACATGCATAGAATGCCCCAAATAAGAAAATTCCACGTGTTTAGTTAATTTTAAGAGCAAACATGTTTATATATAGTATATTAATACCTCCTTTACAGAGCAAAGCAAACCAGACATATTTTCACTCCTTACCTCCCCCACAAACTTCAATTCGTAAACACAGTTTACCAATAGACTTCGTCGGAACTATTCGTAAACTTTTGGCTTTAATGCCACGAGAAAATTTCTCTATAGCTACATCATTGTAACCATTCCAATTTTGTTGTATAATCTGAAACAAGAGAAAATAATGACTTACGTATTTGGGTAGGGAAAGGTTGAGAACGTTATAGAAAAGTCGGGTTTGTTTGACGCTCTAAACGGGATAGTGGCTTATGGATCTTCTGAATATCTTTTCAAAGCCACAAACTGCAAATTAAACTTGAAGAGTTAAACGCGAGGAAAGAATCTGTTGGTTCATATTGCCACAAACTGATTGTTAAAGTTACAATCTTGTTTCAGCCGATGATTAATTAGTAAAGTTACCAAAACGAAATTTGGAGACAGCAGAATTCTTATAAAAAAGAATAAAAGTAAATCGAAGATAACTACCGCTAAGGATGTTATAACGTCAGTCAACATCAAAACCAACAGTCCTTCTCTGGACTCTACTAACCTGGACGATCTACATCGAAATACTCCCGAGTTAAAACCATTTACTTCATACTAGTATTCATAAAGAAAAAGGTTGTAATAGTTTTCCTTAATTTTTTAAAGTTTTATTGCGTTTGCTGTAGTTTTCAATGTCCGCATTGAAAGGTAAACGACTCTTCCTGAATGCACGTTTATTTATTTCAATTAAATTCTGTTAATTTTTACGCTACAAAATCTTGATGTTGTATCGAGTGGAAACTTTAGTCCTCTCTAGAATTGCTTTCTGAAATAAACAATCAACTTTATTGTCAGAAACCTAAGTAAAACGCGAGATGGCAATGTAGGCAGCCATGTTTTTCGCAACTTGCTATCTATCGCTTTACTATATTTACTATTTTTGACTAGACTAGCCAGTAAAATTAAAGCATTTGCTATAGAATACTGGTATGGTTCAACAAAATATAATTAGAAAAGTTTTTTGTTACCTTTTGGTATTTTTCAGAGTTCCAGTTAACACCGTCAATGTTTGTAAGCATATGATATTCAGTCATAAAGCTTGAACTTGAACTGTCTCCAAAGATTGCGATAGCGTTAACTGTATAAAGACTTGGGAAATTCAGTTGAAGATAATGATTGCCATCAGCAGCAGGAGCACACCACGAACTGCCACTGGATATTCTTGCAGCTTTTGCGCTATGGTCCTGGGTCGAGGCAGCAAACAAAGAGTCCGGGAACTTCTGTGTGTTTTGTAAGAGCGGATCATCACAAACATGACCTGAGGTGACAAAATAATTATTGAGTAGATGGTTTGAACCCGGGAGTATCGTTACATGTTTGTAATGTAGATCGTCCAGGTTGGTATAGTCCTGAGAAAGTTGTTGTTGTTAAGTGGCGTTTCGACAACCTTAGCGGTAGTCATCTTCAGAGTCAAAATGACTCTTCATCAAAATAAACATGTTTCAACATCTCGTGATGCCATACTGAGACACAATTTATACACTTATGAATAGATTATTATATTACAATGAAATAGTGGTTAGAATTAATGATGAAAGTATTTACAGGCTGAATACAGTGTTAAAACGAAAAACTTGAATGTTGAGATTAGGGTTAGTTTTGTTAATGTGAAGTGCTTCTTTGATTTTGAGTGCGAATGTAGTATCTACAGTGTCGATGATTTTAAAGCAAGAGGGTGAATAGTTAGATTTGCATGAAGGTGATTTTAAAAAGTGTCGAAAGATATGTGAGTTTTTGTCAGTTGTGGTGTGTTCCTTGATTCTGGTGTAACTAGTAACTACTGTAACTAGTTATATCAACAAACAACAAACGAACATTAAATTTTCTTTCGAAACTGAATAACAAAACCTACTACATTTTCTAGACATTTCATTAACAAAATCACATGACACCTATACAACGTCGACGTATCATAAACCAACCTACACGTGACTATTGACAAACTACTTCAGTTTCACACAACTTTCATACAAGACTGAATTAATACGCACACTTGTAGACAGAGCATACAAAATTAACAACACCGACAATGACTTTCTACAAGACCTTAAGAACATCACATCTATTTTATTACGCAACTCTTTGCCAATACACTTCATCAACAAAACTATCAAACGATATCTCCATGAAAAAACTAATACTAATTGCAAAGCAAACACCAAAACATCCGACATAACAATCACGACCAACAACATCGAACAGTCCATAAAAACTCTTTACTTTAAACTACCGTACATCGGACATCATTCACGACTCACACAACACAGACTTACAAACATCATCAAATGCTTCTGCACTGACATTAAAATCCGACTAATTTTCACTTCTTTCAAAATCAAAAACTACTTCTCATTCCAAGATCATATCCCTAATTCTATTAATTTTATGGTGGTATACCAATTCAATTGTGCGGGATGTAATTCCCGATATATTGGCGAAACTTCCCGTCATTTATCCTCCAGAATCAGGGATCACACCACAACTGACAAAAACACACATATCTTTCGACACCTTTTAAAATCACCTTCATGCAAAACTAACTATTCACCCTCTTGCTTTAAAATCATCGACACTGCACATACTGCATTCGCACTCAAAATCAAAGAAGCCCTTCACATTAACAACACAAACCATAATCTAAACGTTCAAGTTTTTGGTTTTAACACTACATTCAGCCTGTAAATACTTTCATCATTAATTCTAACCACTATTTCATTGTAATATAATAATCTATTCATAAGTGTATAAATTGTATCACAGTATCATATTACTCTCATATACATTTATCACATACATAATACTCCTTATTATACTGAAGATGGCATCATGAGATGTTGAAACATGTTTATTTTAAAAAATCTTGTCGTTTTTATTAAATGAGTATATTTTATCCTAAAAAAATATTGAAATATCAAGCTTTATTTTTTTCCCGAAACTTACATTTTAAAATTGAATACTCGGAACAGCCACTACTTGGTGTAACCGTACATAGAAATGAAGGTGCCACAGTAGCTCTGCAGTTTACTTCTCCAGTTTTGGACATTGAACTACCGGAAGTCTGCCCCCTTATTTGATCAGCTTTAGGGTAGCCAAGAAAATGAGAAACGTTATCTTTGACATTTCCCAAGGAACTTTTACAGACAGCGAAATCCCCGTCATCTTTCGTAAAAAGTTTTACAAAACCTTCGCTGGGTAATGTCGACTGTGATAACTGGATATCGTCAACTATAAAAAATCGTAAAAGATCATTAGTTGATGAACATAACAAGTTGATGAACATGAATATTCTCCTTAGTGATCTTAGTCCGGCAGACATTGAAGTATAACTACATCATTTAGTTCTTCAAATGAATCAAAAGCACTTTACATTTCCACATTACTTACTGCAAATTTCATTGAATGACGTCATGGTAGAGTTACATTGATATTCAAAGTAAAGATACTTGTCCAAACCAGGACAACTTTTTGAAGGGAAAAAATTATCATCGACAGTTACATTACATTCTCGTTTGCCATCACAAAGTCTTTTTAGACGACATGTGACATCAACACTACAGTTGTAATAGTAACTTGAACCACAAACATTTCCTTGGTTCAATCCACGATATTCTGCAGTCTTTACTACCATATATTGTCCTTTACGACAGCTGGCGTACATTATTTTTTGTCGAGCGCAAGTCACGGAACCTATTGAAAACACAAAATATGTACAAAATGCTAATTAATTTAATAGTTGCATGTCTACAACACTACATTAACAAGTCATAAATGGTCAAAAAAACAGGGCTTATATAAGTCAGTAAGCCCTTTTTCACGAGCTTGTACACTGGAGCGTTAAAACACATGGGGTTGGCGATGTATGGACTATATTATACTGTAGTTATCTACACAGTAGTTTTCATGTCATAAATGTTGTGATAATAAAACCCATCACTCCATATAAGTCGCTTTAGCATGCACTGGGGTGCACACCCCCAGTGCTAGTCTTGATGTCGACAATAAAATAGTTTTAGTTAGGACCCTGGTCTTCGGGCTTGTGTATGGGCTTGCATGCAAGTGGGCTCATACACAGACGGACTTATAGCTACACTCAGTGGCATAATGTTACAAATTGAATTAGACAGTGCCATTGGACAGTGGCAGGCACACGAAAATTCTCAGAAGAGTGGTCAGAAGGTAACTAGCTGTGCACTTTATCACAGTAACTTTATAAAGCGCTGCATCATACTTAGCTTAAAGTGCCAATGTCCTGTTTTTCATATCGGGCTTTTTAGATAGTTCAGATGATTTTGAACATTTTTGGAACATAATTTATTTGTCAAAAATTTCATGTACCAGGATTTTTTCTCGCTCAAAGTTCATTATTTTTGCTTGGCTGTGACTAAAAACTAAGAAGAAAGTCCCGATCTGCCATCAAATCGGGAACACGCGTTTAGAAAACACTATAACAGCTTTCTTGTGTCATTTCACATCGTATTTTGTTTTCATTTGCTTATACATTATAAAACAATATATTACAAAAAAAATCTGCTTATATAGGCCGTTTTCTACACGATCCTATATAAAATATAGTGCAACCTTCACAATGGAGTTCCCGATTTGATGTCAGTTTTCTCATACTGTGGTCAAACGTTAAAAATACTGAAAATCACCAACTAAGAGTGCCGAAAAACCCGCAAAGCTGAATTTTTTTAACTATAAAATATATTGCTAAAGTGTTTAAAATCGTCCAAACTGTTAAAGTAACCTAAATCCATAAACAGTACACAAGCACTTCAAATTTCAAAATAGAAACAGTGAAATATTTTTGACATATTTCCTACCAAAATGAACTTTCTTGTTTTTTTCATCTTGACAAGACGCCATTCTTAAGGTATGGATCAATTCTTTGTTGGATTCTCGGTGAATTATGTTTAGCAGGTTTTAAACAGCGCAATTTATTTCCAGCCCTTTCGTACCGTAATGCTAAAGCACCCGTAGTAAACTGGTTTTCGCCAGTCAATCGAAACTGCATTAGAAACACTATAGAAGATCGTAATCTTCTATTGTATTAATTAAATCACAAGAAAAACAAGTCTATAGAACATTGTCACCTGACATCATGGCCGACATGTTGGTGTACCAATAAAATTTTTTTAATGAAGTTTCTTTTTTGAATACCAATATGACCGTTTCTTGTGTGCTGAGCTGATTTCTCATGTTTTCCGTAGCTGATTTACCATGTTTTTTAATAACTTGTGAATATTTAAAATATTTTCATGTGTTTTAAATTTTGGTGGACCGAAATATGAATTAAGAACCAAATAACCCTTACCGAAATGAAATTGCTTTTTAGGTGTAAATTTACAACTAGCCATTTTCAAATAAGGATCAACTCCTTGAATGTCTTTTAGTTCTTTAGAAGTACGAGGTCTTAAACATCGAAATTGATATCCAGCGCGGTCGTACCGCGTTGCTAGACCTCCCCAAGAGGTTTGGGTTACAGCATTGTTGTTGACACAAGCAGCGTCATTAATGTTGTGTGTATCAGTGTGGATATACAACATATGGAGTTGATAACCCGTTCCATATTTATAAACTCCTTGAAGACAACCTGGTACGTTCAATTTCAATACGGCACCATTATCTAGAAATTTGAACTGAGATGCTGGATGAAGACAGTTGTCGGAAAGCTCCAAGAAGTGAAGTGTTCTTTCTCCCCCAGTTGGTGGTGGATATCTTGACTGTACTATCTTTGTATCATAAATACACTTTCCTGTTTCAACATGTTTCAAGAAAAATCCAGCAGTACCTGAGAAAAAAGAAGTCCCCACATAGAACATGACTGGACAAAACTTTTCAAAAATTCTACTATTTCAAGAAGTTATAGTTTACAAATATCAATAACGGCCGCTTACGGACGAGAAAACTTTTGACAAATTTATATGTGGCAAACGTCTTTTCCCGTCTGTATGGGACTTTGTAGCAAAGTTTTCTTTGACAAATGGATTTGTTCAAACGCTAGCGTGTCAGCTTTTGAATAAATGCATTTGTCGTAAAAAATTTGCCATATAACTGATTTTCTTCCTCTGTAAGGTCTACAAAGATAATATGACAAATCAACCAAATCTGATATGTTGATACGTACAGACGATCAAAGAAAATTCGCCACCTAAAAATTTGACGTAAAAAGTTCGTTGCCCGTAGACACGGAATAGCAACTATTTGTCGTAGAAAGTTTGTTCGTCTGTAAGGTGCTTCAATAAGCCATAGATGAAGAAGAGATGAACAAATAAATTTTGTCAACAACAAAGCACATGTAAAATTATAAATTCAAAAAATCTAAAATAATTATATGCTTTGTATTCGGGGGTTGAGCACGTAAGTTAAAAGGTTGCACCAGGGAGTGGCCTTCTGACCTTTTAGAAAAATTTAATTCAACAGTGACTCATTTCAAGGAAAATAATGAAAAGCTCTTCGTAGCAATGAACATTGGAGTAGGGGGCTAAGCCACTCCATCCTAATTATTGGAGGGGGTGGGGTTGAAGCCTCTTTACCACACTTTCTACAGCCCATTATACTCACTACAAGTCAGGGAATCTGTACAGATACATTTGAATCATATTTATACACAACCGTCTTACGATTATTAAAACTGTGTTAGGATTAATATATTATATATATTTATACACAACGGTTGACTTCTTTCAAGATAAGATGTTTACTTGTCGAGTCCTTCATTCTGCAATTCTTTGATGTAATGGGTACTTATACAGCCTATGTCATATAAACCATAATACTTGTCTATGCAATATGCGTCTGTGAAGACAATATTGATTATTTGACCTGACAAGAACTCTGTTCTGAAATTACCTTTTATAAAATTCATAACGTTTTTGCTAGAAGGAACTTCACCAAAATACAAGCAAAATATGCAAAAGATACACTACTGAGGCAACTAAGCTGTAGTTATACAACTCATTTTGCAATAGCATTTCGAATGAGATATTTGTGAATTGAATCAAAAAGTGAATTAAATTTTGTATAGGGGCACCAGGGGTAAAGCCCTGCACTTTTCTCAGAAGGAGGCAGTGCCCCCTTTGTATTGAAATAGCAAAATTAATATGAAAGAGAATGTTTAGTAATAGTCTATTTTGACTATAAAACATACATATCTACAGAGCAGTGAGTGGACTCTAAAGAATCATGTAGGAGTCTTTTGCAATTTTTTTTCAGTAGTTTATTACATTAGTGATTAGATGACCGGCATTGCTAAAATTCAAAATGGCGACTACTTGACAACATGTTGCAGACATTGGTACTCATAATTTCTGAAATGTCCCCCCCCCATTTTATGCTCCTTCAGATGCCCTTGATTTTGCATAAAGCAGTATAATTTATGCAGCAGTTCAAAAGGATGTGACATATTCTGGAGCAAATTTTTCTTCTATAATGCATAGACTCACACAAGAAGTATGGTATCATAGGCTAGTATCGCACATCTTGTTACCAAGTTCTAACGTTGCCAAAAAACCATAGTGGAACTTGTATACATGAAGCTATCAATACTTAATTTAAATTTCTAAAGGGTTCGTGAAATTATACATATACAGATTTGTTTACAAATCAAAGTTTCGCCGGATTTTATAAATAATTTTATTGAGCTTTGACTTGGTGCTTCGGTGCTGACCTGATGAAGGCTAGAAGCACCGAGTCGAAAGCTCAATAAAATTATTTATAAAATCCGCAGAAACTTTTATTTTTAAACAATGTAATGCCTGGATTACCAATCTTTAAACTTATATACAGATTTATAAAAATTTTTCGAATTTTCTAATACAAAACTTCACAGTAAAACAATTGTAATTGTCGTATAATTGAGAAGAATACATTAACTACGACAAATTGCAGCCCACAAAACCCAGTTATAAAATATACAATACCTACACAGACTGCGCGTGTCTGATTTGTTTTACGAAAAAGGCAGGAGGTATGACTTCCTTACAAAACATGCACACATTGTGTAACCACAATTATAATGAAAGTGTAAACAAAAAACCCAAACAAAGCGATAAAAGATTAAATCAACAGATAGCGATGTTATCATTCTTTATCATCATCGTATTAAATTTCGATAATTATAGATTAAACATGGTCAGCGAGAAATGTCTTTCGAAAATTTATCGACTTACAAGAAAAACAACCATCTCATTTTCAATGAAATTTAAAAACCCGAAGGGCATACCTTGATTTCAAAAGCAAACAATGGCAAGCTCTTACCTTGTAAGAGAAAAGCGAAGTTATATACCAGCATCGAGAACCAGAATCCTTTGAATTTCATGGCCGTGTAGTATTTCAACTTTCAGGACATGTATCAACCAAAATAGGCCGTCAGACGATGTTCTGCATTTACAAGAACGCTGAATCATACGCGGAAGTAAAGTATGTCGAAGTCATCATGAAAAAAATGAAAATACAAGCTTCCTGGCCATGCATATATCTTGTAAAAGCGGATGTTTTAAAGTGAGGTCAAACGGTCAATGATCAGTGTGACGTCTATAAAAGAATAAATTACCATATTAGCAGCTATTGGAGACGATAACCATGGCCGCACTGTTGGTATCGCGAACACAAACCTCTAAATATTATTGGTACAGATGAATATTAGTGAATATCATTGCTCTTTACAAAGTAGATTTAAAATCGTATTCTACTTTTACCATAATTTATAGCGAGTATCCACTCAGTTTAGAAGTGTTCTACAAGTGCTATGTTCTAGCAGTGTCAAGCATAGTGTAGGGAAAATCACGTGGGTGTAGTCATTTTGTGACGATTGTGTTCATTTTGAAACTTAATCCATCTTGCAGTTGCTAGTTCAAATTAGTAAACATCAGTCTGTGTGAATTGAATATCCTTTTGATCAACGTATTTGATATTAACACAAGGGTGTCGAAAGTGTGGGCAAGTTTAAGAAGCCTGAGTTCTTCAGGCTACCACCATTTATGTTTACTGCTTCAGTCTGCTTGACAAATTGTTTGAACATGTTCTTACAAGATATTTTACAGCTGTGAAAGCCTGTTTGAGAGGCTCTTGATCATGTCAACAAAGTTTTTAAACATATCGAAGGCGCAGCTAAATAAATACAATTGTCTCAAAATGTGTGTAAAAGTGTTGGGAAAAGTGTTGGATAATTGTTGTGAAATAGCGATACGTGTTTTGAACGGCAACTGAACACTGATGAGCTCAACCAGTTTTACAAGAACCTGAATACATAGAGAAGACTTCCAAAAACAAAGGAAAGATGATGGGTGTGCGAAATTATACAGACATTCATTATTATTATTATGAGGTACGCATCTAGATGATTAATTAATGGATCACAATTTACAAACTACCTCGATCAAAGAGAAAATCATAAAGACACAAAGGAAGAACAAACATATAAACATAAATGTAGACACATTGGTGGAGAAAAAGGTTGATAAGATGGAAGACATGAAGGTAGACACAAAAGTAGACACAAAGGTAAATAAAGAGTTCAACAGAAAACAAATAAAGGTATACTTAAAGGCACGCACAAAAGCAGACAATATGGTAGAAAAACAGATGAAGAAAATGATGGACACAAAGGCAGACAAAGAGACACACAAATGCAGACAAAAAAGTTGGCAAATCATAGAAAAAAAGAAAGACACAAAGGAGGACACAAAAGTAGACAAAAAGGTTGGAATCACAAAAACATTAATAAAGTTGTATTTTATTGTCTCTATTTTTTAAGCACTTTTTAAAGAATTTCTCAGCAATTCAACACATTGTGACATTCAGACTCTTTTTGAATTATAATGGATTCAGAAAAATGAATAATGTGTGTTACAGAGCATTCCACATTCATAACTGCAAAACAGGAAGTAAAGCTATTAAATTTTTCTACGTTAGTTGGAATGATTTGGTATCCACCGTATCCACAGTGACTAATGGCCCAATGACATGATGTACTTCATGTAATTTCGCCTGTTTTAAGATAAATTCAAAGGGTACCTGAAAAAAAGAAATGAAGAAGTTTACCGTGACTTTAAGTGAACCTGCAAAACTCCACAATTTCATACCATTCACGGGAGCTTGAAAACATCAACTGGTAAACTATAAAATAAATGTATAAATAAATGTCACCAACAAAAAGCATATATATGTTTACATGAACGCTAATTACAGGCGTTTAGTTAGTATTTTAACAATATATGCGAACTGTGTAAAAATTTGTACTTACCAAAATTAAATTGCTGATTATCTTCATGTTTACAATCGTCTATTCCCACGTAGGAATGAGGTTTTATAAGTCCAGGAGGTACTACACATTTATTAAAGCGTGAAATTAATAGTTCACCATTAACAGTTTGGCGTGGCAAGGTCTTTTTTGTTCTGGTATATCCCCGATTAGTCTCTTACTGTGTCGTCTCCCACAAGACAGCCTGGTCTATTAGGTTTTATTATGGAGCTAGGCTGTACAAATTTAAACTGTTCTCTGAGTCAAAACAGTTCTCATGCAGTAAGATTCAAAAAACTTTAGAATGCTGAAATCTTTCAATACAGTTATGTCTGTTTTCTTCAGAACCTTCTTCGTCATAATTTTTTAGGCCAGAGGGTTGTTGTGTTGGATTCTGTAAAGACGACTGGAGCCCCTAAATTGCTAAAGGTCTCATTTCCTTCGATTAGAAATCAAGGCTATAACAGAATTGATATTTGGGGAACTCATATTAATTTATGTAGGTATGCATGTTATAAATTGTACTAAACTATAAATTACATTGTTCTCACGTTCAGTGAACAATAATATATTCACAAAGCGAAAGTAAAAAAGTCAAGCAGGCTACGCTGCTTAATGTGGCATATAATAGGCTCTAGCTAATTCTAATATACACAAATAACATATTGTTTTGTAGAAGTATTGAACAATCCGGTAAGCATATGAAAAGTGTATACGTAGCTGTGTTTTTAGATGTAGATCGTCTAGGCAAGGAAAGTCATGAGAAGGACTGTTGGTGCTGATGTTGACTGACGTTTTGACAACCTTAGCGGTAGTCGCCTTCATCGCTAAGGTTTTAAACGTCAGTAAAAATCAACACCAGCAGTCCTTCTCATGACTTAATCAATCTGGACGATCTATTTCAACAGACATCTAATGAATAACGATACTCCCGGGTCCAAACCATTCTTTTTAATGCTTTGTGTATGAGCAAGCCTTAGTTAGAAAGTTTTTTTTCTTGTTCTTTTAAAAGCATCTTTTAATACATCTTCATTACATATGTAATTAATAAATTCCTCCGATTCTGTTGAGGTTCACACCATAGAATGAACATCGTAAACGAATTAGCAAAAATAATTGTTTTGATACACTATAAACTAAAAAATTCTCTCATTTAAATCCATTCTTTGTCATTTCACTTTCCTTCCTCATCTTATGTCTTTGTTGATGGTATATCTGTCTAATGCATTTCACCATTTATTGTCATCAATTTTTTTCACATTTACATAAGACAAATCATTATCATCCTCCATTAACGATTGATAATCATCTTCTGTATTCATTTTCGATACGTCAATTTCTTAATACCTTGAATCAGCAGTGACTGTTAATGACTCATTATCTGACATTATCATCTTCTTAATTCATGTTTGACAAAGCTGATTCTTCATTAACTCTATCGCTTCTATAGATAGTAAAAAGATTAAGAAAAGAGAGCAATTGCTGGAGTTAGCGTAGCGAAAATAACGTGCCATTTTTGTAAATGCTAGCTTGGCTTTTTAGAACAGTGGAACATGAGACCTTCGTTAATTTTAAAGCTGGTGATACATGTCTTTGACACTTAACATAAGTTACATGCCATATAAAAGTTCACTTTTATTATTTTTCATTCATTACATGAGAAATGGTATATATGTGAACTTTCTTCAGTCTTGATACGTTTTATCTTTGATATTGACGTAAGGCATATCCATTAAAGACTGATAATTTTCTTCCCTGTCCATTTTTGATACGTCTAATTTTTGATAATTTAAGTCATCACGGTCTGTCAAAGCCTCATTATCGTTTCTTTTAGATATGTCGGATAACTTCATTTCTTCATAGGCTCCATTGTTTACGTCTGTGCTCTCTACACCAGGGGACTGAAGTTGTTCATTTTGTTTACTTTTGTTGTTCAATACAAAACGTCGACGATAAAGTAGAATAATTGAACAGGAAACAATGATGAGAATGATTCCTGAAATGACGGCAACCAAAATGATGTACCATTTTGTCGTGGCTGGGATGTCTAAAACAGTGGAAAAACATAGAGGCGCCGTTATTAAAGTACACAATTTAGGACAAAAAGATTTATCACCAGTGGAAGGTAATAAAAAGTCAATTTCAAAGTTTAAGGTTTTATAAAACAAGTAAGAAATACATAACATAAGACAAGTGATTACGAATGACATAAGAATAACAAGACAGAGCATGATGTCAAGAATTATTCAGACCAAAACCAATGTTACCTTCCCAAGACATAATTGATATAATACTAAAAACAAGAGAATTGAAGGCATGAATGACATAAAATTAAGTACAAGACAAGTAAATACATGAATGACACATAAGTAAGACAAGTGAAAACGAATTGACAGACATTAAACAAAGCAATGCACAAAACACAGCTGTGATCTACTTTACGAATGGTTGCCATATAAGTATTCCACAAGAATTGCGTAATTGTGAAAATCGTTTATGTCACATGAGCAGAGTCATACATAGACAATTGAATGGCCCGTTACAGTGAGTTTAACAAAAAACCCTATACCTGTGTTTTGTAGTGTTTTTGCTGGAGGACTCCAGTCAGTAGAATAAAAAGAAACCTGAAACGAAGTAAATACATATAATGAATTAAAAAAGTGCTGATAACATTGCACGTAAAATTTGACAAAGATTGATCTCACTGCTTACCTGATCATCTACGAAAACTCGCTGGAAAATTTTGTAACTAGTGCCTGGCTTCAGAGGGCCATTTTGGTGTTTTCTACCATCAGAGCGGCGTCTTCTTGTAACAACTGTGTTTGCGACATCACCGAGTGTGAACAATGACGTGTTTTTTCTAATGGGAAAAATTACTGCAGCAATATAAGGCTTTGGTTGTGCGGATGATATGGCCTCAGAGTAACTCACTAAGTCATCATTTTTTAATTCTGAAGGCAACCGACTTTCTTTTTTGTCATGCTCCATTGCTACCACATAAAAATATCTGTAAATGAAAAAAAGAATGTGCAAATAATATATTGCTTATCTTAAAACGCAAAATTACAATTGGTTGTACGAATCTTTGCCAAAACTGCAGATGATACCTTTAAGTTTTGTAATAATTACAAACATTAAATGAGAGTTATGTTTCGTTAAAAGGCGAACGCTTGACAAGTCACCATTATGTACGTCAAACTAGGAGTATAAATATGAATGCCAAACTATGAGAAGTATGAGGAATTTTTATAAGTGCAATGCACAGACTTATTTTCATTTAAAGTGGAAAAACTGAAATAAAATGTTGGGCTTTTTTGGAGTGAAGTATAGTTTTTGACGTAAATGCCAAGAGTGAAGTAACGTTTAAATATATCGTGTATTAAATTTTGAAGTATGACTTTTACTTTAGCAGCAAAGCTGTATTTTAGTAGTAATTTGATTTGACAGTTTTTCCAGAGGGAAGTCTTTTCACAACAATGTACATCCAATTCTCTGCTTGAAATCGCATTTGCATTAATTTGTTTGGCAACAATTTAGTCTATAACAAGTTAACGACGACAAGCTTTCAAACGATTCTTGTATGCTCTGTATCCAAGTATCTTCGCTGTTGACAAACTAATTTTACGTTTAATCTGATAAAAAATCATGTAAGAAAAAGAAACAAAACACAACTTTGTAATACATCACATACTACAACAATTTGACATAATATTGTCTTTATGAGTTACTGAACCGATAATTGAATCTTTAAAAATAGGATTGAACAAGTTTGCGAACACTCTAAGCTTAACAAAACAAAAATGCTATTACAAATGCAGTCAATAGCCTCAGATATTTACAAAAAACAGGGTTTAGCAAATTGCTCAATATGTGGCTATTCACACCGTGATAGGTAAAAGCAATTGTTCATATTTGATGACTTAACTTTATGTGCCGGCAAATGTGCCGGACGTAATGTGCCGGCAAAGAATGTGTGGCAGGCTTTTTGGAACCTATTTCACAAGGCTGGGATCCCTAAGCCAGCAATACAGCACCACTCCTAGAGTTCTTGAGGCAAGCCTTCAAAGCGTGTGAGTTTTGCACTTAAAGCTTCCATAGAAAAAAATATATACACACGGGACAGTACAAGAGTATAAACCAAATGATCGACATTACTACAGATGGGATGGCGAGGAATAACGACACCAATTTCTAATAAGATCTCAATTCATATATTCACCAGAACAGAACACTTTTTTTGACATGCAAGAAAATTTCTTGTTTCTACGCATGATGCGATTTTTGATGTGAAGTACGTTAAAGCTCTCAAGCATTTGCAGCATGCGCTATAAATGACTCTTCTATTTATATGGGATGCAGAAGTGAATATGGGGTGTCAAAGTTTGATTTTAGGTTGGAAAAACGCTTTTTAAATACTGCAGTTTTACTACTTCATCCCGTAAAGAAATGGTGATTTAGAGCTGCTTCATTTAAAAAATTTCGGCTTGGGCCTTAATCAAGACCTTGTTTATAAAGTTTTAGATCTCGGGGACGCATTCTGAGTCGAAATAGACTGCCCCCTTCCGCCACACGTCACAACAGAAAAAATATTCACACCACGTCAATGCTCAAAGGATCTTCTAACTGTTCTTGTTTATGGCCGAGAGAAGATTTTTTGAAAGTACTTACTGATATTTTATCGAGGGGATTCGCAACAAATAAGTCAGTGAATACGCTGTCTGAATTCTGGGCTGTTCCGGTGCAACTAAAATTAAAAGATGAAAAAATAATATATTACCTATAAGTGCTTATTTTTATTTTCATAAATAACTCACGTCCGTTTGAGAACGTCCACTTCAATTTGCTGTAAATTCCAGGACCCACTTTCGTAGACGCTAAAACGCGCACACAATATTTTGTCGCTGGTTTTAAATGATTTATTTCCAAATGTTGTTCCTCAGTAGTATAGGTTTTTGAACATGTGTCACCCCCACATTGTTTAATACAAACAGTGTAACTGACTATCTTTCCGTTCCTTTTGGTTACATCAGGTGGCTTCCACGTGACAAACAATGATGTATTGCCGATTGCGTAGATTGTGACATTCAAAGGAGGACCATCAGGTACTACAAAATCATAATAATAAATTTTACAGCAATTCGTATCGTGATATCCAAAGAAAACACTCCCAAACGTGATGTTGATCATGTAGAGGAAATATAAAATGAAATGATGTTTTGCTTTATAAATGGAGACGAAAATGAAGTTTATAATGACACGTACATGGAGCTCGCGTGTTTGGCTATCTATCCTTTTCTTAGGATACGAGTAAGAAAATGAGGCAATGCAATACTTGTTGTATCGGTGTATGCAATATTATAGGAGCGTGCCACACATACGTCAACTCTATTTATACTGTCGCATAAATTATAATGCTTTTTTCAAGCTCACAGGAATGGCTCCTGATTAAAATCATATCAATAAAAGTCTCAAAAATTCAATCAAAAATCAATAAAAACTTCAAAAATTTTCAAAGTTGATTATGTACATAGTGTAAAAATATTTGCCATACGATGAAAGGAAATTAGAAAGCAAAATTTTATCTGCTTTTATAATACTTACGATGACCAATTTTTCTGTATGGCATACTTGTGTCGTTACATTGATATTCAAAGTAAAGATATTTCTCCAAACCAGGACAAATATTCGAAGGAAAATGATTATCATCAACAGTTATCGTACATTCTCTTTCACCATCACAATATTTTTTAAGGTCACATGTTACATCGACACTACAATTGTAATCAAGACTTGAATTACAAATGCTTCCTTTTCTCAATCCACGATATTCTGCAACTTTTATTACCATAAATTGATTATTCGAGCAACTAGCGTCGGCTATCTTTTGTCCAGCACGTGTCACTGCACCTATAATAAAAACAAAAAATCCAGTCAGTACGCGCTTGTCTGTAAGATACTGTAAATGCAAATTTGAATCTAATGAAGATAAAGTTTTGGATGACGGTGACCTAGCAAGCAGATGCCATCTCAATAGCTAAGGATTTGTGGTGGTTTTCAATAAGAGTATAAATATATTCACGAATTGGATAAAAATTTTTACTTACCAAAATGAAATTGCTGATCTTCTTCATTATTACATTTAGCTATTCCCATGTAGACATGACGTTTAATATATCCTGGAGGTACTGCACATTTATTAAAGTCGGAAGTAAATATTCCACCTTGAAAAGTTTGGGTTAAGGCGTTTGCGTCATTGCATGCAGCAGCAATGTTACCTTTGTTTTCGTATATCAAAAACAAATCTTCTCTTTGTCTATCTCCCACAAGACAACCTTGTCTATTCGGTTTTAATATGGAGCCAGATTGATGAAATTTAAACTGAGTTGTTGGGTCAAAACAGTTGTTAGTAAGGTTAAGATAGTAACCAATACCATAAAAATTCCCAAAAAGCGTCATCCCCGTATCATTAATACACTTTCCTGATTGAACATGTTTGATAAAAAATCCATTTGTCTCTGAAAAAATGACATTGATACACATTGAAAATTGTTCGAAACTTGATATTTGACAAAATATCGAAAATAATAGTTCTTTAAAATTAGTTATTGATACTGAACACCTTTAATACGACTCAGTGAAAAGTTTATGAGCTTATAATTGATCAAAAGTGTTCATATAATGCTAGGGGTGGAATTAATTCTCGATTATTTTTTTAATAAATGTGACTTGTTGAAGCAACGTTTATTCTCTTTGGTTTGGAAAACAAATTTTTGTAAGTTAGTTACATTAGATAAACAATTAAAGCACCCGTGTAGTGAATTATGTGATGAACATTTGTTTTTTTCGTTTTGTTGTTGTGGATCGCGTGCATTTCACGTGATTGACACTTTCAGTGTTACAAAAAAAAGGAAAATAGTTTAATGTAAAATTAAATTTTAATTTCTGTAAGCAGTACGCTCATTTTTTTGGCTGAGGTCATTTCATTTGTGTTGAAAACTAAGTGTAGTTGGTGATAAGCATAACCTTAAAGTGCTCTGTTTTAAAGATCTGGCCAAGTAACGTTTTTTTGTTGATGTTGTTCTTTAATCCGACATTATTCAACATGAAAATCATAGCTGCACAATTTCAAACTCAAAACACCTTCAGAACAGAATTATTGCTTATGAATTTACAAAGTTTGAAATTTGAACAATTGAGTGGCCTCTAAAACATTAGGAATTGTAAACATATCCAGAAATGAGCTAAGAATTATATTTCGACGTTCCAGTGAAATTAATTAGAGAAAGATTCGGGTACCACTTGAATTGCATAATATTTATTCATAATTTCTTTTTGATTTCAAGAAAACATTGTATAATTTGATATTTCAATTTTTCGTCGGTGCATCTTATGCTAAAGTAGTGTTGAAGACTCGTTTTTACAACGAAACTTCATAATAGGAATTTTGGTTTCTGGTGTCATTATAGCACCCCCATTTTCATTTCTTAAAAGAGATCAAAGCATAACTTCATGATAAGAAATAGGTACACAGAATGTACTGGTGGAGAGCCTGAAATGATACTCCCAAATTAAACATCGTTATCGGATAGAGAAGAAGTCAGGCGCTCGGGAAGTTGCCAATAAATTCTGGGCACGTATAGGGTGCTTTAAATTATGATTAGGCTTACCTGGGCATGTCAAATAATAATAGTGACGTTCTCAATAAATATCATAAATTTGGCGATAAAGTCATTGCCATATTTAATGAAAATTATTTGACATGAATGCTAGATCGTCAACAATTTGTTATTCAAACATTTCGTGCACTTTACTTAAACAAATGAACGGAAAATATTGACAAGTGAATATTATACAATTATTCGGGGCTTCAGGCCGATACATCTTCTAGTTTTGTTGATATTATTTTCTCAATAAAATTATAAATTTTTAATAGGACCTTATTGCTAACGATTTTGCTCTGATTACGATAAACGTATGTTAAACATTCATAAACGTATGTATTAACATGAGAAGGCTTCGCCAAACTAAACTAAATACAAGCAAGGTATCTCCAGTTTATTCTCTCGACTCCCCTGTTGCGATCTCCAGCTGGCGTTGGCGAAAGTTGTAGCTTAGCTGAAACCCACGTGATTGATTGAAACCCAAAAATTTTGTTATTCGGCCAAACGAGATGTAATTCGGGTGACACCTTCTTAGTCGAACTTTACATTCACCGAACACATTAAACACAAAAGAAAATCATATGAACGTCCTCGTTATCTTTTGTTTAAAATGCATTCGGTGAATGTAAAGTTTGATGTTTGAAACGGGCCTAAGTGATGACAAACATTAGCTTATTACCTTATACGCACAATATAAATAGTTAAAAACATCATCTTGTAAACTCAAGACTCGAGTAATAATTGCAACAGACAAGATTTAAAACAATGTTCGATTTTATTTCCAAGATATTGTAATGACGTTGAAATAAAGTCGAAATATTGCTTGAAATCTTTTCTCTTTCTAGAAATACTTACAACTATGGTTTCAATCAGCCACAATTGGTACAGAGGCCATAGAAAATATACAACGTTCGACCAAGGCTGAAGCTCACAATAGCACGGACGGTAGTACAATGCTAATTAGGGGGTGTATATTGATATAGTCAGTTGTGGACGAGTGATTTCTTTTGAAAGTGATTTAGTTATCTATACAAGCCAGTCGGGCAAGCAAAGATACTTCCCACTAGTACCACAGAATAATGATTATACAGAAGGGTCACTCAGGTGTACAACGTGTCCTCAGGTCAGCCATTATTCCAGCCAGATGATTAGGATTTCTCACTTGTTTCTAACCACTTGTTTCTTACTTTATAGTCTTTTACAGATTAACATAGTAAAACGTAAAAGGTTACCCGTGCACAAAGATAAAATCCGTCAATAAGTTATTTACACAACATAACATATCAAAATACAATATGGTGAGTAAAACTTATCGATGTAAATGTCTGTTTACAAGTTGTTGTTTACGTTAAATGTCTTATTTAAATACATGTATAATCAGAAGAGACGAACAAGACGTTCTACTAACCTTGTATCAAACAAGCAAAGATACTTCCCACTAGTACTGCTAACCAGAACAGATCGAATCTCATAGTCATTAAGGTGATATTGTCTTCCAGCTTTCACAATGTTTCAATAAAAATGTTATGAGAAAGTGTAATACCTTCCTCCTTTCATTCGAAAGCCACCACAAATGCGGATGTGAGCAATATTTACGAAGTGTATAGCTACGCTAAGGACCAATATCCTTGTCTATGCAATTTTAAATACATCTTGCCCACGCAATGTCACACGCGCGTTTCAGCTGTTACATTAATCTGCTTTATTCAAGTTCACAGAAACCGCTCTCCTACTCTTTTTTGATATCGTTATTTACTCAAATGCGGATGTGAGCAATATTTACGAAGTGTATGGCTACCAGAGCCCTCTATTTGTAAAAGTTGGAACATCTATTGTTATCCGTTTAGCTTACGTTGATTGGGCAATATTGATCACCTGATCAATTTCCGCCATTTTGGTTCCTAGTTTTGAAATTTGAGCTAGTATTTATATAGCAATTACTGCTAGTAATACAGTATTTTGAGATAATATTGCGATTTTTATGGATAAGTGTATAATGACTGATTGTTGAAGGCTACTAAATGTCATTACATATCGCCAGAATCGATGATTACGAAAAAAATGAAAGAAATGCCTTTACGTCGAACTTACGAAATTTGATTGCGTATGGTTATTGTTGTGCTCAACTGCTTTTTATATAAGGTTCAATCAACTGACTCAAGTAGTGAACCATTTTTGGACAAAATAACATTGCAAAGTTCGTGCTAATGCAGTTTCAATAGTTTTCTTAATCCAAAGCTTGTTTTTTAATCGAAGATGATTTCTCAACCACTTCGACACAAAACAAACAACTACACCAAATCACAGAAACTGCTATGATTTTCCAGGTTGCATTTTGTATTTTTTGTTCATCATTTGAAAATGAAGTAATTATAATTAGGATATTCACTGAAACAGCTGAGTACAATATATTTTTGGTAATGAATTGCACAAATGTACCCTACTTCGGTAACTCGAAGTAGAACATTACTTCTCTTCTAGACTTGCCACCAAGCTTAAAGATCTTGAAAACTTGTTATAGAGTCGGAACATAAGCCGAGAAAACACGTTCACGTGCGGAAAATACTTTTTACAATGGGTCACGATCAATTTGAAGCACGATCTAGTAAACCGCAAACGAAGCTCAAACCAATGAAATTAAATCAGGTCTACCGCAAATCGTTAAAAAACGCAAAGAGCTAGCTATTATTCCTAATATATTTGATACTACCATGGAATAAGCTTAAATTGCTTTCTTCTTTTGCATATAAACCCAATTTCCAAAAATATTATTAGAGTTTCACTTTGCAAATAGGAACCAAAATGGCGGCTCCGCGCTCGCCCTAGACCGTTTGTCCCAACTCTTACGAATAGAGGGCTCTGATAGCTACGCTATGGACCAATACCTTGTCTATGCAATATTAAATACATCTTGCCCACGCAATGTCACACGCACGTTTCAGCTGTTGCATTAATCTTCTTTATTCAAGTTCTCAGAAACCGTGTTCCTACTCTTTTTTGATATCGTACTTTATAACTTTTGTTAATTTTCAGCAGAAGAAACTTTACAACATACAATCCAAACAGATTATATGAAAGATACACTGCAAAGCTATACACAACTCGAACTTTAATCTCGGCCTTGAATTGATCTGCTCTCGAGTTCTCCCAAAGGTCTCTTCGGTTTACACAAGCCTGTCAGCCTGAGCAAATACATGCATAATTAAGTAAGCATCTTTTAATGCAACCTTTTTTCGCATATCAAGCATGTTTGATATTTTTGGCCACCCAAGGCAAAAAACTCACCGTTTGCGCTGATTGTGAGGTTAGATGCTCACATATAACTAATTAAAGAAACAGTAGCGACGCGTTCTATTAACTGATGACCAAACATCAAAATATAGGCAACAACTACAAATGAATTGATGAGCACGTACATGTTAGACAAATTTAAGTCATTGACAAACTAGTTGACTTAAGAGCAATTTCCACTACGGTCGCTTTGCCCGCGCGCACGGGACGGGCACTTCTCATCATTCATTAAACTTTTTTGCATGCGCTGATTTAAAAACCAGTCAAAGATAGCAGCTTTAAGAAGACTGTTGATACTGAATTTATTAAGACGGCGATTAGAAAGAAGGAAATACAGGAAACGATTTTGGGTGAGGCAAATCTATCTAGATGGAAAAAGTAAAGACGAATATCGCACAATATCGTCCAATTGATCATCGTCATACTTTTCTTCGAAATCATGCTGTTGTGGCACGATAAATTTGGTGTTGCTAGCGTCATTAGAGTTGGATGTGTTATTTGTCTTTGTTCTACTGAAGGTGGTCGCCACAAATGCCCTGATTTTGGTTCAAAGATTGCATACAAGCATATGACTTGTCTGCCATGATTTTTTTTTCCACAGTATAGTGACTAGGTGCGATTGGTATATTTTAATCACGTGCACCTTGGTTCACGCGACATCGCTAAGAATGTCGAAAACTTTCAACTTTCAAAACGTGTACACCAGTGTCCGCAGCGTCCGAGAGAAGCCATGACGTAGTTTATAGCGCATGCTCAAAAGTTTACGACATAAGAATAAGAACAAGACAAATGAAGACATGAATGACATAAGAAAAAGAACAAAACAATTAATAACATGAAACGGCATAAAATAAGAACATAACAAGTGATGACATAAGCCTTTTGTAATAGAAGTCTGTGTAAACTGTGTTTTATTTTGTAAAACTTTTCAAAAATATTTTTCAAATCTGCAAAGACTATTCGCGCGATCTTTGAGCAAGGCAAAACTCACATATGTACTTCTGTTGTTAATAAATTGTTAACAGTGAGAACAGAATTTCCAAATACAGTAAAGATTATAAAATGTTTGAATGTGAATAGAGATAGTGCTGAACTTTAGACCCGGCTTTGTAAAGTATGCTAAGCTTTGGTAACACACTGGTAACGGATCTTTTAAACGACAGACCGTAAGTGCTTATTTTGAATTTTGTGATTAAGTTAGACAATGTTTGTCTATCGCGTTTATTCTTAGTATCAAATTTCATGTATATAAATATGTAAATAATCTGAATTGTTGCATCTCCAAAAAGTCTTTCAAATAATGACTCAACCTAAACTGAATATTTTTACACCCCAATAATATGAAATATTATATCACAGGCTTTTGTTATGTTAATAATAATGTAATTAATACAATTAATTCCTCATGTTCAGCTATATTCTTTCACAAGGCACTACATTTCTTAACCTGTATCGTTCCAAAATACGTATGACAATTTTTGATAGTTTCTACTTTTAAAAATTCAACTTCCTTCATTTCCGTGAAATTTGAGCAATCATCGTACGACTGCAATGCACAAGCCACTGCCCGGTAGCAGAATTTAAACTGACCTAAAAAATGCACAAAATATTTGTAAATAAATAAGACAAAGTGCTAATAAGTGAATGTTGAACACCAGTTTAAATTCATCAAATTTAAAAAATTTCATTGCAAGATCATTTAAAACAGTTTTAGTTTTCTATTACTATTATAACTACTTTCTATTACGCACAATGGTAACGCACGAAATAAAGTTGCAAATTATCTTTACACGTTACATTTAGAATGTTTGTGAAGTGTACTTTGCATATACCTTTTTACTGTCTTAAAAATATTCAGATAATTGCAAGCAATTTGACGTATTTATGTCCACTTTTAAGTAGAAGTTTACAAATTTCAACTTCAAATCCTTGCTTGCAAACTTTTTTTGACTGCCATCTTTGCTCTCTTTTGCAGTAAATCTATTCTTAGTCAAAACGCTTTAATTTAAAAAGTAGTGATATAAAAACGTCTAAAAAGGAATAGTTATTACCGCCTTTTTGAGATTGAAGAGAATATTCCTCTTTATAGTAGACGTCACTTTGCATTTTCCCTTTTCACCATTTTAACTATTTTATAGCTTTCTTTTCATCAAGACAATTTTGTGTATGACTGGAAGAAACTGAAAACCAAATAAACCAGTTAATTTCACAATTTTTATTTGTTTGAAGTAAGTAAGTTAACTTCAACGCATTCTAATAATTAAATAAAATGTGATGACAAAATACCATTAATTATAATAATACTTCGCTTAACAAAGCATTTTGTCATATTTAAAATACTGGAAAAAAATTAAGAAATTCTTTGATAAACACACCATTTACTAAGTATGTTGATTTCTTGCCACTAAGATTTAAGAGAAATGAATGAGTGAACATTTTGAACAGCTTCTCGCATCTGAAATGATTACAAACCATTTGTTAATAACTCATTATCCCATCAACAATATATTATAGAAGATCTCTTACGTCACCTGCTTGTTTAGAACACAGTGAAAGAGGAATATAAGCAATCCTTGAGCGGAATCAAAAATGGCAAAAAGATAACGGAAGAATACAGTCTCTTCATTGATGGCTATCAAGCCAAACACCCATGTCAATCCAAGAATAGGTAAGATAACAATTGTAGCTCTTACTCCTTTCTTTACTTTCTCAATATTTTCTTGTTGTCTGACTTTGTGTGAGTTCATCACTTTTCTGATTACCATGATGAGTACGATTGTGTTGGCCTGAAAGTGAATTATAGATTGGCTTGATTGTATGCTTTTGTAAATGTGCAATATGAAGCTCCAATAAACAAAAAATGGTTTATAAATCAAGTTTATCTTATTGATAAACTTGCCATCACACAAACAAATTTATTAGCCATGGTGGTATTTGGACTTGGAGTAAGTTCATCACTAAAAGACGAGCAAAATACACGAGACGTTTCAAGTTGTGCACAAATGCATAAAATTAGCACACGATTGTATATTAGCATCACAATTAATAAATACTTTTATTTTTGAAATGTCCTTTTTATAGATTGCAGGCAAAGAATTTCAATTTATATAGTTGAACTGTATCACAAAAATTAATATACGTTCATTATAATATTTTCGTGTCTCGCAAATACTTATAAACGAACATTTAAACAAATATAATTTCCTACGGTTCCTTGTGATTGGCAGCTTATTTGACCAACTAAATAGAGTCTCAACTCAATATAATGTTAGGAGCACACTCGAAACAAAGCTGGAAATCATCTTACTTCTAAATTTATTAAGTTTACAAAGTGGTTTCGTAATTCATATGCCCGTATTTTTAGAAGAACCGGTCAGCTACGGTAGCCATTGTGAAAAAAATTGATTTAAAACATTGGCAGTATAACAACATACAAAAATCACAAGGCATGCCGGTAGAACAAACGCCAATTTCAATTCATTTTTGACACTCAGCCAACAGTAATAGTCGGTGCCATATCCTTCGCTTTGAGTAACGGTAAGTGATATGGTGACAGTAATCAACGGAATCCCTAAAAAGAATTGCTTATCTATATCAGGGATTTTTTGACACTTTTTGAATACAAAATTACAATGTTACCCCAGCCAATAAAACTGAAGATCTTGATATGCTTTCCATGAACGGAATCAAAAATTCGAATGAGCAAGATGTAAAGTAGAATTCCTTCGCACAGCATGCAGCCAAACGCTGACAACAGGAAGAAATGCAAGAAAACAGCAACTGCTTTACAGAAATCCTGTAAAAGATACGAATGTTTTCAATTGTATCTAATCCTAGTCAAATGAATTTACATTACAAGTCAAATGTACTATACAAAGTTAATATGTCAAGCAAAGAAAATTATACTATCATGTGGGTTTCATTTTGCATACTCTCTTTTTAAAGTGTTTATATCATGATTTTAATCTTTTATCACTTAGAGAGCTTAGACGATTGGATACACTTTTGCAATATATTTTATAATTAAAAAAATTTAACTTTGTGGACGCTGCACTATATTTTACATAGGATCGTGTAGAAAACCACCTATATAAACAGATTTTTGATATGATTGCCTTATCTCACATCTTCGCCTTGTGTAACTGGCGGATACCAGTTATCAGAGCATCATCTAAAACTACAGAGCATCATTCTCAACTACTACTACAGAGCATCATCTTCAACTTCCATCTCATTTTCAATCAAAAAATTAGTCTCGGATTCAGTTTGAATATCGTTAGAATCAACAGAACTTGAAGACATTCTCTTTTTTCAAATTTAAACAAATGAAAACAAATTGCGATGTAAAATGCGACAAAACAACTATTTGTTAATAATGATTTCTAAACGCGTGTTCCCAATTTAACGTCAGTCCAGTCTCTCCCCCTATTTTTTTGGCATCACGGCCAAGCAAAAAGCTATGAAATTTGAAGGAGTAAAAATCCACGATGATCAAATTTTTGAGTTGCAAAACATATTGCAAAAATGTTCAAAATCATCTGAGCTATCTAAAAGACCTGACTTCAAAAACATGATAAAGGCACTTTAAAAACTTATACACGTATAAGCTAAATGATGTTTACGAGGAAGAAATCAGGCTACACCAAAAGTTGTGAATATAAAACTTAAGAACCACTGGCAAAAATCAAATTCATCGTGTAAGTCATGTTGAGAGCATAGTTTTTATGTGAATGCGTAATGTTAATTGTATTTTAACAGCTGCTTTTTGTTATATCTTCTTTATAAGTCTAAAAAAGCTATTTACTTCGATATAATTACCGGATTACTTCTGGCAACTCCTTCCACTATAGAGAAGATATCGGTAAAACCAATGGCGATGCAAAGATTAATCAAAACTATACATCGGGGTGATTTTACATGTTTCCAAAAATACACGTGCATGATGAGTGTGAAAATTATTGCCAAAAGTGATACTGAACATCCAATGATTGTGATGTATTCTAGAGCTTTTAGATAAGTTTTCATTAACTGAAAAAAGAGAATAAAAGGCATTCTTTGCAATTCTATAATACTCCACTCTCTAAAAATCTGTCAGCAAGTTTTAAGCTATATCAGAAAGAAAAAATGCTTTACCTTTACTGATGTCACGTATGTAAGAATGACATTACTATTATTACAGCTAAGTACAGAAACCTGTAAACTGGACTGCAGGATTAATACCTGAACATCTGGGAAATGCATCAAGATTGCAAACGCTGTGTTATGATCACAATCACAAGTAACTTTTTCTTTCGAAGATTGTGCTTCGTTTAGTTCACATCCTTCACGGCTCCACTTGCTATCGTTTAGACTGGGCTCGATAAACACGCATTTCCTTACAGGCTCCAAAAAACCGCTCTATATCAATGTAAAAGAGTGTACGTAATAATTGACTTTACAAAGTAAAATAAAGCAACAATAATATACAGGTGCTAAGAGTTGTTAGTTAAACACAAACCTGATTATTTTGTAGAACAATTTTGATAGGTCGAGTAACATTTAGAAATTTTGGTATCGTTGTAAAAGAGATTATGGTGCTCTGGATAGTGAGATTCTTGTTGGCCTGTATAGTGTGATCCACAGATTTTTGTAATTCCTCGAAGGATAATATGTCCTTAATTGACGAGTATTTGACAACAGTAGCTTGTTTTACACCGTGAGTTACTAGTCCACGAAACTGAACACCTTCGCCCTCAGATACGAGATTAATATCTTCATTTTCAGGTAACTTTACACCAAGTATTTTAATATTGTCGCTGGAGAATGCAAACACCTTTCCAGGTTTTCCATTTTCTTCGATCATTTTTTTTGCAACTAGATCTGCACCTTTGATGATTTGTCTTGCTAAGGCGTTTCTATTCTGGTGAACAATCAAAGAATACCGGACTCAATAGAGGACAATTAAAAAATTAATTTATGCACACCATTACTATCATTATAAATGAATCTATAATACTTGTTCTGATAACATCTTAGCTATTAGCTTGAATGAAATATACATGACCTATATATTTAAGCCTACGTGTACATTAAGTGTACATTACAATAAAGGAAATCCAGGATTTTATTCTGTAAAGGGTGTATAATTCGGAGAAGTCCGTAATACAACAACTTGCAATAACAACTTGCAACACTAATTTCACCAACGTGCTCATTACATTGCCATATAACAACTCAAGAATGTTGCATATAACAGTAAGAGGAAATATAAACTAGTGTATAGAAAACACAGAAATACAAATTTTAATCTCACTTTAATTACCTGTATTTGCCCCCATACTTCTTTCCTCTCACTGCCAATAATGTTACTAGACAATTGAATAAAGTTCTCATGATCACTTTGTGTCATTTTTTTTGTTTGCATTCTCTTTAAAATGAACACAATGTTCCTGATGTCTTGTTTGACTAGTCCCCCTTCTTTCGTAACAACTTTTGTCTGTCGTATGATTTCTGAAACATCTTTAGATGAAAGGTTTTCGTCGTGCACCTGTATGGATATATTTTGCTTAGCCATGCCAATGTTTAAGCTTAAAAACAGAGGTTTTAAAAACCTACCTTATCTACCAAGCGATCCACTACTTTTGATAAACATTTTGACTCATCAACACCACGGCAGGTCTGAGTGCTACCAACCTTTGAGCAGCATTCTTAAGATAAGGCATGAAACAAAATAATGTTAATTTAGTTTATAAGCTATTTTGCATTTTTTCTTGCATATAATGAAAATATCAAACGGTAAATCCTACATAATGAATATGTTTATGTCAACGAATTTAAGAAGATTTAACTCCGCAGAAGTTATTTCTCAATCTAAAATCACAAACACTAGTTGTTCATTTGCCGTCGTTTTTCCAGTTTTTTTAACAGGTGTTAATCAAGCATTTGATAACAAAGAACATTGTCTACAACACCAGAAAAAGAAGCCAGAAGGAGCTCCGTGGACCGGAATTTCTTAATGCAATTCCTTCATCTTTTTTGATTAATTTATGAAGATTGACCCAAGCTCCCACTTATAAACGGTAAGCGAAACATTCATGTTTTTAAATAATGCCCACGACGGTTTCCAATTAAAAAATACTTATAAGAGTCACAATCACGCCTTGAATAGGGCAAAAATAAAACATTGCACTCCAACATTCATTGCTATGGTGTTTTTTTTTAATGTAGATTATTATTACAAGTGGGACTGTTCAATATGGCGGCGCATCTAATTATTTCTGTCTACATCCGTCTTCAAATTTTTGCGCTCACCAATTATTGGGAACTCGCGATCCATGTAATATAAATATCAATGAGCCAGAACCACCATATTGGAAGGTCCTACTTGATACGAAAAAGTGATCATAATATTAATCATAATAACAATTCTATGAAATCTACTATGTTTATACATGGCTTAAATTCCAAAAATTGCAGAAATACGTCGTTATTAAAGCTATGTCGTATATTAAAGTTGGATTTCACCCCTCGAGTGGGACCTACTAATCGGGTGATAACAATGTAAGCACCCCATTATTTTGGCTTCAACTTTTGATTGGGCACTACTATACTGCAATGCACTATCTAGTTTATTATACATATCTATGTTGAAAACAAAGAATACTGAGCATTTTCATTCCATGAAACGTCATGAAAAGGAAGAACGTATAATAACTAATCTCAACAGTTGCAAAAAAAGCAATCTTTGCATTTCAACGTCTTTCTCAACAGAAATATCTGAGTTAATCATACTTTCAATGAAATATTTTTAACCACGTATAGAGCTGATGCGAAATAGGTTTTCTGTTTTTGTCTATTTATGCATGTGTGAAAACTCTAAATCGTTTGAAAAGATTTGTTTTAATTAAATTTTTTGTTGCCTAGGTATGTATATTAAGAGTGTCTTTTGCTTCTTACCTCCACCACACACTTCAATTCGTAAACACGGTTTACCAACAAACTTCACTGGAATGATTCGCAAACTTTTGCCTTTAATACCTCCAGAGAATTTCTGTATAGCTGCATCACTGTAACCATCCTTGTTCCCTTTCAAATTCTCAATTATTATAAAGGAAATAATTCATGTGTTGACCAAGATCATGAAAATGTAGTAATGCAGACTCATAAGAGAGACGTGTATTAGAAACCTCAGAGCATGCAGTTAGCACAGTCGGCTGTATAATCGTTTTTAGAAACTTCCTTGTCCAATGAAAATCTGCAATTTCCATGTCCATTGAATTCTAGGTAATTTGACAAAAGTTTTATTTTGTGCAATAAATACATCAACTTTATTGAAAATTCCCCGATGAAACCAAGGCTTCGTTTAACAAAACATTTGCTTAACCGAAGACATTTGCATTTTGGAGTAAAAAGTACCTAGCAACAGCTTTTTTAAACTCCTGGATATACCAAGCTTTATCAGTCATATTTTTCAAGCAAAGGTGAAGATTTTTGTAAAAACTAATGAAACTAAAACTTTCTTTAAGCTGTTTTTTTAAAAGCGGTGAACAAAGTATAGGAAATTTCTTTTCTACTTTAAGAGAAAGTCCTGTTCGCATAATTCAGGGTCTTTACTCAGATCTGATGCAAATTGTACAGTAAAGTTGAAATTTACCACCAATTTTCCTATAACTTCGTAGTAGCACAATTGTCATAAAACATTTAAATACACGAAAAAATTTTTTGTTAAGGCAAACATGTTTCGGCATACTTTATACTATCTTCAGTGCGAAGAGAATAGGAAGTTTACAAAGACACATAATAATATGTATAGTGCTATGTGATAAATTGATCACCACTAATTACACCAAAATTCTATTATGTGCGCATCTTCATTGATAATACAAAAGCAATCAAACATTTTTAGTGTTACCTTTCTCAACTTCCCGCTTACGCTGTCAATGCTTGTATTCAAATGATATTCGGTTACATGGTTCGAAGTTGAACTGTCTCCAAAGATTGCGATAGCGTTAACTGTATAAAGACTCGGAAAATTCAGTTGAAGATAATGATTGCCATCTGCAGCAGGAGCGCACCATGAACTTCCACTTGATATTCTTGCAGCTTTTGCACTATGGTTCTGGGTTGAGGCTGAGGCAGTAAACGAGGAGTCTGGGAAGTTTTTTGTGTTTTTTAATACAGGGTCATCACATACACGACCTTAAGTAGAAGAGATTTTAATAGAAACACACTGAACAGTTGGAATGATAAGATGTATAGGTAATAATATAGCTTCGTTGCAATTACGGATATTTATGTTTATACAAGTGAGTAACGAAAAATTACTATAATAGAAAGAAGTATACAAAAATTATTTTATGAACCATAACATTAGCTCACTGAAAGATTCTACTAAATAACTTAAGACAATGCTGGGGATTATACAACCCAATACATAATGGTAATATGTACGTAATAGTTGAAATGCCATAATTTTCACAAAATGCCTCTTCATCCATAGCTACTGAAAATGTTTTAATGGTTTTTGAGTTGGAAGGCTTGATCCAAACATGCAAAAATGCTATGGAAATTTGACATGTACGAAGCAAAAGCTGACGATGGGGGTGATCCATGTTTATTTTACTAAATTTTCCAAAAGTTTATGATCTTGCTACATGTGGAAGTGTAAGCTATAAAGTGATCGTTTCATGAACCAGTCACTACACTAATACTACAATGTATAGTAATACACTGATACTATTCGTCACTACACTGACACTAATAGGTATTCTTTTCCCTGGAAAAATATGCATAATTATATATAAAACTTACATTTGAAATATGAATACATGGAACAACCATTATTTGGCGTAATGGTACATTGAGTTAAAGTCGCTGCATTAGCTTCACAGCTAACATTTCCAGCTTTAAATACTGAACTATTAATAGCCGGCTTCCATCTTTCTTTTTGGTCAGCTTTGGGGTAGCCAAGCCAACGGCAAACATTATCTTTCAGGCTATTCAAAGAACCATCTTCACAAACGGAAAAATTTTCATGCTGGGTAAAAAGTTGCACAACGCCTTCGTTTGGCAATGTACACTGGGATAACTGTGCATCTGTGACTAAAAAAAAGGTACAACAAATTTAATTGATAGACATGCATTGCTTACGCATTATTTTCAAATATTCAGGTATTGTTATAGCTTGATTCATCTCTTATTTGCAGATGAAGGGCGGCTGAATTGTTGCATTGATAGTGATTATAGAAATATTAAGGTATAAATAAGTCGACATCAAGTGAAAATCAATCAATAGCACGTGTTCATGTACACATTACTTACCCCAATTCTCTTTGAATAACGACATTGTGTCGTTACATTGATATTCAAAGTAAAGATACTTGTCCAAACCAGGACAAGTATTGGAAGGAAAGATATTTTCATCGACTGTTATATTACACTCGTGCAAGCCATCACAATGTCTTTTTAGATAACGTCTAACATTAGTATTACAACTGTAATTATAACTCGAACCACAAATGCTTCCTTCGCTCAATCCACGATATTCAGCAGTCTTTACTATCATATATTGATTTTTATTACAGTTGGCGTTCGTTATCTTTTGTCCGGCACATGTCACAGACCCTATTGGAAACATACAAAATGTGATACATGTGCTCAAATGTATTGGATTTTATGTTTCAAGAACTGATCAAAGTAGCAATCAAGAGATATTAAAGGAAACTCTTTCATGTCATTAACGTATAAAATTTATTCTTATGGTATAAAAATAGCCGATTTGCCATGTTACTGTACCAAAATGAAATCGTTTGTTTTCTTCATCTTTACAAACTGCCAATCGTAGGTATGGATCAATACCAAGAGTATCTTTCAGCCCTTGAGATGTACCAGGTAATACACACGAACTACTTTTTACTGGACGGTAAGACCGTGTTCTTAGACCTCCCCAAGAGGTTTGGGCGACAGCCTCGTTGTCAGCACAAGCACCATCACTAATAATACTTGTATCAGTGACGATACCTAACATATGAAGATCATAACCTGTTGCATTTTCCGCTTCTTCAAGACAACCTGGCACATTCAATTTCAATACGGCGCCATTCTTTAGAAATTTGAACTGAGATGCCTGATCAAGGCAGTTGTCTGAAAGTTCCAAATAACGAAGATCAAGCGTTTCACTAATTGGTTGTGTTAAATTAGCATCGTATATACACATTCCAGACTTTATATGTTTCAGGAAAAAAGTGGTTCCTACGATCAAAGAAAAATAGAGATTGAGCGTTACACACAGAACTCTTACATATACTCAACAATATAAATTGTATTGATAACACATATTTTCAAATACAAACTATATATATAATTTTTGCATATATTTGCGAATATGAACTGACAAGTCATAACTGGAGGAAATTTCATCAAATTATAAAGTATTGCGATTATCAACAAACAAAACTGCAATGTAGATTCACAAGACACACTATCTACATATAATAATGTTATCATGACTAACTAATTCAATTGCGAAAGCAAAAAAACTTATCGAACTATTACTGACAATCCTACCTTGTTGCACGACACTGGCGATGATAAAACCATGTAATATAAACCTAAACTCAATATATTTCATAATCATTTATGTGTAACGATTTGTATTCGATGAAATAGTACGTATCTGAATTATCACACTGAGTCTTGCATTAATAGGGGTAGAAGTAAAAATAAACGTTTTTAAAGCCATTACCGGAACAGTTAGGACAATAGTCTTTGACATCCATCTGTTCAAAAACGGATGTCCTGAGAGGCAAATTTGACCAAATACTATGACGTCTATAGCCAAATTGCACCCCGCACATATAGAGTCAACATATTGCTAATCAAAGTCACAGTGATTGTTTATTAGATAATTTTATTTCGAGATAAAAAATAAATAGCCGTGTTTATTGTAGAACAAAAAAACAGCATACAGTCACCTCTTTTCCCATCATTAACGAGTTCATCAACATACATCAAGGTGTGATTGCATTACTTCCATCCTAAGCAGAGAGGGTTTAACGCGAAGGTCGATAAAATACAACTATATTTAAGACAAAAATTGCTGAAAAACGAGCACATTCTCAAAGCAAATAATAAGTCATTTCTCTTACACTTAAATGATTCGCAGTACCCAATATAGGTAGAAAATTTCCATAAGGTTGTTTTCGTATCTATAAAGATATTAATGTAGATGTACTTTTCCGTATTGATTATAATGGTGAAGTCAATGAAAAGAATTTGCCTAGTTGCAATTTCTGAAAAAATTCTTGATTGTGACACACGTTCTATAATACGTCCTGTGTAGTGCTACGTGCTTCGTTTGGTTGCCCAGCAACATCACACGACTAAAATATATACGACGCTTGTAGGCGCTCTCAGAAATCTGCCTGACAAAGTGCAGAAATCGGTCATTACAGGGAAGGCAATGTCAATTAGACTGTACTAAGTGAGAGTTAGAGCCTAGAGGATGGTGATTTGTGTTCCTTACGGGCGTATGTGTTAAGAGTTAGGAGTTATGCAGTCAATATGAATTGTTCACGATATGAAGTGTTACTTAAAGGGCGTGGGCTCTTCCGTGTTGAATATAATCATTAGGAAGCTGAAAGAACTAGGCAAGTTTGATTTTTATAAAGAAATCCTTTGTTGTCGATACACACTACGTAACGCATCTTATACTATACGTGCTTCGCCTTGTTGTCCGACAACATTTTGCGACTAAAACTTTTTCAACGTTTGCTGGCGATCTTAGAAATCAGCATAACAATTGACAGTATTTTCTGATCAATTGGGCAAAAAATCATGGTCATTAAGATACTGTACACATGCATACGGAAGAGAAAGTGAAAATATTAATTTTTTGATCCGTTGGTATGTAGTGTATGCACAAGATTTGTCCATTTCTCAGTCGATATATGCTCATAAGCTTTACATCACGGACATAAATAGAACGTTAATTGAGGGAAGAAGGGGTGGGGAAGAGGTGTATATTCATGTTACATGTACTCAGTTTTGCCCGACCAAGTTCTTTTGGAAGTAAATTGGCCTCTTGCAGGTGTGTCCAGATATTTAAATTAATATGATTAGTTGTTTTTTATCAGATCATAGAAAATTATGAAGTACAAAGCAATAGGCAAAGCTAGCCACAATGCATTCTCTTGCTTTAAAAAGGAATTACTCGTAGCCCCTTTGAATCGTGTATACAACTGACATCTGTTTTATGAAAGTAAGACGTGACGACAATGACGTTTCTCAAGATGTGACGTTACGATATCGATCCGGATGGGTTACTTTTTGTGATGCACGTTGGCTAGCCGTTCTTCGTCCAACCTCGTCAGCATAGCGCTAGGTAGAAGAATGAATATTTATATTAGGAGGAAGAGTGAATATTTATATGTATATTCAGTTATGCGCTACATATTTCTTTTGAAAGACAGTTCACTTTCAACAGAACTTAGTCGGGCGCAACTGAATATATCAATTTTGACTCTCCCCCCACACAACGCTCTAGAGACGGACATCGTTGTTTTAACGGAATCTTGCCTAAGTCTCCGGACAAAAATATTGGCAATCCACCTGCTTAAAACTATAACTATGACATTCAATATCCACGTTAGGTATAAATCACGATTTATGGTGTGAACGCCGTTTGTAGAGCCATTTATTCGATCAAATATAGAATGAATATCACCTACTCGCGAGAAACACCTAATCTCACATTTTTTATTGTACAGGACCTTCCTGCCAATGATAAACAGCAAATAATCCGCAATGTCATTTCATCTTACAGCATGCGTTTCCAAATAATCCGAAAGCCAAAATCAGATGCATAAAAACTAATCAAAATTAATAGGTTTGTTCTTAGCAACTACACCATTGTGCACGGTGATTTAAAGGACACGAGAGACTGAGAGTGGTCAGACGATCAACATGCAATAAAGCTTTAGCGGTGCGCTATTAAAAGACCAAAGATCTAACATAAATAAAAAAACCCTTATTAGCTAAAACGGCAAAAGATATTTTCTAAAGGTCACAATGACGTACATTGTCATGCAAAAGCTAAAATTAATATTTCGAAAAGAAAGCTTTAAATTTATGGCTAATGAAATGCATTATACAAACCAACAGGACACATCAAACTATTTATCGGATGTTATATGAATTAGGTAGTACGGTACAATTCCGCAGTCAAAACCATCACCAGAACAGACGACAGAACAAAATTAATTGCTATTTATCGTTCAAACTCATGCGCCGTTTTCAGAGATGCGAAATACAAAACAACATCACGTCTGAAACAGAACTACCATATATGCGGTTGATGTCCCGAGACGGATACCAATGGAGCCAATGAGCGTTACGCTATTAAACTTGTTGAAGGCATGGATTGCCGGTACTTTTTCTCAAGCGTTATTTAAAGTAAGCATTCAATATAGTTTGCTGTTGAATATTAAACTTTTAATGTAGTTAAACATTCAATATAGTTTGTTGTTGAACTGTAAAATTTTACCTTCCGCAACAAGATTTGATTTAAAGCTTTTTGAATTTTCAAAGTAAATTGACACGCCATCTCGTTCAAGACATTGCATTTCACTCAGTGTTTCGGGAGATATACCCTAAGGACAGAACTAAAACACAAAAGATAAGAAATAGCAAAGCTATAAGCAAATGGGGCTTGGCCCCATGAACGGACACTTTTTTTTTAACAATTTTAAGAGGCAACGTATTTAGTGTAATTTTTCCACTTTTTAGTCTGTTTTCATGACTTCTTATAATCTACTGCAGAATCAAAGGCATTAATCCTGGGGGACAAGAGGAAATGACCCCCCCTTTACGAAAATCAATGTTTTTACATGAGTCGTAAAAATCCTTTTTCAGAAAACAAAAAAATTGAAAATCAGGACCAGCACAAAACATGCAAATTTAGATAGAAAACGTCAACAATAAGCAAGCAATTTTACACAGAACGCATGCATGGATGAAAGAAACAAAACTAACAGAAGCCCATATATAACAAATACCAAAATTACATGCATGTAAGAGATGTGCATGCACAAAAAGAATAATCATGCCTTAAATTAGAAATCATGGAAAATATGTTCGACCCCAATCAATTTGATTTTTTTCAAAACCCTCCCTTATTGAAGCATTTATTATAGCTGCCTTTCACTTATGAGTGTTTTCAAAGATTTTTTTTGCTGAAAAGCAGATCTTGCCGAAATTTTTATGGAATGGATTTTTAAGTGGCAGTTTGAACAGTCCACATAATAAGTCAAAAAATCTCGCGTTGTGCATTTTTTTAGTAATGAACTTTTCTTCTCTCAAGCTTTTGTTTGAACTTCTCTTTCGTTTCTTTCAAGTAGGAAACTTGGAATACCGTTTTTGCCCTGTCAAATTTGATGAAAAATTAATGTGATTATATCATCGTACTGAACGAAGATCAACAAAATCAATACATTTAAAATAACGAATAATTAGAAATGCATTACCTGATTTTCCTCACCTAGGAGACTCGGGTGACTTCGTGCCTCTTTTTTGTTGTTTGAAAAAAGCTGTTTTTAGCTTGTTTATTGTGCAAATAGCGCTCTTTCGAGGAAGAGTAGCAACGTAAAATTGTTGAAATTGCAGTGTTCGAAACATTTTTTCAATAAATAGATTTTCTGATATAAGTGAAAGCCAGCTATTCACTCGCAAGCAAGGGACCTTCTTTTTCAGGATTCAAAAGAAAATCCTCACAAAAGAAAATTGCCACTTATTTCCTACACTTAAGGTCTAAGAAAGTTTTCTAAAAGCTCACTCTCACTAACTCTCACTGAGTGTGACAAGAAAATCTTGATCTCACTAGTCAATGGTAATCTCATTTCCCCATCAATAGAAAAATTTTAGCTAAAGTATTTCAAATCAAGCAATGGGTGGAGTAAAAATTACCTTTTTTAGAGTTATCATGTCATTTAGAAGCTCCACTCTGTCTGTGTTAGTTTGTGTGAGCTTTTAGAATTCAGGCGTAAATTGTCAACCATCAGGATCTTCTCTACCTTACACACATATATGATCTGTATTTCCTTAAGATCATTCAAAACGCGAGACTTACTTACGCACCATAAAAACCCTGGTTCTTTTGATTCCTGCATTCCTTCGTCGTCAGTAGGATAACGTTTCTTTTCACAGTCCAATATTCCTTTGCAAAACCTTGCGTCTTTACAAATCTTTTGACTAGGTTGTTTTTGCTCAAAGCCTACATCAAGTTACCACAATAGCATCACCATTAACGTAAGCAATCGCCTATGGACATGTTAAGCCATATTAAATTTCATATCAAACTGGAGAGATAATAACGAAGGAAATCTTCACTGGTTAGCATATGCTTATTTTGCTCATACAGAAAATTTTGGACGAAGAGGACAGCAATTGTAGTTTATGAATTCAAAATAGTAGTTTGAGAGCACTGCAACATGTGAAACAATCATATGCGACAGTATTTTGTTGTGTTTTTCATTTGTTTCTCATGCAAGCTGGAATCAAAAGAAAATTCTTGCTTTAGATGAAAATATTCCATTGTGTCATCACTTGACACAATGTTAATCCTGAGCAAAACTATTTAACAGTGTACATTCGTATTTTCAAGCATATAAATTTATACTTAAAATAATTTCGTTGCATCAATGTAATGAAAAAAGATCTAAATTATTAATAACATGATTGTAAAATAAGCAGGGGAAAATTGTTGAAATTTTGAAATGAGCTGTTTGCCTTTTTCATATTTTTAAAATACAACTAAAACAAATCTCTGTACGTACGCCTAAATAACTATTCTATGAAATAAAAAGAGCAGGTCTTCAACAGATATTCTCAAAAATGAACAATGAACTAACCTCTGAGTAGATAAAGAATATTAGCAAAGTTCAGAGCTTATTCTCAAAAACGATCTTCACGATTTTAACCAACGGGTGAAACTCACTCAAGAAATCTGTTCGTAGCGCTTGATTCTAATGACGAGACAGCAGTTTCCGTTTACTTGTTTGTAGAAATGAGAACCACTTCAATACCCCAGTTAAATCATCACTCAACGAATGTCTAGTATGGAGTTTATCTTCTATGAATGTCTGCTGACCACCTAAAGGTGGGCGCATATAACAATGGGGCCCATCATCATTATATGCACAAACATCCACGACGAATCCAAACTACATATTAACATTCTTGGTCATGAATCACCATGACACATGAGTGGTAAGAAACTGAGAGTGATTGAAATGATGTATAGCACAGGAGACCAAGGGACTTTCATCAGTAATATACAATCTATAAAAAAACGAGAAAACATTTTAATATGTTGCTTGTGTAAAACGATGATCTATTAGAAGATGGTATGAGTAGATTGTTCAGATTAGTGCAGTCCAGAGAAGGACTTTGGTGTTGGCGTAGACTGAATTTTCCACTTTCTTAGCATTGAGGAATCTAGAGTACGTCGAAATAAACTACTGCAGCACATTTTAGCATATATTTATATTTCTAAACTCCTCAGAGACAAGTCCAATGGTAAAATTACCCTCTTTATAAATTCAAAACTAACAGTGTTTTTCTGAAAGCACTTTTTTAATTTGAAATCGAACAGCTAATCCTATAACTTTTTTTGATCAGCGCCGGATCCGCTACTGTTTCATATTGGTATTTATCTCCAGATTCAAGGTTATCGAAAGCAAATGCGCCTGTGTTCTGGGATCAAGCCATTCACTTTATTCAGATAATCAGTTTCAAATGTACAATCATTTTGGCGTGAATTGTCAACTTTTATTGCGCAATTTCTTCACTGGTCATGGCTTGGGAATCAAACAAATTGCAGTGGAATAGTTGATGATTACAATAAGTTCACTGCACGTGTACCAAATTTGACGAATTTGAATTCAGTTAACGTACATATATCGTCTCACAAGCTTTATGCATAACCTTATCTTTTACTCAAAGTAAAATTTCAAAGTGCATGCAATGTATTCTAGTTAAATGCCTACATTCTATTCACATAATCCTTCTGCGTAATTTCCAACAATGTACGAGGTGGAACGTCACAACCGACACATTTCCAACCAGTTTTGTATCAAGTTGTCATCGGTTGTGGTTTTTGTCAGAATTTCTTTAGAAGGTTTTCAATGTCCGTTCTTGGTGGCTCTTCGGTGCAATAGATAATCCAACAAGAATGGCTTTCATCACTTACTTCTCGAAGAGATAACATGAATTTGTACAGGATTAACAGAATAACTCTACTGCTCAACTCACAAACGATTTATGTTGAACACAAAGCTATCATATCACCAAATACACTGGAACTTTTTGACGCATCTCATACTCAATACTTTTGTAACATTTCTCACCTGAAATGCATTCTACAACACTTACAAGTGATAAAATAACGTGGAACGAGCGATACAAGAATTTAAATACGTTGAAATTTCTTCATTTGACGTCATGACTAATCTATTCTGATTGGCCCATAACAAGGAGTTTATCTCTCAAGGAGCAATGAATAGCTCTTTAATGCTTTCAAACAAAGAAAGATGTTTGTAATAAATCCCTCGTTTTAAATCTGCTCAATGAACGAATGCAATTTGAAAATTGCTGATTATTTTTTGGATATAAGACGAAGCATGGTTTGCCTTCAACCATTCCCCAAAGAGTTAAAAGATGGGAGACAAAAAACAGAGCGATCTTTTCCATGTTGTTTAAAGTTTGAGTTGCAAGCAAGAAAAATACTTTACTGAATTCGAAAACGTAAACAAGTAACCAATGGTTTAGACAGTCAATGTCTACTTTCGTCGACAGTTCACTCTATTCTTCAGGACTCGTAGTAAAAGCGTAGCTCCAAGCAAATTATTGAAAAACGACAGCAACAAATAGTGTTTGGCTGTCGTACTTTTGAATGATATGACAAGATGCTCAATTCAAGTGTATCAAGAATTTTTCCTCCTGCAATCAGCCGACACTAAAATTTGAATGATTCAGATTAATTGAGCCAAGAAGCCGTAAACACTATAGAATACAATAAAGCCTCGTTCAAACAATTGAACTAAGGACAAGAACAAGCGTATACAAAAAATAAAACAAAGATAATCAACAAAGCATGTGGCATAATCGACATAAGCGCAAGCATAGGGAAAAATTTCAAGCTAAGAGAAGAACAAAAAGAAGCTTTAAAGAAAATCCCAAAGTCTTTGCCTTTATACACCTCTAGAGCAATAGGAAAAAAGTCTCGACCTTCATGTTTATTTTACTCGTGTGAACCAGGATTAATACATACGTATATATTTCAGCACATTTTAAATCCCTGACAAGAAACTCTGCCAAAAAAACACCTTCTTGGGAAAATTACAGTTTAGTCATGCATATTCTTAATGCTGGATGATTTTGAAGATGACCTTTTTTCTTGAAACAAGCAGTTTGGTCATTTCAGTTTGTTTTGAAAATTACAGTTCAACATTAATAACATATGTTTCTAATCGTGACATGCTTAAACATACCAAAGAGGCAGGTACTATATTAATTTTACGTGCCTGACAAATAAACAATATACTGAAGTTGAAGAAAGGGTAAGATTGGCGTTTTAAATAACGATAACTGAAAAGTATTCAATGATGTAATTCATCTATGATTAGAATTAAATTTAAATGGAATCAAACCAGCTTGTACTCTTTCTTTCACGCATTATTATTATAGGAACAAATGATTATTTTCTAAAGGCTATAGTTAGAATATTTCATTGAGATGGGACTGCAAATATTGAAAAAAAATATTCATGTTGGTCGTAAAAAAGTTCAAAATAATCACATAAATTCAGTGTAAAGAAGTCGTTGTCGTTAAGACGATATCATACCGCTGTTTTTAAAATACATACAATTATTTCTTTTTCGTGGATCTTCCACCGCATACAATAAAGCCTCGTCGTATACGTTGTAGTTAAAAACTTATAAAATACTTAAAATTAAATCATATTTTCTACAATCACTAGTTAATACATATTTGTACGAATGATTTTCGCTCTAGGTTAACAAAGCAACATTGAGGAAATCTAATTGAGTCATCTATTACATACCACTATAGATATTACATACCGACATTTAACTACGAGTATAAAATAAAGTTTAACGTTCTCAAATCGTTGCTAATTCTGTGAAATTTGAATACTCGTCAAAGGACTCCAACACGCATGACACTGCACTGTGCAAAGATGAGGCAAAATGAGCGCAAGTTGTTTCTTTTGATCCCATCTCTCCCCATCCTGTTCAACCGATTTTGTTTGAAGTCCACACTAAACACCACCATGCTTACATCAAGTATAAAAACTGTTCCCGCTCTTATGAAAACGTCGCAAACCTTGTTATCATCAGTTAGCTGATCCAGCAAAACGATGGTCGTACATTTATATTGAGTGACCATCCTCCAAAAGTCGTTGATGGTTCCCTTCAAAGGCATCTGCGTTGCAATGAAGTAATTCTTGCCAAGATAACCCTAAAAAATCATTGACAAAGTCTTTAGGCATTTTTTTGCAATCACCAGGAAACGAAGACCTTTTTGTATAACGGTAGTCATTTTCAGATATTGTGTTCAATACCCGAAATGCTTATATTACATAAGAAATTAATAATCACGTGCAAATTATATTATTCAGAAAATGTCTAAACTTACATCAACAAGACATGCGTTTATGTAATCGGAAGTTTCTAAGTGCTCAACACGCCGAAGAATAGGACGATTAGTTTCCTATTCGTGTTCCTGCCACAAAACATTACCTATTCCCCCCATTAACAAAGGCGGGTACTTCACTTTGCATAAATGTCAGTGGCTAACTAGATATCTATCTCAATTTGTATAAATAACGTACTTGGATATATTTTAGGATAACGATTTTTCTTCTTGTTCTCATCCGAAAGTGCTGCTTCACAAAGTTCTTCAGGATGTTCTGGTGTGATTGATTGTAAACGCTGTCAAGAAAAATTTAATTCCTTCAAACTTTTGTCTTCATTTAGAGAAGTCTAACGTTGAATCTTGAGTCTTTAGTTAGTTTAGTCTAGTGTCTTCATCAGGAGTGATGTAATGTTGAATCTTGTTAATATACTTCTTGCCTTTTTTTATTAATGACCTGACGACGACCTGAGTACGAGTTCATCTGTACTCCTATGTAACTTTTTTTTATCGGGAACGATTTTAAGTTGAAACTTAAGTCTTCACATACATTAGATGGGCATCAGCATAAGAAATGATCATCACAAAAAAATAGTACAAACCTCAAATTTTTCTTCAAATCCAGTTTTTCCGTTCCTACTTTTCTTAGAGAGCTGTGCAATCTCGATCTTGATTTGAACAGCATCAACTTCATTCGCTCCATATTGGATGTGATCGATAATGGCGTCATGAATGAACATGTATTGATCCTTGGTTGATAAGAAAATAATAAATGTATAAGATTTCTCGCAAACCTGGAATCCTTGTTTTGGAAAAAAGTTTGATCTGATGTGCTTTCAAATATGCTTTTAAGATTTGAGTCAGTTTACCCACAAATCAATTAAACTAAATATACTCGATCAATGCTGTTTGTCCAGATGTTCTTAAGTGACCTACCGCTGTCTAAACCATGTTTATGCGCCGCGATCTCATTTCTTCCACAAAACCAAATACATCAATGTTTGTTTCATATTCATCATCAAGATCATCAAGGATCTTATCTAAGGCAATAAATACTCCAGTACGACCAACACCAGCACTGAATAGAGAAGCAAGATCAGTTTAATGTTTGTTTAGCTACCTTCTTAGAATATGTTAACAAACAATTCCATTTATTGTAAATCATGCGTAAAACTAAGATAATATTTGCAAAACATTTTGTTGGGAGATGCCCCGATCGGAAGCATGTGATTTTGTTTAACAGTTTACTAATTCTTTAATAATGACAATGGATAAAGTCACGAAAAGTTTGGAAAGAAGGTCCTTTTACCATGAAAAAATTGCATATAAAAAAATGTTCTTAAAAAATGAATCTATCATAAAAATATTGATGAGTATTTCAGGTATATTTCTAAACAATGTAACGACGCAGTTGCGATAGAACAACTAACCTACAGTGAACGACGACAGGACCGGATTTCGTCTTGTGCGATAGCTTGAAATGGTTCCTGAATGTCAAGAGTTGTGTTGGATAACGAGGTACTCCATAGTCTGGCCATGATTTGTAGTGAAACTGCTCGACTTCATGATGTTCGCCGTTCTATAAAAGTAAATGATACTGCTCATCCTTTTCCGAGGTAAAATTGAAAATAAAAAGGAGGCTGAAGAAAATGTATACTTTAGCTATATTTGTTATTGTCCCACAAAAAATGATAACATGAGATGAACAATTGATGAACACTTTTCACGAAGCCTTTGATTCCTCGCTTACGTCTCAAAGCGTCACTGACGTTTTTCATTCTATACATAAATCTTCAACCTTTCATTGAAGTTTGACATCCTCTTATGGAAGTGTTATATATATTGATAACTATCCCTCCCATCTCTTCCCCATTATGTGCAGTTCTGAGATAGTTCTGTTCATGTTGGCATTTCGGCATCATTTGCTTAGTGGTGGTGATTATCAGTCAGGTGAGAAGTTAAATCCGGTATGTCGTATTTGTCGTGTCTGGAATTGTTGGTGTTGGTATTTAAATACGGCAGACTTCACTCGGATAATGGCAACCTCTAAACATGTCTAACATTTTAGTCAACACCAACAACAGCTACAGTTGTGATAAGAGCTAGACTAGCCTCGAAGATGTACAAATACATGGAATAGCCTGTTTCGTTCGTAAAATGAACGCAGACATAAATGAACATAAAAAAAAACTATATGATTATGTGACAATTCTGGGTCAGGTTTAAAAACAACAAAAACCCAATTTGTTTAACAAAAGAATTGGCTCAGGTCTGCCTTATATCTTATTCAAGGAAAATAAACATACAAGCAGCAACAGAAAGAAAGACTGGAAACAAAAAGTTACCTTTTCAACAACCATAATGCGAGTGACATAATCAGCGAATGTTTTGTCTCAGTGATGGTCACTGTAATTTCACCGTATACATTAGATTCATCTGGCCAATATTTTCGCATTTCACCTTTAAGAAGAAAGCACAAAAGATAAAAGATCTTCGATGTAAAACCATCCAAAATAACATTTTCATACTTTTCCCATTTCTTTCAAAGTCGTCAACATTACAATTGTTGGACACTTTTGCTCAAAAATCATCCTCCAGAAATCGTTTACAGTTTTAGGTTTGGGACCTACAAAAAGAAAAAGAAAAAGTGTTTCCCGCAAGTTTCAATTAACAAAAGTAAGTCAAACATCGGGAGTTGCATCACGCGCCATCAATCCAATCACGTTGAAAATTCGTTGACGGCATCATATTGATGAAATTTTGAACTAATAAAATACCTTGGGTCGCAATGTAGTACTTCTCACATTTCCCTACAAAGTTAATAAAGGATTTATAAAGTAAATGGTTTGAACCCAGGAGTATCGTAACATGTTTGTGGATGCAGATCTTCCAGGTTGGTATAGTCCTGAGAAGGACTGTTATCGTTGATGTTGACTGACGTTTTGACAACCTTGGAGGTAGTCATCTTCAGAGTCAACGAATCAACATCAACAACACAAGTCGTTCTCAGGACTCTACTAAACTGGACACTCTACATCCAAAAACATGTTCAAGGATGTATAAATTGAAAAAAAGAGCGAATCTTTAACGTAAACTGTCGACGATGTTGCGAGCAAAAAACTGTTTTCAATGAAACTTACGTCGACAAAAGAGGCGTTGATATAGTCAGATTTTTCATCACCAGAGAGTATCACACGAGAATGGTCGTCTAGAAGAGACAAAATAACGTTTCGAACACACAATTTTCGTTTTTGACATTTTCCTTTCTTTTACATAACAATTACATTCCCACGTATCACTTTCTCATTGATAACATTATGTTCAGTGGTTTGCAACGTAAATTGGGATTTTGTTTCCCCATCAGGTTTTGTTAGTGTTAAAATTTTTCCACGGAAAAATCTCTATCATGCCACTGCATTTAGTGATTATAAGGAGGGGTGAGCCAGCACGATTATTTAGTCCGGCTTTGTAAATTTTTTTACGTTCATCTTTAATTCGAAAGCAATAAAATTCTAAAGAAATAAATATAATGATGATGATCTGAAATTTACATAGCCGGGCTAGCTGTCTTTCCTACTTTTGAAAGGTATCTAGGCCAAACATTTTTGCATGTGACGGTGTTTTAAAAGCATTATTGTGGGTATTGTAAGGTATCTGTGTCAATAATCTGACACATGACAGTGTTCCCATAACAACTTTGTCAGTATTGCATGGTTTTGAGTCAATATAATCTTACACGTGACTGCGTTTCCATATCGATTTTTGGCAGAATTCATAGGACTTTTGGCAATAACCCAGTTGCATTTCTGACCATTTGGTAAGTCCTGCAAATTTTAATAGTAAGCAAATACAAAACTGAACAAGTGTGTTAAACTCATAGCTACTGAAACGTGAATCCTCATACATTTGGTTTGCGTAGTTTACCCAGTAATGATCTAATGTTCAAGCATAGGTATGAATACACAATCTAATCTCGTATATAATTGTTTTCGGTTGTGCATGAAACAGCCGTGCACGAGTTAAAAGAAAACCACCTAAGTTTACCTATCAGTGCGGCGGACGTATTCTTTTTTAAAATCTCCGCACTTTGCAAGCCAAGACTCAAACTTTCATTTCATGACAACAAATTTCATTTTTATCACCTCGTTCCAGCTTCCACCCTTCGTGAATTTTCTGCTTATTTTTAATGTTGGATTGAGCGGAAGATGCTAAACTACTCATAATAGCACATATACTATGAGAAATTTGACTGAATTTATAGTCCGCTAAGGATTTCAAATCTGTAGAAAAGAACACATAAAACACATTACCTCAAATTCGAGCCTCAATTCCTCCATGTTTTTTCTTCTCAGTTTTTTTACGTGCTCAGTAAAATTTGCGAGTGGAATTGGTAACCGATTACGGGTCTCGATAGCTGAAAAATAACAATGTGAAAAATATTGTCAGATAAAGGACATAGCTACACAATGGCTATGTACTAATATACAACAATTTACTATGTCAAGATAGCTTTATCATCAAGCTGTTTTGCTTTTCATGCATAACGTTACGGCAAGCGTATTGTCAATCATTTTCATAGTAGGAAATGTTGTAAATATAATTAACTATCTTGAAATCAGATTTATTACACAGAGCTACCTGGAACTCCAATTAAATTCAAATCAAACCACATTATTATTGACACCAACTACATACATGGAAAAAACTTATACTTTTTGTCGACTGACCGAGCGTTTCAATAAAACATGTCTCATATAATAAGCAATGTAATCAAGAAAAACTACCAACGTTATAGAAAAACGATATTTTCAAAATTACTTACTTTCTTTGTTTCCATACATTTCTTCTTCGGAAATTGACTTGTTTACATAAATATTTTCTTCATTTGGTCGTACAACAGGATCCGCATTGTCATTAACGATGAACGCGTCGTTTCTAACGGACAGCTCTTGTCCATTCCTATCCTCATGTTCTGATTGCAAATGCGATTTAGGCTCTTTAACAACAGCACGTCTTCTAGAAAAATATACCATCATTTGCAGAAGACAGTAGTAGTAGAGTACCCACGAGTTGATTGTTCGTCGTTTTTTGTACGCAAAGTTTGGCCTGCTTGTACTTCTTAGTACAAAATCTTCTTAAGCGTATCATGCTCCTTTTTATCTTACAAAACAGTGCTTGCCATTTTTTAAAACAGAAAATGCTTCATACGTTCTCTTTAATTACAACCAAAACAATATCCTCAGACATTGTCAAATAGTGTAAAAAACTAAGAGTTGTCATTTGTTTGTGCATATATTCAGCAGGTTTCTAAATCCTTAAAAGGAAGTTTGGTAAAATCTTGCAAACATATTTAATGCTCAATTGTATTTGATAATTTCTCTTGTTACTCTGAGAAAGATGGGACAATATATGATGCGCAATTGTGAAGAAGAGTCTGATATGTAAGATAAAAAAAGCATTTGCAGTGTTTCTAAGCTAGTTATATAAACACGTAAGATCAATTGCAAGAAGTGAAAAATTGCATGTGAAAGTGTCAAACATTCACCTCTCACACTAATGCTGTCAGTCGACTTTACTGTTCATTTTAAACTCCTCCTACCTTCTCCAAAGAATTATTAGGACCACAAAGACGATAGCGAAAACAACAGCAGCTGCAGAAGCTGCAGCAATTGCAGTTACGTTGTTATCATTGTTATCATCATCTTTACTATCGCCTAAGAGAAAAAACAGAGAAAAAGACACATGCCCTTCAATATTGCATGCACTATCACCACACGATTGAAAATAAGCAGTGTTCAGATTTTTCCATATCGAACTTCAAATTTGCACATCGTAGAAAGAATGCTTCTGAATCCAGCAAATTCATTTATATAAAACAGTTATTTTATTGGAAAAATTGAAAAAATTTCCACTGTCCATTTGGCAATTTTTCTCCGCGATTTCAATTAAAGTTATGCTTCGACTATTAATAAAGCCATACTCTTAAACTCACCTGAAAGCGGAAGTAGCTCTGAAGCAGTTCTTGCTGAAGGACTCCATTCAGTAGAATAATAATCACCCTGATAAGAAGTGCATTAAATTTTTATAAAAAACCCCAAAAGAAGTCAATAAAAAAAATTTAAGCAATTACCTGATCATTTATCACCACACGCTGGAAAATTCGATAAGTAATATTGGGTTTTAGAGGGGCGTTATAATCAACTCTTTCGGTAGAACGACGACCTCGTGTTCCCGAAATACTGGAATATGAGCCATCACCAAGTATAAACACGAAAATGCCACCACCACTTGGCTTAAGTACCGCAGCAACGTAAAGGTTTGGTGGTGAAGGAGTCGAATATGTTTCTAAGTCTTCAACATTTAATGTAAAAGGCGATGGAAGATTCTGTCTGTCACCTTGCATGGCAATCACGAATAAGTACCTGAAATAAAATAATATACATATTTTCCATGGGAAGCGTATTGCAAAAAAAACGCCAAAAAGATCAATGGTTCAAAACAACGATAGCCTTTGAGTTTAAAATTTGTTTTTTAATTTAAAAAAGATCATGAGCAAAGTTAGTCAACTGACTATCCTAACAGCAAAGGTTAATATGGCTAAGTAGTGAGGACAACCAGGAATTGCTATATATTGCACCCTCGATCCAGGTTGCAGAATAAATCCCTAGCAGCAGGTATTTTCGTTATTCGTCTTTTCTGAGAGTCAAGATTAACCATGCACAATTATAAGCCTTTAAGTTTAAATATTTATGAATCAAAGAGTTATAAAATCTGACTGCTTTTGTGTTATTTCCATTAAGTAAATAAATGTGCTGAACCTAGTGTTTATAGGCTCAAAATAAATGATCTAAGAACTTACGTACTATAACTTACTCATATTTAACCGTAGGAATTTCTAAAGAAAATGTCAAAGTTTTTTTCCGACGAGTTGAACGTCCCTGTCGGAGGCACTAAAAATACAAAACCTATTTTAAAGTGCACAACCTCCCTCCATTAATTAGTAACAGTTACACAAAGCCAGAGAAGATTTCTAAATGAAAACGTACGTCCATTTGTTATGGCCATTTGCTTTTCATTGTAATTTCCAAAACCAATTTTTGTACTTGCCAAAACCCACACATAGTACGTCGTCGCTGGTTTGAACTCATTTAAGATAAAGCTTTGGTATTCGGTAGTAAAGGTTTCTGAACATTTGAAGCTCTCACTAGGTGGTATACAAACAGTGTAATTGACAATTTCCCCGTTTCTCTTGCTTTTATCAGGTGGCTTCCACGTGACTGATAACGATGAACTGCTGATAACAGAGATTGTTATATTTAGAGGAGGCCCTTCAGGAACTAAATAAAAAGACAGTTAAAATTTCGCATCATGTTGTATTCAAGAAAAAACATTGAATCAAACATTTATTTTGACAACTGAAGTAAGTTCATTTCAGTTTTACGGTAAATACAGTACTGTGAACGTGTAAGGTCGTATCTGATATTTTGGTGCTCATCATGGTTTTCTCACCATTCCATGTTTTAAGAACAAATTTAAATTGTAAGTCAAAGATTGTCTATATGTGCAAATAGTTACACATACGTCCGACAGGTGAAATACATTGTTTTACTGCGTCGTTTTGTTTTGTAAATGAAAACATTCTGACAGAGAAAAACAAGTTTGAATGTAAGAGGGAAAAGAACCGAAACTCGAAAGAAGCACAGAAGGCGTTTTACTGGATACACCGTGTTATCGCAATGAAATAGAAGAAACGTCTGCGTGCTGCCATGGAAACTTCAAATAAAGTGAGGAAGGTAGATATGATAAAACTTATAAAAGACCGGAATAGCGATAATTATTCCCAGATCATGATTAGATATGTTGTTTTCAGGTAAAAATTTTCAACCTGATCCCTACAAGAAGAATATTTGTTATAGAGACACTGTTATCGAGAGTATTTTACTTCCTGTCGAGCATTTTTGAAGAAGAAGAAAGAAAATGTCAGAAAATAATCCTAGCCAATTAAGAGCTAACAGCCATCTTTGAAAATTGGAATGGCATTGATAGCCTTAAAAACATATGATGGTTAGAAGGAGGATTTGTCGTTTGGTAGCTCGCTGCTCGTGGTGGTAATAATAAATACAAAGACACGTTGGAGTAATTACCTATATCAATACGTGGCTTGCTTGCACGAAAATGTTCATACTTTTTATAACTTATGAATTATAAGAAATGGAATGGAGAAGTTTGCTTTGTCGAGTTAGTCATGGCCAGAATCCACAAATAAAAATCGGGGAAAATATTCCACGTTCACTTACACAATGAAATTTTAACGAGTAAAAACGTCTTTATATTTAAGATTTAAGTAGCATACGATTTCTTTCTCTTCTAGCTATGTTTCAAATGATGCACACACATTAAAACGAAGAACACAATAGGATGAAATAAAATCTTACCATCTTCTTTTGTCTTAAAAGAAACATTCGCTGCATCTCCAAAACCTTCAGAATTTCCAGCAGTTACAACTACTGTGTACATTGTGTTAGGAATAAGATTGCTCAACATGTAAGGCTTAGCAACGTTAGATGGCTCAGTTTTGTTTAAAATGACCTTCCTTTGCTTCTTCAATATGAACCTAAACTTTATCAAAGGATTTACAACATCTGTGCCGGGAGTCACTGCAATGTTTTGGGGATCCATCCACGATATTATAACGTATCTTGACGCACTGTAAGTGATGTTCAGACCTGTTGGGCTGCTCGGAAGCAATTCTACAACAAGAGAGAAAGATCTATTTTGATATATAGGATGTATAACAAAAGAAGATCTTTAAAATTAACCAATTGTAAAATTTCAGTGCCTAAGGACTATGCAAATCATACTGGTGCATACTTGTGCATGTTTTGCTGTTAGAATATACCCATGATATTGGCAATGTACGTGATAGCCATTGAAATTATTACAATTCGTTAATTTCAAAAGGTCTTCTTTTTTGATACACCCTTTTATATTTGCTTTTCAAGTGCTCTAATTAAATGTAAATAAAGCGTAAACAATGATTTTACTATATAACGTTCTGCTGTAATGAAAATTATCATTCTTAAGATTTTAACAATCCATTCCATTATTTATTTCAGTACTAATCTTAAAAGAAAGGTAGAATCTTAAGAGAGAGTTAACATGATCTAAACTAACGTTCTGGTTTCACCTGTGCTTTTGTGAACAATTATGTAACTTTCAATTTTTGAAATAAACACATATTCATAAACAAATAAACACATAAGCATTCACAAATATCTAAGAATTACATGGGAGGATGGAGGAGATTTAAAAAAAATTTCTAATTCGCCGGCACTTTGGTTTAATCAAAAGCAAAGAAATTGGGGAAAAATACTTTGCAAGAGTCCAAAACGGCTTAAAAGCTCTAAAACGTTACGGATGATAACTTGCAGATGAAAACTTTACAATATGGGAGAAAGTTCAAAATTAAAGGATAATTTTAGTCGTATTTGTTGGTGGATGATCAAAAGAATTTAGCTTACACTACTAGCTTTGCAGTATAATATAGTTCTCAATCAGTGGCGTCGCCAGGTTGTTTAGACTAGGAGGGATAATGTAAACGTCAAATGTGTGCGACTTCAATGGGGGCTCAGAGGCATGCTCCCTTAAAAAATGTTTGACTTTATGTTGTCTAAAACGCTATTTCTCACAGGCAGGATTTATAACAATCTAAAAGCCACACGTTTTTAGAATGGCAGCATTTTGTTTGATGTGTTAGCAAGTGTATTCAAGTCCATCTTACAAATAACAATGCTTGACGACTGCTGTTTACTATACTTTGCTATGTACCTGTTAACAGGAAGCAAATCTTTTTATTGCTGTTCGAAATCTATTTCATTTCATCCTTCAATTACAAAATTGGTCATTAAAATAACTGGGGGGAGACAAGCTCCTCCAGTTCCTTTCACAGGCCACGCCACTGTTCTCAATTTTAATAAAGTTCTTACCTCCACCACAAAGTTCTACACTTATGTAGGGTCGATTGTTGTAGGTCACTGGAATAAGTCGTAAAGCTCTCGTCCTTGTACCTCTTTGATGTTTGATATAGCAGCGTCTTTGTAAGCGTTTTTGTTTCCTTTGAAAACCTGAAAAATCGTTAAATCCTACAATTCAGCAGTCGCACTAGCATGTGAAAAATTTTATCATAAAATTGCAAAATTCAGTTTCAAAAATACTCTAACTCCACTTTACTTTTTGTGAATTCTGATTAGATACTGACTCCCAGTTTATTAAATCAGAAGTGGTGTTAATGTGATATTTTGTCACCCAACTTAAGGTTGTTGTGTCTCCAAAAATTGCAACGGAGTTAATAGCATAAAGTTTTTCAAAGCTTATTTGAAGATAGTGATTTCCATCAGCAGTAGGAGCACACCACGATCTGCCACTGGATATTCTTGCATTGGCGGCATTGTGCAAATTTATTGCCTTTGAAGCGGAAAACAATGAGTCAGGGAATTTTTTTGTGTCGTTTAACAACGGCCTGGCACAGATATGACCTATGAAAAAACATTCACATAGAGATAAGCCATGATGATAGAGGTAAGTCAGGATGAAAGAGGTAAGTCATGATGATATAGGTAAGTCATGGTGATATAGGTAAGTAATGATGATAGATGTAAGTAATGATGATAGATGTAAGTAATGATGATAGAGGTAAGTCACAATGATAGAGGTAAGTCATGATGATATAGGTAAGTCATGATGATAGATGTAAGTAATGATGATAGATGTAAGTCATGATGATAGAGGTAAGTCATGATGATATAGGTAAGTCATGATGATAGATGTAAATCATGATGATAAAAGTAAGTCTATACTTACATTTTAATAATGAATGATGGGAACATTTCTCTTTCGTTGTGATAACGCATTGAGAAAGATTTTTTGCTTGGTTGTTACAAGATAACTCTCCATATAAAAAAATTTGATCGCCTTTGCTTGATGTCCATATTTTGATAGAGTCAGCTGCAGGGTAACCAAATTGCATGCAAATATCGTCTTTTACTTTATCTAAGGAACTTTCTTTACAGATTGTAAAGTTACCATCATACTTCGTGATAACATTTACAACTCCTTGGTTTGGGAATATTGAATTTGACAGGTATGCCGTTTCAACTAAAAAAATTAGAGAACAAACACTTTTATAAACTAAATGTAGATATGATCTTCGCACTTTGTTGGACAATTTAAGCAATTGTCTCATGAACCTTAAAAATACGACAAAAAAAATTCAACAAAGTACGAAGATCATATCTTCATTTAATTTCAAACACCGCACTGCACGAAACATTCTTTCATATGACATTCCTTTCACGAGAAAAACACCAGCCCAACAAAATTGACCTGCTCAGTTGGTCAAAGCACTGAACCGGCACCGCAGAGGTCATGGGTTCGAATCCCGTTGAGTCACCTGAATTTTTCAGGTTCATGAGACAATTGCTTAAATTGTCCAACAAAGTGCGAAAATCATATCTACATTTAATTTCAAACACCGCACTGCATGAAACATACTTTTATAAACGTTGTCTTTTCAATGTTTTTGAGAAGGGAGAAACAGCATTATCTGTAACGACAATCTTTTTCAATTTTGCAAACAAATGAAAATTTGCTCTGAGTCGAAAGTTCAACGCTTTTATCTTAAATTGTATTTATAATATATTAATCCTAACACGATTTAATATGCACATGAAAAACATGTGACTTGGACGAGATTTGAACTCGCACCTTCGGGATACTAGTCCGCCGCTCTACCTGTTGAGCTACCAAGCCCACAGGGATCGGAGACGAGTCAATACGCAGTTTAAAGAGATTTGACTCGTATCCACACCCTGTGGGCTTGGTAGCTTAGAGCGGCGGACTAGTATCCAAGGTGCAGTTCAAATTTCCAAGTCACATGTTCATGTGATTAATATATTATATATATTCTCTGATGCTGCCTTTGGAATTAAATTGTATTTGAGAAAGCTGTTTCTGAAATACATGATTTATTCTAACATAATTTAGCTAGAAATTATTGTATAATTAAATTAATTAAAGTATTCATCAACATCAAATTTTTAACAAATTGTAAAAATGAAAATTGATGTAAGTAAACTTACGGTAACAAATTTCAACAAACGATGTGGTGCTGCATTGATATTCAAAATAAAGATACTTATTCAAACCAGGACAAATGTTTAAAGGAAAAAGATTATCATTAACAATGACAATACACTCTCGTTTGCCATCACAGTGTCTCTTCAGATGACACGTGACATCGACACTACAACTGTAATCATAACTTGACCCACAAATATTACTTCCAGTCAATTCGCGGTATGATGCACTTTTGATGGTCATGTATTGACTTTTGGGACAGCTGACGTCCGTCATCTTTTGTCGAAAAGACGCTATTGAACCTGCAAGAAAAAAAAAATTTAAGTAACTGTGGGACATTATTTCTAAAAGGTGTTGATTAATGAAAAAAAACAGCAAATGTTCGAGAAATTCAATCTACAAAGATAAGTAACACTTGCGTATGTAAAATTTTTGTTTTATTTAAAGTTTATCACTGTAAGCGTATTGATACTGACGCGCAGAAAATGAGAAAATAACGGACGTTTGTGCGAAAGCCACTAGCTCCCTAAATTCCACAGCGATTTCAAGTAAAAATACAAAACCCCAAAATCGGAATTGCATTAAAAAGACTATATTAGATCGGATTCTTCTATTGTATTAATTAAATCACAAGAAAAAACAAGTCTAAAGAACATTGCCACCTGACATCATGGCCGACATGTTGGTGTACCAATAAAAATTATTTTTATTTAATGAAGTTCCTTCTTTTTGAATACCAATATGAGTGTTTCTTGTGTGCTGAGCTGATTTCTCATGTTTTCGTAGCTGACTTACCGTGTTTTTGAATAACTTGTGATCATTTAAAATATTTTGATGTGTTTTGAATTTTGGTGGACCGAAATATGAATTAACAACAAAATAACCCTTACCGAAATGAAATTGCTTTTTTGGTGCAGACTTACAATTAACCATTTTCAAATAAGGATCAACTCCTTGATTGTCTTGTAGTTCTTTAGAAGTCCAAGGTCTTAAACATCGAAATTGATATCCAGCTTTGTCGTACCGTATTTGTAGACCTCCCCAAGAGGTTTGTTTTACAGCATTGTTGTTGACACAAGCAGCGTCATTAATGTTGCGCGTATCAGTGTGGATATACAACATATCAAGACGATAACCATTTACCCATTTATGAACTCCTTGAAGACAACCTGGTACGTTCAACTTCAATATGGCGCTGTTATCTAAGAATTTAAACTGAGATGCAGGATGAAGACAGTTGTGGGAAAGTTCAAAAATCGAAGAGTTCTTGCTCCTAGTGATGACTGTATTTTTCTGTATCATAAATACACTTTCCAGTTTCGACATGTTTCAAGAAAAATCCAGTCGTATCTAGAAAGAAAAAACAAGGCTTTAATTTGTTGCGTGTCATTTCATCTGTCCATGCATGATTACGCATAATGTATTTACCGTAGCAGATATCATCCAATGACGTCATGGTGTCTTTACATTGATATTCAAAGTAAAGATACTTGTTCAGGCCAACACAAATATTGGAAGGTAAGAGATTATCATCAACATTTATATTACACCCGTTGACCATCACAGCGTCTTTTTAAATGGCATGTAACATCGAAGCTACAACTGTAATTGTAACTTGAACCACAAACATTTCCTTCATTCAATCCACGATATTCTGCCTTTTTTATGACCATGTATTGATTGTTAGGACAGCTAGCGTTTGTTATTTTTTCACCAAAGCACGTCACTGAGCCTATACAATACAAAAGTTGTAGATTTTAAAGGTTATAGAACCTTTCATGTCTGCAATACTAACCCAAACGCGACATTTTACAACATTTATACAAACATAGAAGTGCCCTTGTTCGCAAATCCAAATCAAAAGATAGAAATGAAAATGAGACAATATGTCACTTAAGACAATACTTTATGCAGTACAATATATGAAAAATGTGAGATTAACTTTTGAAAATAGAGACTTCTTAAAGCGAAGTGAATTACTTCTGACAATATTCCAGAATAACGGTCAATAAATAAATATCAAACGCATGTAAATTAAAGTGCTATATGCACTTGGATGTATATAAGACAGAAATTACCAAACATTTTTGTACGTGCCAGGATTCGTTGATCAATTATGACATTCCATAAATATGAAGATAGACGTTTTATTTTGTCTAATGACATGTACAAACAAGTAACAACAAATAGACATCAGGTACATCCTATACATAGTGTGGGCACCAAGGAGGGAAACAAGGGGTGAGTCGTCTCCGCATCATCTCTGTGGGAGACGTTGGCGTCAATCTTGTGTTATAGGGGGGACCATATTCATATATTTTGCTATGCCTGGGTAATTTCTCTTCAAAACTATTTCACTTTCAAAAGAAATCAATCAGGCATAACAGAATATAAGAATACCAATTATCGCAGAATTGACGACAACGCCCAAAATGAATTCTTTGTGCACATAACTTGAAAAATTTCAGGAGCATTACACAGTACGTACAATATGCAAGTGACTTTTTTGAGTCCCCCTTCCAAAAAAATTTCTGGAGCTTTCGATTCTAGATGGACGGAGGACAGGTAGCGGATCTAGGGTAGGTCAGAATGCATCACTAAAATATATTTCCATTTTAAAATACTTTAACCACATCCTATTGCGAGAATTTTGGTCTTAAATATTCTTTAGAAGTTTTTAACTAACAGCATTTTCAAAAACGTGTTTTGTGTATGAAATGAGCTTAAGTAAAAATCTAAGTAAAAATGCAAAAAAATCATAGACTTTTTAAGCGTGAAAGACAAAAATCTACCGCTTCTATCCAAGTTAAAAATATTTTCAGCATGTTTTATGCATTACACATGGCTTTAAGCTCCAAAAAATTATAGAAATACGTCGTTATTAAAGCTCTCTCGTAAATTAAAGTTTGTTTTCGTTCCTCAAAAGGGACCTAGTAATTGGGTGATAACAATATGGGCGCCTGATTACTTTGGCTTTATTATACATATCTATGCTCACAATGAATTCTTCATGTACATACTTAAAAAATATCAATAGCATTACACAGTGCGCAAATCACGTAAATGACATGTTTTACTTCACCGCCCGGAAAAAAATTGAACAAAAACTTCAAAATCGAGCTGCTAGAATCATCGCAAACATGAGTAATGTTGTTGATCACGAAATTGCTTTGAAAGCTTTAGAGTGGGAGTCTCTTGATATTCAAAGGCAAAAAAGTAAAGCAAAGCTCATGTTCAAATTGCTTAACAACACGGGTCCAAAATCACTTACTAGTTTATTTAGTTTCAAAAGCGAATCAAGAGATTATCAACTTCGTGGTTTAAAAAAAACACTATGCTTACCTAAGCCACGAACCAATAGCATGAAAAAAAGCCTCAAGTCTGGAACTCATTGCCAAATGAACTTAAAGAAATTAGTTCTCTAGCGACCTTTCAAAGAAAAATCGCTTCCCACTTTCCCAAAACAAATATGTACTCAACGAATTGTAAATAGCTTTCTAACCTAGCTATACTTCATTTAATGTACATTTTAGTGTCTTGTGTATCGTAAATTGTAAGTAGTTCACTATTCTATTGTAATTTTCATTTTTGCACACGCCCCATGTGGAAATCAACTTGTATGTTGACAATGGTAAGCGTGTTAATATAAAATTATCTATCTATTATAATAAATGAATGACAAATTAAACATGTTCGACTGTTCCGGGAATCCCAGAACAAACATAAGCCCAACAAGCCATCGACAGCTGCAACATTTTTAGTGACAAAAAATGATAAAGACGGTGCCTGTAGCTTCAAGGTTAAATGCGTATACTGTCAAGGATCACATTATTCAGCATCTTGTGAAGAGGTAAAGGGAAGGGAAGCCCGAGTTAAAATTCTAAGAGACTCCAACCGTTGCTTTATTTGTCTGAAAAAGGGACACCAAGCAAGCAAGTGTATCGTCACAAGAAAATGTGGACATTGTTCCGGGAGGCATCACCAATCTATTTGTAGCAATCCTGCTACCAATAGTCAGGGTGTCCAAAATGAGAAAGCAACTGATAACACCAATCCACAGAAAGTATCAGAAGGTGTAAACTCTCCAACCACAACAGCTGTCACACGAACTGTCAAGGGAAGTGTTCTTTTGCAGACGGCCAGAGCTCTCGCATCAAATGGATCAAAATCGGTTCCAGCACGAATTCTCTTTGACACTGGAAGCCAAAGGTCTTACATTCGAAGGTTACTTCAAGGCCGGTTAAGGTTAAATTAAATTGGTAAGGAGACACTTCAATTAAATACCTTTGGCCAAAGAAAGAGTAAACGAGAAAGCTGCGAAGTGTTCAAGGTGAGCATTGCAAACAAGAGTGGAGGTGAGGCAATAGAGATTAAAGCAATCGCATTTCCAACAATATGAGCACCACTTCCTACACGGATAAATATAGACGAATATCCACATCTCCATGGTTTAGAACTTGCACAATTTGATTCTTCCGATAACAATGGTAGCTGTGATTCAATCGACATCTTGATAGGAGCTGATCATTATTGGGAAGTAGTCACAGGTGATGTCGTACGAGAAAAAGATGGTCCAACAGCAATGAGCAGCAAATTGGGATGTCTTTTGTCTGGATGGTCATCACAAAAATCAGACGGACATACTCTGAACAGCCGACTACCTTGATAATTCTACTGTCGTAGCCGATAGGGATGAGTTAACAATATCAATGAAGCGTTTATGGGAAACTGAGAGCGTTGGCAATGACTCTTTTGACTCAGAGAACTCACCCGAGGAACAAGATTTTGTGCGAAATATTCGATTCACTGGAACACGCTACGAAGTTGGTCTGCCGTGGAAAAATGATCATGGGCAAATTGATGACGATTACGAACTCTGTCATAATAGATTGAGATCAGTGCATCAAAAACTGCTAAAGGATCCACAAAATCTTGAAGAATATAATAATAGTATTACTGAACAATTGGCAGCAGGAATAGTCGAAAGGGTTCCGGCATCTGATAAGGATCGTGGTAAAATTCACTATCTTCCCCATCAGTGTGTTATACGAAAGGATAAGGCTACTACGAAGCTACGCGTTGTATATGATGGATCTGCTACGACGAACTTGCGTAACTCTTCACTAAACGATTGCTTACTGACCGGGCCGAACCTCATTCCACAAATCTTTGATTTGCTCGTCAAATTTCGACAAAACAAGATTGAGCTAGTTGCTGACATTGAGAAAGCATTCTTAATGATTGGAATTGACAAAGAAGATAGAGACATGTTTCGTTTTTTGTGGCTAAGGGATGCTAGGGATCCTCATTCAGAAGTATTAAAGCTAAGGTTTTGTCCATTAGTTTTTGGTCTACGACCTTCGCCAGCAATTCTTGGAGCTACTATCAACCATCATTTGAAGACACACGAGAAACAGGAGCCAGAAACTGTTGAACACTTGAAAAATTCTCTGTATGTCGATGATTTTGTGTCCGGTGCTGAAACCGATGAAACCGCTTTGCAAATATACAAGGGAACAAAGCAGTTGTTGGCCAAGGGTGGATTAAACTTGGAAGAATGGAAATCGAATTCCAGTAACGTAGTGAAGTCTGTCGAAGTGCTAAAAGGTAACAAGAATTTGAGCTTGATTAGTGACAAGTCAAGCGTTACTCAAGATGATCATTCCTTTACAAAGTCGACAATTGCAAAAGAGTCACTGCTCACGGAACCCACTCAAGTCAAAGTACTAGGAATGCTGTGGGATACGGTGGAAGACACATTTCTATTCAATTTGACTGAAATAATCGAGTACGCCAATTCATTACCTGTCACAAAGCGATCGTTGTTGAAATGATCATCTAAAATCTTCGGTCCCCTTGGATTCTTCTCTCCTTTTACGATAAGGCTGAAGATTCTGTTTCAAATCATGTGCTTGGATAGACTGGGGTGGGAATGTGAAACTACGAAACGATCGAGCATGGAAACCATTCGGGCAGCATCGAGTGAACAAGATTCGAAGTATTTCGTTGACGGAATCTTAGAACTCTTGTACTGGATCACTTAATCCTTCAGATTTACCCTCACGGGGTATTTCTGGGCAACTACTTTCGAATTCTTCCTTATGGTTCAATGGACCCGAATTCTTGGCAAGGGGCGAAGAAGAGTGGCCAAAACGTCCAGTTGGCGACCTCTCAGAAAGTGACGAAGCTCTAAGGGAAATTGTAAAGGAGCATCCGAATGTCGTGAGATCACTAGTTTAGAATGAAATCGAACAACGAGCCATGCCAGATCTTAACAAAGCAATCTACATTACTCGTTATAGCTCTATGAAGAAACTTCTTCCAATAACTGCTTATGTAATGAGATTCATCAACATGTTAAAGAAGATGCCACGGTGCGAGCAAACAACAAACAAACTCACAACCTCAGAAGAACTAAGCTCAGACGAAATAAGGAAGGCGCAGCTGCTATGGATAAGGTCTATTCAACAACTATCTTTTGAAAAACAAATATTATTCCTTTTGTCAAAGAATGCGAATTCTTCAATACCTACTTATGTTAAGCAATTTGGGTTATTTTTCGACGGTGATCACGTGCTGCGGTGCCATGGGAGACTGAAGAATTCGTCGCTAAATCTGGAGAGCAAAAATCCTGTAATTCTTCCAAAGGAATCAAGATTTGTGGAGTTATTAATATGCGAGGTTCACCACAATGTGAGGCACAGCGGGATTCGTGATACACTAACAATCATTAGAGAGCACTTCTGGAAAATTCGTATTCGAGAAGCAGTAAAGAAAATCGTCAGGAAATGTGTCGTTTGTCGTAAAGCCGAAGGTCTTCCTTATGGGGAACGCTTCCTCCAGATCTTCCTGTTGGCAGAGTGTCGGATGATCCCCCTTTCACAAACGTAAGTTTGGACTTTGCAGGACCGTTGTTTGTACGAGAGAGTTGCAAAAGGAATAATTTGTCGGATAATCCAACAAAGGTGTATATTCTATTGTTTACGTGTGCGTCTACTAGAGCCATTCATCTGGAGCTCACTCCTTCCTTAAGCGTTCCAGCCTTTCTCCGCGCGTTCCGCTGATACGCTAGTCGACGAGCACTGCCAGCTCTTCTTATATCTGATAATGCTAAGACTTTTCGAGCTGCATGCTTAGAAATTCGCAAGTTATGTCGTTTTGAGGAAGTGTTATGCTATCTTGCAAACCATCAGATTACATGGCAATTTATCGTCGAAAAGGTCCTTGCTGGGGAGGCTTCTAGGAACGTTTAAATTCAAAACGTGAAACGTACGTTGCGAAAGGTAGTTGGTAGAACCAATCTAACCTACGACGAGTTGCATACTATTGTGGTTGAAATCGAGGGCGTAATAAATGCACGACCCCTAACCTACGTGTACGACGATGAAGAAGCTGTATCTCTTCCGCTAAGCCCGTCGCACTTGGTGTATGGAAGACGAATAACGACCATGCCAAACAGTGAGCACTTTCAAATTCAGAGCACCTATCAATCCTTGACGAGAAAGGCGAAACATCACAAAAATTTGCTGCAACGTTTTACTCTTCAATGGAGAAACGAGTATCTTTTAGCCTTACGAGAGCAATACACTTCAAAATCAAGAGGTAATCAAAATCCCAAAATAGCAGTTGGAGATATCGTCATTATTCGCAACGATCAAACAAAACGTATCTTTTGGAAGGTGGCGAAAGTTGAACAACAGTTACAAGGTGACGATAGAATTACATGAGCTGCACAAGTCAGAGTCCTTCGTGGAGATTCTAGTCATTCACATTTGTTGCGAAGTTCTATCAGGCAGCTTATTCCAATTGAGGTTCATCAGGAAGAAGACAGTAACGAAAGAGTAGAGAGCGATAAGTACGGCGAAGAAGAACAAGTGCTTCGTCCAACTGATCGACCACAACGCAGCGCGGGAATAAACAGGACAGTTGCGAAGATTGCAGAATAACAAAAAAGTTCTAAATAACTGTACATTCTTAGCTAAAAATAGTTTTGTTTTTTGTTTTGTTTGTTGACAACATTTTATTATGTCAACCCTGGGAGTGTAAGAAAGATTAGACTAATAATTATAAATGCAAAATAGAAAAGAAACACATGTCAATCATACTTCAGTAAAATATACATATCAAAGGCGAAGACATCTTGTTTATTCCGTCCAAAGATTTGTTAGTATACATTTCGAACGATCATTAAAGGTAGCGACTGTAACTGTTATATATATGAGTGGTTTTAATTTTTTTTAAATAATGAAACTTGGTTTTCTTTCAATTTATGCTCGATTCTTCTTATTCGGTTCAGTCTAAATTTCAACTTGTGTTTTAAGAGATTTATTGAAAGATGAAAAATTGCTTTTTAGTGGATAGCGCTAAGGAAGCGAAGAAAGCGAGATCAAATTAAAGTCAAAGCAAATCAATTATTTTAGATACAATAGATTAAAAACCCAAGACGATGTTAAAATTCTTTCTCTGAATATAAAAATAACATTTGTGCATGCTGAGCTTCCCATTAGCTATTTCATTTCAATTTCCCGTTATGCCATGATACCTGTAAAAAACCTATGAAATCATAAAGTACTTTACAATTTCTTCTTACGCAGCCTCTATAGCTGTATAGCTATACCCATGTTGTCTCTATAGCTATACCCGTATTGGATTTTCATTCGAATTTTTAATTCATCAAATTAAACACATTAGCAGCTATATAACAGCTAAATTGCGCAGGTTACAAATTCAAAAATTTACAGTTGAAAAATTAACTAAATAAACTAAAAATTTTAAAAGATAATGACCAAAAAAATAATGTTGAAAAGGGTGTTAGATGAGGAAGAGCTCATGAAATAAATGAACATCGATATTAAGGGCAGCTAAGTAGTTTTGGGTTTCAACGTTATCTTGAGATTGCTTAAATTCTTTTATAAAAATTTACAGAAATATCACAGAAAATCGTGGAAATATTTTGCAACTTTTTACATTTTTAAAGCTTGGCGTTACTCCTTTGTTTGCAGTTAATGGTAGAGTACTTGATGACAATGAATATTCCATAAGTATTGAAAATCTCAAGCGGATTTATTTTTAATGTTTCGCAGGTGCTGCTGAAGGACAGAATTATTTACAGAACAGTGGAATAGGGTTTGTTTTTGATGTAGTTGAGAGATTTGAGCGAAAAATATGATAATATATGAATCAAAATATGAATGTAATAACCTGTCCCGAATCCTACATCAAGCATGGATGAATTGTAGTAAATGAAAAAATCTCTCCATTTACTATATGAATCAAATCGTTGTTGGCGGAAGTTGTGCGGTGTTTGTATTAACACTTATCTGCCAAACTCAGTCGAAGAAATAATTTGTAGTATTCAATGTTAACATAGCATCGAAGACAAAGAAACCTTTCGTTTTACTATGAACTACATAACATCTTACCTTTGTTCTTTTATTAATTAAAAAACTGACACAATAAGGCGACTACAGAAATACACCTTAAACAAACAGAGAAAAATTAAGATACATACAAGTAAGACGAACAAAAGAGTTGTGGCTCTCGCAAGGTTTTACTTGCAACTACTGGCCAAGGCTGTCGGCTTCCTCAAATGTGCAGTGCCATATTGAGTATATACAAACACTCATGCCATCTGCCCCAGTTATTCAACATTTTAAAGAATTTGTTTTGCGTCAAATCCTATCCTTTACGAATCAACAATAATACTTTAAATGTGTTAGGAAATTTGGATGCCGTGGATTGGTTGACGAAGCAATGTTATAGAAGATAAAGTTTTTGACATTTTAAAGAAATTCCTCTGTTTATACGAAGCCACGAAGCACAAATAATGCATCTAAAGTGGGCAAACACGGCAAACAGGTTAATGACTTCAAGTGCTCAACGACAAAAATTATATTGCTCCCATAACGTATTTTAAGTTTTTGACTATCAACTTCACCAACAGTAAATTCAATTTTACTGACAGTCATTAGCAAAAGTTTAAGCCCTGAATACAACAAATTGTGTCGGACTAAACTATACAGTAAAATTTACTATTTACTATTATAATAATAAAGTTTAACTAGCATAGATCAGTATATGAACACCTTAACCCGAACCCTCACACCCCTTATCAAAAAACCAAAATCTTCCAACGTGATCGTTACTGAATATAATTAATAAACGCCAAAATAACCAAGACACGCTCTTGAATTGAGCTTTTTTATTTTACAGGTTTACGGTATAATAAATGTATGATGAATTAAACATGTTCGGCTTTTCGGGGAGTGTATTCTATTAGAATTGATGTGTTAATGAGAAAGCGACGTGTCATTTGGTCATATATGCGGAAAGGAACCGCTTTTGACGATTAACTTTTTTTTTGCAAATTAGAGTTCTCTGTGGAAAAGTTTTCGAGAGAGATTTGATGAAATACACATGAAGCTAGTGAACATCTTTAACTAAGTGGAACGAAGTTGTAGAAGTTAGTGAAGAGATTAGTGAGGGTATAGGTTTGCGGTAAACGGAAGGGATGAATTTTCCATTTGTGTAATTATTCAAGTGTGGCAGCTGCAACGCTCACAGGTAACTAATATTCCGCCCTACGTAATCGAGCAATTTTGCTCACATAAACACATGTGGAAACACCACCATATTGACGACTGTAAAATAATTTTCTCTTCTCACGATCTATACAAACTCTCCATTCATGAGAACATCCTAATCACAAGCCTTCACCTAACGTCGTAGAGAGTTCTATTCCACGCTATCCATTTTAATTGCAATTTGTTGTGCCTCCTAACTTTGTAATTTATGTAATGTATTCGACGCTGTCTCCTTTTGTATTCTAACAGCTTATGTAAATAAGATTATTTACATATAAGTAACATATCCTATTAAGGATGGAATAATATTCATTACTGTCTGAAGATTTCTTAAGTAAAGACAAAACGCTACAATAAATTCCATTTTTGAATCTGCTATACTTTTGGCTCAATTTAAAGCCTTATGTTGGGCATTAAGTTTTATCACCCAAATTTGATTTACGCCAAGCACGACTCTCTCTACTATTTTAAAAAATAAATCGTTTGAAATTGTGTCGTCAAGATAATAAAACTCCATTTACAAGTGCTCTTTCTTCGACTCGTATATACATGGAAAAATGTTTCTGAACCAATCAAAGTGCGCTGTTTCACCGGAAGTTACGCTTGCGATATTTCAATGTGTTTTGTTGCATCCAAAAGATTTGACAAAGTTTGAAAAACGGGTTGCTGAATTGGAGATCTCATTGATGAAAGATTGTATGTAGATCACATACGTAGACTAACAATTTCAATCTTTATGTACAACATTTTTGTAAATCGTGTGATTGTAAAGAGCCATATTCTTGCTTGCATGCAGAAAAATTGTCGCTTATACTTTTGCTATAAACGAGCTTACTTACCTCTGATCCAGAGAGCAACACAGCATTTAGATGCACTGAAATACATAAACCATTTGGACAGATTAACGCGATCTGCAAGATTAGAGATATCAAAAATAACCACCACTGAAATAAAAAATGATTTCCATCATAATAACATAGATGGAATTAAGAATACGCCAGTTTCAATTAAAATTGACTATCAAAATATAAGGATTAAAGTTTAATGCACAGTTCCCACCCTCCCCTCCTACGTACAAGAAGAAAGAAGAGCTTCAATATCTGTGCGATTATGTGAGACATTAAGTGAACGCGCACTCGATATACATACATGACCTGCACACAACAATGACAGCTCATTTGAATTCAGCCGTTCTTTTTAAACCTTCCACATCAGGTAAAATTTCTGCCAAACCGTGATTATTTTTCGGGTGGGCGCCATAATTTTCTGTGACGCGTAGTTGATTACGCGTATCATCCAACTTTAATTGATGTCCTTTAAAAATTATAAACATATATGTATTATTAATTATTAACATTTATTACTATTCCACTCGTTGTACATTTTATTATCCGGTTTTTATAATCACTCTGATATACAATCTTGAGTCCTTAAATAATCCATATAGAGTGATATCACTCGATAGAATACAAACAAAATACGAAGTAATACGAACAAAAATCTACTGTACATGTCAGCCTGTCCACTTCATGCTTCCTACATCAACGTTTTTAATCTGCACAAAATAGAAAGCCAAAAAATGAATTTTATGATAACGATGTCATTTTTTTGTCACGACTGAATCCAATAAACCTGTTTGACAAACCTGTTGCTTTTGGTTGTTTACATTGGTCAAATATTGGATATTTTCCAAAGATAAACAGGAAACTTATTACAGCAAGTATTTCACGAAAATTCAAAGTGTCTTTATCAAAAGCAATGCGAACCCAATAAATAAGAGAAACGAAATATCGTTTTTTAAAGAAATTTGTGTTTTCTTTACGACTTCCAAAAATAAATGGTCAACTATAGAACCGAGCAACGGGTGGACAAATACAGTCAGCATGGGTAGATTGGTTTTTGACGGGTGAATTTCGTAAACAAACATTTCTTACGAAACTTTAGAACAAATATTCAAATCATGAAAAAGAAGCAAAGCTTGAGCAATGCTCGTTTACATCTTCGAGTGTTTGAAGGTACTTTTTATCCGACCATGATTCGCTTAATTGTGGTTGCCATAATCCTGGATTCCCCAAACTGTGATGTAAACTGGAATACTTGTATATTGAAGTGTTGGAAAAGAGAAAAGTTCCTTGTGAGGTAAAAAGAAATCTGTGTGAATATGTTAGAGCCAGGGGCGGATCTAGAGTATGTCAAATCCGTCGCGCGACTGATGTTTGAAATTCAAAAATTACCTATTCATATTAATTAAAAATTCATTAATTATTCTTATTTTCTTATCGCATTTACTTCGTGATAAAAATCCCGCATTATTTATTATTGAAAACTAATGACTAATCTAATGAATATCTCGTTGGTAACCAGATCAGTTGAATTTTAATTGACCTGGAATAACCGACTGATAAGCGGGGTGGCTTGACTGGTTCGACGGATAAAGGAGTCTATGAACGTCAAAAACGCTTATTTTATTGGTCAATAGCCAGATCAGTGGACAGTCTGGAATGGTCTCGACTGATAATAAGGGTGGCCGGACGTATAAGGGAGTCCAATTGCTATCTTACAATTGGTTCATTTGAATTTTTGCTTTATTGTGATTGGTTTGACGGATTTCGACTGATAGCCAACTGAACTAACATAGTCAAGCTCACTGTCTGAGTTGAATGTTTGATCGTTTTATAGTAATTTTTATAAGCATGATAGAAACTAAACTACAATCAGATGGAATTTATGGAAATCTTTTACAAATTCATATTTTGACATGAATGCTGCTGTCCAAAATGTGAATTTTTTCAAGAGGGTGGAAATTTATGGATATATTTTAAATGCTTGGCAAAGACGATCTCGCGAGCGACGTTTCAGTCATTGATGTTCAAAACAAAGCCAACATTGTTTTGAGTTTTATCAGCAGAAATTTACATCCAAAATCGTAAGTAAAGGACAAGTGAAGTGTATGCATGAATGTAATATATCAAAGTCAATTATGCGAGTGTGTGATGCGATTTATGTCTATATGGCGTGTGGTGAGCAGATCGATGCTTCTAAAATTGTTGTTGACGAAGGACTTTTAGCTATGATTTCTTTAGTGCTTGAGGAATTGTGGCCGTTATACGGCAGCGAAATCCTACATTCCTGCAAATATATTTCAATGGACAAAAAATCTGTAGCCATAAGGCGCCATACTATTATTTACTTGCAGGACAAACAAATGTTTGGGGTTTTTCAGTTTATGATCATTGATCATTCAATCATTGGACAGTTATACTACATATTGTTTAAGATTTGAGAAAACTAAGATTGATTACATGAGAAGCTGTTTACTATAACCTGTGATTTTGAGTCTTCTGATCCATGAAGCTTTTTATTTTGACAATTTGACTGGAATGGTATTAAACCTGAGTATTTCACATACATGGAATGTTGTCCCATGTCACATATTGTCCCCTTTTCTAATTGAACACCTCATGTAGAGATGTAAAGGTCTGTCAATCTACGGCTCATACCAGATTGTTTGCCATATATTCCAAAGGGCTATTGATGTATGAAAAGCATTTTCTATAAAGTAAAAATGCCTTTCTATGTATGCAGATAAACCTTGAAATTTGGCAAAACAGCAAATATTTTTCATGATCACTAGGTAATTTTTCTGATGATCATTATAATTTCTAAACTAAATTATTTCTGATTTACATTTAAACAAGCTTTGATCATATGAAAAGATATTTATCATAACCAGCAAGCATGACACATGAACCAATTTTAACATTCATGTAATTATATAATTAAAGACATGTTGGTTACATTCTGTTTGTATTTGCAAATACAATGCTACTAGTGATTGCTATATAGCACACCTTGCATATACTTACAGGAGATTATAGTCTAGTGAAATGCCTAATAAACATTTATGGCATTAAGCTGTCCTTAACTGCAAATTTTCACTCTGATAATTTTGCTTAACCTTTGGCAGAAAAAATTTTGAGTTTTTCTCAAAGGTGAATTTGCTGGCACTGATGTGGAGATGGGTAAAGAGTTACAATAAACTTGCATGGTTTGAAGTCTGAGCTTTTCTATATCTATGAACAGTCACTTGTAGTACCAAATTTCTAACAACTAAATTCATTACATAGAGGTTTGAATGGGGTTTCTAGGGGTCTATGCCTGACAACTTGGTAGAAATTTTTAAAGACTATATCTGTTTTTGAATAGCATTATTGTAAAATAAATTTTACGTTCCTAGACATGCTAATGAGCCATATATTTGGCATAATAATGAGCCTAAATATTTGGCAAAACATTCAAGTATTGTTCACTTCATTTTTTTTTTGAAAAAAACGTAAGCAAAATGTTTTGTTTTTACGCAAAAACGATGCCCACAAATATATTTTGTATTACTCTAAAACGCTGAAAATGGCATTTTCAAGGCTCTGAAATTCAAAATTTCTCAGGGGAGAACGCCTCAGACCCCCCCCCAGGTGCGGAGCGCCTTCGACGTTTTATGACTGATGTTTGAAAAATCCTAGATCCGCCCCTGGTTAGAGCATGTATTTCCCCTTAAGTCATCAAATATCATCTTTAGACGGAAAATACTGACATGTAGTTATGAAATCTCCCTTTTATTTCAAAATTTTGATTTTGTTGCGAAATGTCCTTTGAAGTGTTTTACTTGTTACACTATCGTTCAGAGGCGGAAATTTGAGGCAACGGCCGCCATGGATTGTTTGTTTCGAACTCGCGACTAATTTCGATTTGCTTTTTGTTTATTACTTTTGTTCTTAGTACTCAATTTAATATATTCAAATAAAAATATTACTGATGTTGTACTATTTAAAATGTTGACAAAATTCGTAGTCAACCTTCAAATTTGGTCGTGCTATGTAAAATTTAGATCATTATCATTATTCATTTCTTTAGAAACCTATTGTTTTTACAGTAAGTGAACACTGAAAAATTTACATAACACGACCAAACTTGCTACGTCACTGCTAAACCTAATATCTTTATGTTATGTTCCAAATTGTTTTGTAAATCCTAATCAGAAGTATTTACTCTCATCAGGATTCCTACGAACCTGGACAATCTACATGTTTACACATGTAAATTGTCCAAGTTAGTAGAGTCCTGAGAAGTACTGTTGGTGTTGAATTTAACTTACGTTTCGACAACCTTAGCGGTAGTCATCTTTAGAGTCAACGCTGTCAAAACGTAAGTAAACATCAACACCAAAAAGTGAATTCTATTTGTTACAAAGGCTGCCAGCAGTTTGAATGATAACTTTTTGCAAAATAATATAAATGGTATATGTACAAAAATTCTCCTCTCAGTTTTGCTGTGAATAGTTAAGATTGTTCCGTGTAAGCTATGCCTTGCCAATATGAAAGTTTGCTTAACATGGGCTGTGCGAGATGATATGAATTTGGCGGCTTTCTCTATAGAATTTGAATTGGCGTTTCCTCATCTGTTTCTGCTTTGCAGACATTTATTCCTAGCAAATAACCAGAAAAAACTAATTTAACACATTTCTTCAAATATATCATTTGCTCATCACCTAACAGCATGGGACATTCAATTACATGTTTTGACTTATCAATAGTGCTGTAGAATATTTATCATCAAGAGCAGCAGTCAACAATCAATAGCACAACATGTATATACATACTTTGTAAGAAAAGACAAGTGCAGTGTCGCGATTTCAACAGTTAATGTGCAACAGTTTATACCTATTAAAACACACCATCCGTTGCACAACATATACATTTGTTTATTTAAATGTCTTCTTATCCAAATGATTCAAACTTTTCTTGAATTGAATGCGCATTAATGCGACTTGAATATCCCCAATTGTTAAGCAGTATAAATAAATGCTATTGCCTACTGGTGCTCTTGATTCTTCCTTCAAGTTAATGAATATTCTACTGTTCTACTGTTAAGTAAAATTGCATAATTGAATGTTCAATCTTCTTTAATGATAAGCGAATGGTGTAACAGGAGTAAGAAGAGACAAATCCCACAAAATACTTTACAATAGTGAATAGTACGGAATGAAGACACTGCACTGGATTCGTTGTGATAAATACTTTAATTTTTATATACAGCAACATAACTATTGTAATTATACAAAAGATCAATCTACACTAAGACTGGAACACATAAGGACATAAGTTTCGACATTAATCAATTTTCACAAGAGACTAATC